ACAATTCACCAGTATGTGCGATACCAGAGCACAGTATGGGTAAAGTTAATTTATGATAATTCTTGACCATGGCTCCTTGTTTAAAGGTAAGATAAGGTTTCTCAGATAAATTTGTGGTTGGGTTCCATCAAAAAATCCGTCCATATCAACAAGCCATCCAACCGCCCATCTTCTCAACAAGTCAACTTCAGCCTCTGCACCCTTGCCGATATCAGGACTACCTACCACGTGGCATGAAAAACGAGATTCGGCAAGCGGTTCCAGCACCGAATGAACACCTGTCATTAGCTGTCCCTAGAGCAAATTCAAAATCCTGCTAAAGATCACATACTCCACCCATATCTCCAAGAGCAGCTTTATCCTTCAATTTCTTTTTCACACCCTCAAGAAGGGTTGGACAGACAACTGAACAAATAAAGTCTTTCCGCTTCTATGGAATACGAAAAATTCGGATGCAGGGAAAACGACTATAGGAAACAATGGAAGAAATTTCCAGAAAAAGCCTCGAAATCTCAACGATTCATTTATTCAGTCATTTATCCACACTACCGCCAAAATAAAAATTATATAATATCCACACAAGAATAGAACAAAACATTACACTCTTCCTTCCTTCCTTCCTTGCCTTCCTTCCAAAGCAAAGCAATTTATTTTCCCATTACCAACGCCTTTCTTCCAGGAATGAGTGTCCGTCCGTCCGTCCGGGTATGCAAATGCTGTTCGTAAATGACCGTGTATTCGTTGCTGTTCATAAAGAGCGTGGAGTCGTAAGGGGTATCCATTTCCCAAATGCCAAGAGCCGCCAAATAAGGACCGTGGGTATATAATGCAAAACCAAATGCCAAAGATGCAAAAAATCAAGGAGAGATGTTCATCAAACAAATAACACAAACAAAGCAGCAAGCAAAGTCCCCATCACAGCCGCCAACCTCCCTGGCCGTAACCCATTCGCTCCACTGCCGCCGGTGATCTGGAGCGGTCCGCTCGTCGTCGGACTTCCTGATCCCGATGCAGTCGTGCCAGTGCCAGTCCCCGTCCCTGTAGCAGAGCTCGAGAGACTGGTGACCTCACCCAACGCCGAACTCGTCGAGCTTCCACTCCCACTTTCACCTGCTCCTGTCCCACTTGACGAAGTTGCTCCACTCGAAGAAGCCCCTCCACTCGCCGTCGTTTGGCTTGTAACTCCCACTGTGACAACCGGAGTACTACTCCCCTGCACCGTATTCGTCGCCACAACCACACTACTCGTCGCCGGCAGCGGCTGCACGGTCGCTGTACTGGTACTCGAAGCAACAACAGCCTGCGCCGTCTGCGCATTACAGAAATTGATGAACGGCGCAAACTCCGGGTCTACATACGGCTTGAGCGTGACCTGTGTCGTGTCCCCGTGGGCTTCGACGCAGAGCTGGCATTTCGTGTACGCGGATTCGAAGGGCGAGTTCTTTGCGCATAGTGCCGGGGAGAGACCCACTTTTTGGGCTTCGATGTAGCAGTCGTTGCAGCCGGCGTAGCAGACGGCTGGGACGACTGTTGAATCGCGTTTCTGTTTGGGGGCGGAGAGGTCGCGAGGTGAGGAGCGTTTCCAGCCTGCAGAGGTGGTGGTGGAGGGCCAGGGGGAGGTGTATGTTATTGTTGAGGGAGGGCTGGAAGAGGTGGTTGTTGAGCTGCCGAAGTGAGTCTCGCTTGCTTGGGAAGAGTAATCGCCGGTGGTGATTGTTGTTAGGTAACTTGAGCCCCAAGAGTTAGTCACATATTCCACGATCACTTTCTCGACGAAGATATCGTAGTTTAGGCCGAATGCGTAGGGATTCAGATTGAAGTATCCCTCAATGGGCGGGAAGTATGAGATCTCATTGGCGGGCCAAACGACATCGGTGAATGCTGGAGCTGGAATACAGTATTGGGCCGCACACTTGAAGTTATAGTCTGGGGGTTCGGCCCAGATCAGACATCCTGGAGGCTTGGGTGGGTTACAGACAAATCCTGGTGAACAACCCCAGAGAGCGTCTGGACCTGAATCTTGTGGGATGACCGGACCTGTGTTGGTTGGCTTGGGGCAAGCTGAGACAGACTCTGTGAGGGTGATGGTGGCTCCAATACCTGGGGCAGTTGTGGTGACTCCTGGGAGTGTTGTGGTGAATGCTGGGAGTGTTTGGGTTACTGTTAAAGTGGTTATCGAGCCAGGTACAAGGGAAATTATAGTGCTTCCAGCTTGGGTAAAAGTCGTAGGTGTTCCAGGAAGAGTACTGGTCACTACCGAGGTTATTGTGGATGCTGGAACGATCACTGTTGTCCCTGGCTGGGTGATTGTCAGTCCAGGAGCTGTGATAGTGGTCAGCTGACCCGGTAGCGTTGTAATTTGACCGGGTAGGGTGGTAACTGAGCCAGGAAGGGTGCTAATTGATGTGACAGTGATCGGTGAGGCTGTTATGGTAGTCAAGCTTCCAGAAATTGAGGTTACTATGGTAGGGCCAAGACTTATCGATGTGACAGTCACAAAGATATCTGAAGTCGTGACCACGCCTGGTAGAGTGGTGACAGAGCCTGGTAGGTCACTAATAGAGACTATTGTAGTGGGAACGGTAACGAAGACAGAGTCAGTGGTAATCTGGCCTGGCAAAGTGGTGACTGAGCCTGGCAGATCGCTGATTGAGACAATCGTCGTTGGGACGATGACATCGCTGATTGAGATGACGGTGGTAGGGACAACCACGTCACTGATCGAGATGACCGTGGTGGGGACAATAACATCGCTGATAGAAATAATCGTTGTCAAACTTCCCGGCAATTCGATGGTAGTGGGGACCGTCACATCGCTGATGGAGATTATAGTTGTGGGAACTATAACATCGCTGATCGAGATCACAGTAGTAGGAACAAAGATATCCGAGGTGAGAGCTAGAGAGAATTAGCTTTATTTCGCCTAGAAAACGACTTGAACCTACTATCAGTGAAGAATACGTCGCTTATGGAGATTATTGTGGTATAGACATCTAGCGTCGTGATCGAGACCACTATATCAGTGACCGGCGGAAGGGTCACTGTGGTTAGGCTGCCTGAGATTGAGGACGTCACAGTTTGTGGTGGGAGAGTTGAAGTGAATGTAAAATCGACAGTAGATACTAGATAATTAGTTTAATCTTGAAAGGAAGAACTCAAGAGGCTTACCAGTGGTATCAATTTCAGTAGTTGCTTGAGAAGGTCAGCTAAATTCATTTCAAATATAGAGCGAGCAGGCTTACTGATGAAGTCGGTGAAGCTATCTGTTACGCTAATTATATCTGTCTCGATGCTTGTGAAATCGCTAACGGTAGTATATGTGCTAAAGCTGTAGATTGTGGTTGAATCAACGACTGTGTATGGATATGAGCTACAGAGATGTTAGCATTAAGCTTATGAAGTCTTGTATATTATAAGGAAGGAGGGAGAAGAGGGGGTTCGAATCAGCTCCATAGATGCTAGAACTTCTTGTTTGTGTTTGAAAGACAAGGGCGTGCTCATTTCCCATGCTAGCTCTCTAAGGAGGATGAAATTTTGATCACGTGATCATTCAGCTCTTGAGCGAATAGCTTCCTAGATCCGAAGGCGGGTACCAAAGGAAAGGAGACTAAGAACTCACGTTGAATAAATGAGAGTGGTCGAGTATGTCACTGTTGCTGTATTCGTGATATAATCCGTGAAGTCGGAAATAGACAAAGAAGTGGTCTAGGAATATCAGTTTCGAGATTTTCCTTTCCAATAGCTCTAGGAGGAGACTTACGGTCGTGGTGTCTGTTTCATAGCTTGTATAGTTATCTATGATCGTTGAGAGCGAAGTGTATGTCGTTGGAACATACGCTGAAGGTTTGATTAGCCTTTGAAGCTAGGAGAAGGACTGGGGATGGCTCACAGGTCAGAGTCGTGCTGTCAATGACGGTGGTAAGGACTGGATAGCTCGTACTGAAAGTGAACGTCGAAATATACGTCGTTGTTGTCGGAATGTACGATGTGATCGTGAGATCGTATTCTGAGACCGAGATTGAAGTTGTCTACAAAGATTAGCTTGGGCTCAGATATCTAAAGAAGGGTGGGCTTGCCGTTGTGGTTGCTGTGTCTGTTATGGTTTGAAGCGACGTGTAAATTGTTGGAACATAGCTGGTGACAGTTCTATAAAATTGGGGGTTAGCAAACTCTATTCAAGAACGAATGAGTGGCGGGGGCTATAGTCTAAAAGCGGGATGCGTCCTTGATTGAGGTACAACGAGCTTTCTCGAACAGAGAATACAAAGTAAGCAGACAAACAAACTTACGTGCTATCTTCAATCGTGATATACACTGGATATGACGTATTGTATGTGTAAGTGGTGACATACGTAGACTGCAAATATCAGCCCAGCTCTTCCATGAAATGCAACAAAGGACCTACCGTGACTGTATCAGTCGAATAATACGAAGCAGTTGTCTAAAAACAATTAGCTAATGCTCCTCTTCCTGTTCTTCCCAAGTTTTGAACTTGCCGTGGTCGTATCAACATAAGTGATATAGTCAGTTGTCTAAAATTGTTAGCCGGGTGCAAGAAGGACAGATCGAAAGCTTGCCGTTGTGCTATCAGTCTCCGTGTAGTAAAAATCATCAGTCTCCGTCGACGTGTAATAAAAGTCTTGCGTGACGTCCGAGATTGCTGTGGTTGTCGATATTTCCGTGGTTCTAAACAAAGATTAGCTTGACTTCAGAGAACATTTCAAAGCCTAGTCCACCAGCTTATAATGTTGGAAAGTGATGAAGAGGCGCTTACGTTGTTGGCTTGGTCGTTGTAATCACGGATGTTGTTGTGTAGCTGGTGGTGTAATTGAAGATTTCAATGCTAGTCAAGGTGGCCGTGGACCAAAATGTGATATCGTCGGTGACTGTATATGGAGTTGAGGTGGTATAAGTGACTTCTTGAGTTGTGGTATACTAAAGAGAGTAAGTGAAAGGCTCAAGAATGAACGGACATTGAAGAAGTGTTCCAAAGTTCAAGAAAGAAAGTGAGAATATGCTGAAAGGAAAAATTGACAACACGAGCTCAAATGTTGCCAACTCTTGACATTGCCCTCGACGATATATTTCTGAATTATAACTTCTAGCATGGAAGATAGCCAAGCAAGCAGCGAGCGCTCAACGGCTCAACGGCTCGCAAGTCTGCAGGTGGTTAAAAGGGGGATATTGCGTCACGTGACTACAATATCAAGATTCACCAAATCAAAGCAATGCCTGAATCGAGTCTTGACGCTTGATGGAACTCAAATCATCCAGTTGGCATGGGTAGCGGCAGATTCGCTGGAATCTTGGTCGAGATCTTCAGAGCGAAGCTTGACATGTGATCAAAAGCACGTGACTGAAAACTTCAAGAGTAAAGCAAAATACCAAGGGCTACTCACAGTGGTTGGCTCAATACACGTCGTCGTTGTGGTAATATAACTGGTTATATAATCTGTTTCGATAGCTGTTGTCGTTGTCGGAATCTGGAACAATCAATACTCAATGCCCATTGAGGCAAGCTTCCAAATCAACTTACCGTTGTAGAATAAACTTCAACACACGTAGTTGTGGTTGTACTCCATGCTGTCGAAGTAACGGTGTATCTAATTCTGTTTAGCCTTCGCTTTTATAAGATTGATGGAAGGAAAGTAAGCTCACCCGTAGGAATCGGTTATGGTCACGTTGTATGGAAAAGACTGGGATTTATGAGCATTCCACCTTTTTCAAACGTTCATTTGAGCTTACAGTGGTTACTATATCAGTTTGAGTCGTAATAGACCAAGCAGTGGTCGTTGTTCTGGGAGGGAAGTCAGCTTAGGGTTCTTATCTAACTGGAAAGCTTCACTCACGTCTCCTCATCGGTTGTGGTGTAATCAGAAACAGAAATCGACGTAACAACGGCAGTGTCTGTAATGTCCGATGTGACCTGGGACATTGATCAGCAAGATCTAAAGCAGGGAATTGAGCCAGACATACCACGTCTGTCTCGGTGACGCTAATGTACTTATCGTTCTCGGAAGCTGTGGTAACCTGAGATTTGATCAGCTTGGGCCCGGAGATTGCTCTGAGGAGCTTCTTACTGTGTAGTACACATCGCTCGTAATGACATCCGTTGCTGTATAAGTTACACTGACATAAACGTCACTTTCGACCGTGGACTTGTAGATGTTAGGCATGTTTCTTGTTTGAAGCTTTATGGACTTGCCGTGTAGTAGATATCGCTTGTCTCAATCTCTGTCTGAGTATAGTAAATGTCACTTGTCTCAATGTCTGTTTGAGTTTGAGTGTAGTAGATATCCGAAGTAATCTAGTTCAAGCGATGAGCAACATGCTAAATTTTCAGATCATTTTAGACTTACAGTCGAGTAAAACTCCTGAGTCACTGTAAATCTACTTCTCATCAGCATCTCTCCACATAATTTGAGATCTCTGAACCCACGAAGCAGTCACAGTTTCCGTGCAAGTTTCCGTGGAAGTTATAGTTTCCGTGCAGGTTTCCGTCTCAGTCACGGGAGAGCACTCTCCAGTCTGCACCGAAGTGACAGTAATCGTTGATGCAGCACATGTCCCTGGAGACGTAGTACTCGATGTCCAAGGAGTGGAGCTAGAGGATATAGAACTCGATGTCGACGACTTCCACGGCGTGGAGCTCGATGTTGATGATTTCCAGGGTGTAGAGCTCGTCGACGATTTCCAAGGAGTAGAACTCGATGTTGACTTGTAATTATTCTGTTGCACCTCGACAGCCGAACTTGTTGTGTTCACATATTGTCCGTGAGACAACCCCACCAAGCCGACCACAGCCAGAAGCTTTCTACTCAACACCATAGCTCTTTTGTTGTTGGCGCAAAACTGGAAACGATTGTACCGAGAACACAATCAAATTGTAATCTGCGAGCGAGCGGGCAGAAGACGGATACCGACGTCGGTCTGGAACCAGGAACGATTGACTGCAGATTCGAGCAGATGGTGTGTGTGTGCCTGTGATATAACCTCGAAGTGCCGTCAGCCTGGGCTGAGGTCCGGAAGGTCTCCACACGAGGTGAGCTGGTAGCCAATAAACGAACGGAGGCAAGGACTCTTGGGGATGTACGTGGACAAGGCCTGAATATCCCCGAAAAGATGCAGCCCTGGACCACGAGGTCTAGAAAACGAGCGAAGAATAGGCAGGATAAAAGGAACAGAATCCCAAATTCTCACAATCAACTGTCAAAAGAAGGAAACAGCTATGGGACCCTAGTAATGTCCGATAAACTGCCAGGATCCATGAGAGGATCGAGGACGACACGTTACTTGGGCAAACGAATTGAGAGGAGAAACCCGAAGGCTGCATGTCGAGGAACCAGGTACCCCGGCCGAGCGGGCCCTGTGAGAATTTGGAAGGAAGCATTGCATTGGGATGAAAGCCAAGGCAGACCCTCGATCCAGTAGCAAAATCCTCAGAGCCTCAATAGCAGCAGCACGCACCAGTAATGGGCTCTTGTCAACGCCTACACTGCAGGGGAACATCGAGACTTGTGTGCTTCATTCTGCATATCGAGGCTCTTTGGGTGCGGGGCAATCGTACAATGATACACCGGCCTGCGGGTGTCACCCGTTGTAGGAGTCCATGGCGGGTTGCAACCTCTATGAGAACAGGCACCAGAAAATAGCTCATAAGCCTTTTGGATAATAGTATGACTGAAGAAAACGCCTTCTCCGAGGGTCGTGTTGGAAAACCAGTTATCGCCCGGCCTCGTAAGAAAGAATACTAAGCTTGGGGGCCATCTCTCTGATCTTGCTCGGTTGGGGCCATCGCACTGGTTGACTCGCGAGGCGCAAAAAAGACGGGCGGTCCAAGTCCAGCCTCTGCGATGAGCTCCTTGAGGAAGGACGACGATGCAGGCAGGTGAGGATTTGCGTGGTTGAATGCTCGACTTGCATGGGCGATGCAGGAAGATGCAGGTGTACACAGCCCCGAAATACAGTAGAAGTGAAGTGGTCGCAGAGAAGTGCTGTCGACGTGTGATTGGCTATGGTGGCGATGTGGACGATGGTTCGTCTGGATCCTGGCGACGGTGGAGAAACATGGGGGTCTGATCGGGAGACCCGGCCACAGAGGAATTGGGGACTGGATGGAGAACAGCAGTGAAGCACAACAAGACTGCACAGCTCTGCACAGCTTTCATTCCTTGGCAGCATGTTCTCCAATCCCTCAGCAGTCAATAGGATTCGAGCTCCAGCTGTGCCCTTTCCTGCTGAGAAGAGCCCTAAAGCTCGTGTAGAGAGAGGGCTGGGAGAGGGGAGTTGGATGTTGGGACTTCCGGATGAAAAGAGCCTCAATCACCTTATTCTGATCGGCTCGCAAGGGTCGGTGGCCAGAACGGGCGACAACCCTCAAACAACCTTGATATCACATCACTTTACCCCACTTTCTGGGTACCCGTCAGCAGTACAGTACAGTAACAACGTAAAATCAATAAGAATGTTGGGGCCAGGGACAGACATACTCACTCACTCATTTACCCGATCATCACGGCGCTTGAGTGCAGACGACGGGATGTTTTCTTCGCCATGCGCGGGTTCTTTTTTAGCATGTCTCTCCACGATCGAGATGCTGCCGTTGTCTCAGTGCTCAGCTTGAGTCCTCCGAGGCGGAGTATTCCCACTCCCATCATTAACTTGGAAAATGAGTCAAGGACGGCAGCAGATACAGATTGGCTGAACGTGGCGTCGATTCAACCTGGACGGCTTTTCGTATTCGAAAAGCCTTGAAAAGCAACGCGGACCAGTCAGACAAGATAATGCCCCTCAGCTCGCGGAGCCGGCTCACAAGGCTGAAGGAAGCGAGAAAATGAGTGTGCTGATTGTCCGAATTTCAGGGCAAGGTCTAGGGCTTTCTTGGGGTGTTCTTAGCGTACTGTACTGGACAGTAGATAGGCTGCTCGATCCTGGATCCATTCGCTGTTGGTGGCCGGCCGGGCCTGTCATGTCAGCGGATGCTCCCTAGGGTGGCCCCTGGCACGGCCTTAACACTACTGCATCCAGCTGCATCGACAGGCATCTCCCCACTAACGACCCAATTGCTCACTCTCTTCTCCTCTCCTCCACGCATCTTCCCTCACTCACTCACTCGCTCAATGCTCACTTCTCCTCTCACCGTCCTGTGCTGGCGGAACGAGCCACAACTCTTGTCATGTTTGCTGCCACACTTGTCGCTTTGGAGAAGGAGGGTCGCATTCCTGCTGCCCCCCACCACTCACAGCTGCAGTCCGCTGCTGAGTGAGATATGTGTGGCCCAGCACATACAGTACTCCAGCTTCTCGGCCTTACCAACGCCAGCCGAAGAATGCAGAAGCTGCTTTCTTCTGAAGGTTGTAATCCCGCATTCCTACTGGTGATTGCAACCGAAGAAGTGAGTGTTGTGCAGATGCTATTCACGTTATCCGGCAATGCGCTCAGCCTCTTTCACTTCGACATCTAACGATCGTGGACGACGGCTCTCTCTGAGTTGTTCGTTTTGGCTTCTCCATTCATCGTCTTGAGTTCAGGATGTTTCGTTCGTTACTTGCTGCGGGGTTGTTTGCGCGACTATGCGCGGCTCAGCAGTCCGGCTGGCAGACCGGGCAGGTCAATGCCACCATGTGCTACTGGGATTCTCCAAGAGGTAATCTTAATTGAAGCGCCCGTTGATCCCGACTGATCATGAAACAGCCGCCGTCGTTCGCGATACTCTTTATATTGACGGCGGGGCTTTATGGTGGACGCCAGGAATGAGTGATGGAACGTATGGTCCTCCGACTTCAGATGGTGAGATGTTCAAGTCCACCAAGAGGGATGTCGCTGATCAATTCAAGACAATCCACTTGGCATAGTCTATCAACTTAACTTCAGCACTCCCTTTAATACAACAGCACAAACGAACATAAGTAATGTCTTCACTACCCAATCGAAAGCTGCTGCTGGTGGGGCAGCAAACAATGTCGCACCCAACTATTATGATGGAGTAATGATGGCCAACGACTACGAATGGTTCATCTATGGAGGGCTCATAACGCAAACCGCTGAATACACCCTGCCTGATTCTCAATCGGCAGCGGCATACGAGGTCTATGCATCAGGCCCTCCCAAACAATTCAAATCCGGATACATCCTCGAGACTCTTACAAATGGCCTCACTAGATATGTGACAAATGGTGCCGGTGTCAGTGTGCCGTCAGAGAATCTGGGATTTTACTTTGGAGGTCTGAGATCTGCGAGCTTTGGTCCTATATATTATCAGACGGGAAACGAAACGTACAATGCCGATGTCCTTTCTGATACGATGATTGAGTTGGACATGACTGTTCAGACTCAAGAGACTTGGAAGAACATTTCTTTGCCGACTACGGTTCCGGGTCGGATTAATGCTGAGCTTGTATGGGTTCCTGTTTCTGAGCAGGGAGTTCTTGTTGCCATTGGTGGAGTTGTAGATGCTGAATACGCGGAGCTGGATACGGTCCTAGATGCAAATCAGACTGCTGACACTGTAAGTATTATCTAACTGCAGAAACTCCTCGACTAACGAAAACATAGAAACTTAAAAGTCCCGGTTTGATGAATACAGTGGCTGTATATGATATTGCCACTGGAAGTTGGTATGAGCAGCCGACTTCAGAGCAAAACCCTGGAATGTTAACTCAAGGATGCACCGTCATGGCTTCAGCACAAGATGGTTCAAGCCACAACATCTATTGGTACGGAGGTTGGCAAGGCATCGATAGCACCCAACCCTTCAATGACGATGTCTGGGTCCTCTCAATCCCAACCTTCATGTGGATGAAAGTCAGCTCTGGAACGACAGGTCACGGCCGCGCAGGCCACAGATGCGTAAAACCATACCCAGACCAAATGTTCGTAGTAGGAGGATACGCTCCCTTAACAGGCACAATCCCCCAATGCGTCTCCGGAAATATCATCCAAGTCTTCAACCTCTCCACCGCAACATGGATCACGAACTACGACCCCGCCGTCTGGAGTAACTACACGGTCCCATCCATGATATCCTCCATGATCGGCGGAACTGGCACCGGAAGCGCTACCCATACCCAACCATCACCCAGCGGCTTTGCAAACGCAAGCATGACCGGCCTCTTCGGGGCAGCATACAACACCTCCAAAATAACGACCTGGTATCCCTACCATGCCGCTGCCAGCACCTCCCCACCCGGAAACATCACAACCATAACCCCCACCCCGAAATCCGGATCCGGTACCCCCTCCTACCTCGGACCCGTCCTCGGCGTCGTACTAGGCCTCTTCTTCCTCACCCTCGCCATCGTAGCCTTCCTCATCTGGCGCCGCCGGCACCTCTTCCGGTCCTCTGCCGCAGGCGGCCAGAGCGAGAACGGCACCATGGATAATAGACGCTGGGTGACGAACTGGTTGCGTGCTACCCCAGCGGATGCTAAGGCGCCGACTGTTACGACGGACGAGACGCCCGTGACGCCGTATCCGTACGAGGAGGATAGGCAGGAGATGGCAGAGGTGCAGGGACAGCAGGTTTTTGAAATGATGGGTTTGTCCCCCTTCCTTCCCCCTTTCCCTCTCACTCGTTAAACAGCTGTGAAAATAGATACATCCCGCCTCGTCGAACTCGGCGCCAACCCCGACACAGGAACCGGACTTCACCCCATCCCCATGGCCCAAGTGCCCCCTCACTCTCCATCCCCCTCATCACCCCGCTCCCAAAACCTAGCCCCCTCAAACTCAATCACCTCAACAACAACAACATCCACCCTCTCCCGACCGCCCGTCTCCCCTGTTCTCCAAAACTCGCCTCGGCTCGACGGCCCAGGCCAGGGAAGAGAAAAATTCATCTCCGGCATGTCGCAGCTGAGTGATAGTGACCGTGGCCATTTGAGAGGGATTAGCGAGACTTCAGTGAGCACGGAGGGAGGAGGTGGGGTGGGGTTTGTGACGCCGTTGGAAACGCCTGGTGCTTTGAGAGGCCTTGGAGCTGCTGGAGCGGGAGGGGGAGAAGGAAGAGGAGAAGGGAGTGAGGGTATGGTCCCGACTAAAGTCCCAACCCCGCCATTGAGAGGAACGGCTGTTAGTCCGTTGACGCCGCCGCAGGGGACGGGGAGGGAGGGAGGTGATTATTTGAATGCGAGCGGAGGTGGGAGTGCTAGTCCGGGTGCGGTGACGAGGAGGAGGAGTAATTTTAGTGAGGAGTTGGGGGAGGATGGGCGGTGATGGTGAGAGGTGCTTAAAAGAGTTTTGATTGAGAGATAATGCGGGGATTCTTGTATATTGTTTATTTTGGATGGGGGCTGAAGGGATTGCTTTGGGGGTGCATGGATGGCGGGTCTTGGAGATAGGGGATGCGGGAAAGGCGTGAGGGGTAATCTGCATGAATATATATTTCAAGTTTGATCTCGTTGTATTGTTCTTCTTCTTCCATTGCCTTTGTCTCTAGGGATCCAAACAAGTAATTATATACTTTCCCTCGTATGTCTTCGCTCAAAAGGACCTTAGCTAGTCAGCGGTTAACACTCTAGCATCAGAACTCAACTTATTCACCCTTTTCCAAGCCTCGCCTTCTATCTACTGAGCACCCAACTAGCGCTGCATATCAATACAACACTCCACAGAGAGACAAGAGACAATGGCATACATATACACACGCACAGCGCGGCTTGCAAAGCAGCGCTTTACACTTTTGCTTGCCATGATGCAGGATAAGATCTGCATCATCATCATCGTCGTCCTCTGATTCATGACGAGCAAGGTTGTGTGCCTGGAGTTCTAGTTCACGTGATTGAAAACCGAACTATAAATCCTGCCTGCGTTTGTAGAGTACTACATGGGAAGTTTTTTCTCGACCTTCCTCGTAAAGACCTGAAAAGCTTAGATACCCTCTTATTCTACGCGATGGAGGAATTTTCTTTTGATAGCAGTTCTCGTAAATCGGCTTGATTTAAGCTAGTTTCGAAATATATTAATAGCGGTAAAGAAAATGTTAAGGGTTTTACTGGGTATTAGTGGATTTATTTCTCTTCCTTACTAGTAGGGTTGTTTCGTTCATGAGCCGAAGCATTGTGGTATCTGTAGATTGGCTTGTAGTCCTAGATTATGAAACTAAGGAGCGGAACGTAATTAGATTTGTGTTATTTCCGGATATTGGCCTTGGCTACAATCACATGGTCCCTTTGACTCTTTCAACAATTCCACCTCTTATGGATGCGCCATGGAACTATGATGAAAGCGGCTCTCCCAAGGATACTGAACTGATGCAAAAGTCTGTGGACCAGAAAGACTACATCGCAGCTGTGCGACAGGAGGAGGATAGGAGCGATGGGAACAGTCGTTGTCTATCGGAAGCGCTAGAGCATTCGAGAAAGCGGTAATTGGTTGCTGCGATGAGATTATATCGGGATGGTAAGGTTGGATGGTATTTTAAGGTGATTGATGAATTTCTCTTGTAGGTATGTAAATTTTTGAGATGTATTGGATAATAGCAGTTAATTTCCATTGTATCGTTTCAGGGTCCTAAAGTACTATATATCCGTGGAATCGTTATCCTGTATTGGCTATGTGGTGCACCTTCTGCCTTTGTGGCCAATTCGACAATGAGAATCTGGGCTTGAAGTTCCACCTCCAGGACAGCCAGTGCTACTACTACATTAGCAAGATTCAACACACATTTGCTTTTCTGACAGCATCAGCTTGTAATTACAGACCTATCAACTCTCGCTGCAGTCACCTTAACTAGACCTCTTTGAACCAAGCAGCCAAAAGTACCTTGTTGCTGGTTTCGAAAGTTGTCCAAATTGCATAGCCGAAGCCTTTCGAAAAACTTTCGCTATACAATCTGGACAAGCTAGACAAGGCTGGGAACAAATTTGATCCGCAAATTGAGCTAGATCGCTTACCCCACACTCGTTTCGATTTTGTTTGTTTACAATCGCGTTCTCCGAATCCCACAACAACGATCTGGATCCCCACGTACAACGATCTACCTCAACCTCACAGCTGCATATGCTCCAATCGCAGTCTCCTGAGAATGCAAGTTAAAATGGCCTATGACTTCACGCCTGAGCAATTGGCTGGGATGCTAGAGTTCATCGAAGAATCTCTAGAAGCCGAGCTCTGGGAGATCCCTAAGATGAATTTGCTGCTATTGACTTTGATGGCAAGAGCATAACGATCTCCAGCTGGCCGGAATGAAAAACTAATTCAGTGAACAGCGGGCCTTTGACCCATCCCCAACTTACAGACCGATGTCTGTTCACCTTCAGGCCCGCTCTCGCCTGCAGATACGCACCAACGACCTGAACTGTCCCGATCCGCTCCTCCAAATGGCCAAAGCTGCTGAATTGATTCATCCTGGACGTTCGGACACGATTGTCACGCTTTGCATGCCGACCAACATCCAGCAATTCTTCGATGCTTCCTACGATACACGCAACCTGGAAGAGATATGGAAGAAGGCAATCCGAAGAAACGCCAAGGTAACTGGTACCAAGATGCTCGGCCGAGCTATCAACGTAGCCATGTTCTATCTCCGAAAGGAGCTCGCTTCCCCAACCTTCGTCGAGAATCTTAAGACCATGACTGACCATGAGCTTATCGAACACTTCGCTGATATGCTCGACAAGGAGGACATTGGGTACATCTACAGCGAAGCATGGAAGGCAATGTCAATGATCTACGTATGGCATGACGGCGAGCGACCAGATGCTGCTGATCTGACTGCGGTTCCGCCACGAGCCACACATGGGCCTGAAGAATCCATCCGTCGGGACCTACGTCTATACACCAAGTTGGGAGCAGGAATACTCATTCGGCATGTTCTTGTTGATGTTGTGATGAAGTCTGTCAATGATGAAGATATCACACCATCTTCGTCAACCGCTGGCTAGCAACCTACTACTGTTAAGACGACTGAGGAACTCTTCAAGGAAGGTCATGCGAGAATGAAGCGTGCTTGTACCATGCTCCCATCTGTACCCGAATTCTCAATGATTGACTTTGATTTTGATCGCCTGCCTGCGGTGATGAGATTAGATTCAAGGAAGCGGGAGAAGAAGGGTTATGCACGTAGGAGTGAATTTTGACTTCGGTCCTCTAGACGACTTCGATCTTCACTCGAGATAATTGAGTTAGGAAGCAAGTCCGAAAGGACACTTCTACATCCTAATCATGTCTTGAGCACTGAGTCCGAAAGGACCTATCACCTCATCATGTCTCCGAAAACTGAGTCCGAAAGGACCACATAACGAAACACACCTCATAACTCTCATATAGCGCAGATTCAAGTCCGAAAGGACATTCATGTATTCTAAAATTGAGTCCGAAAGGACCTGCACTAAAAAATGCAAGCCTCTACACACTTCTTTCAGTGCCACTTGTTTCTCGTGTATCGAAGCTGTCCACATTCAACAATGAAACGCTTTTGGAAAAGGTCTACCACGCTTCTCTTATTCAAAGTGGACAACTCAAAAGCTTCTAAAAGCCAATCAGATTTCAGGATTCATGTTTGTTGCATATCGCAGATTTTGAGGATTTACCAATTCGCCTTAAAATGTCAGGAAGCCGAGTCGCTGTCAACCTACTATCTGGTGCATCCTTGACGGATGATGAAACCGAAGACGAAAGCGAGTATGAATTTGTCATCCAAGATGTCACCGGAAAACACGAAGAGACATTTAATACACCTTTCCGCAAGGCAAAACCCCACAATCCTCAAACGCAGCTTTCAACAAAGCCGATATCGACACCAGAGAGACAACCATTCTCAACCATCCAAAGTTCCGTCTCGGTAAATGCCAATTTTCGGCTGTCCTGAGGATCCCACCTTGTTTTTATGCTTGTAATTCTTCTTAATGCCTTTTAGATGTTCTTTCCACTCCTTCTCGCTCAACCTCCATGTTCCTTGGAAATCTTTCAGGATGGAGGAATCATATAAGTAGTACATATGTCCTGCAATTGTATTTGCATCAACCGGCATCTGAGGGTCCTTGACGAAGAAAGACCATATTAGTACGAGAATCATGAAGCCTAATATTGTAATTGTTGTCCATGCGCATAGCTTATGAGTTGTCCAGGTTTGAGTAATGCGGAACGGGATGTTGGAAAGAAAGATGGGAGTGATCTTGGATAAGATACTTGCAAAAGCCACGATGCTAGTAAAGACTTGTCTGTTTCGTACGGCATTCCAGAATCCAGGGAAGACGGTAGGACGTAACGAAGCCGAAATTGCTTTATTCGATCTCCGAGGGGAATGGGACAAGTCTTTATAAGGCTGCATCCGCCCCACTCCTATTGCTGCTGTTAGGTCTCACTGAATTTCAATGACAAAGCGGCTTACGTACGTGAGAACATATCATCCCAGAAGAACGAGATAATGACACCGCATGCAACGAAGAAAGACCGAACTCCAAATTTCTGGCTATCGATAAATCGCTCGAAAGAATTGGTCTTTGCGTTAAGCCGGACCGTGTCGTAATAGACGATCAGAGTGAGGAGGCCACAAAGAGTTGTCAGGAACAATACACGAAATCCGTACTCCACAATGAGCCTCTTGGGAAAGCAATGGGAGCTCTCCTTCGGTATTTTACCTTCTGGCCCACTTGTTGACGATGGAAGCGGGGGATGTTGCTTTCCAGGTCGTAGGACGATCCCGTATTCGATGATGCCTCGACTTCCAAAATAGAATCCGAAGGCATAGTTCCTCTCTTCAAGACGACTGGTCATCTCTTTCATCTCAATGCCCTTCCGACTCTCAAGATGAAGAGATTGGAATAGCTCTGACATTTCTTCCGAGAGAAATGACGCAATAGATGCAATGCTCCATGGGCTAAATGCAACGCCGGACCTCATTGAATATAAAAGTATGCAAATACAGATTATAACGGCAACCATAATGACCATCAGATATTCCACAGCTCGAGATGGTCCATCAAAGACATCAAAGAACATACTGCAACCTTTGAAGCTATTCAAGTCGCATACCCCTGTAAGATTTATCCCAATAGCTTCGCTAGAGATAGAGATTAAAACAGCCGTAAGAAGGACAAGAACGTCGCACAGGAATGAGATCGGCTCATTGTTCCGAAACAACAATCTAATACTATGCAATGACCCTGCGAAACCACCAGGGACCAAACACAGCGAATCTGTTACTGCAGCGCCTCCAGACCTCGTGAGGGCGTAAAATGGCAACATAAGCTTCAGGTTCTTGTCGACCATTTGAATGAAAATGGACAAAATAGCGGCCATCAAAACCGGAACGAACATTGCCACGAAATAATTCGCAGGTTCAATAGGAATGGAGAGCAAAGGGCTTGAGATGTGGGACAAATTTCCCATTGTGCCGCCGGTCTCTTTCGGGAAAGACGGCGCAGTGATAGCACCAGTTGCTGTGAACTCTTCGAGTGTCTTTGCTGGTGCGCCACTGGAATTGGAAGGTGTCTCGAATATGACTGTTAAGGTTTCTATAGGCATCCCGTTTGAGTTGATGACAGTCTCTAGTGAAGTTATTGGCGATGTCTTTGGTAGCACAAGAGAGATGTTTAACGCTGTTGTTGGTGTTTGGATTGGTAAGCTGTTAGATTTTCTTGGTGTCTCTGAAAGCTCCGTCACCGTAGCTGTGGGTCGACCAGAGGAGTCTGTTAAGATGTCCAACTCTATGATCGATGTACCTGTTAGAATACCAGCCAAGTTGAATAGGGTGATGATAGTTTCAGACTGCACCCCACTTAGAGACCCCGGCGCGGTTTCTGGTGTCACCGTAGTGAACAGTCTTGTGGGGTTTGAGAGTGCATCGGCAATCGTCTGTGTCGGAGTCGGTGGGCTGCCGAGAAAATTTGTGCTTGAAATTGTTGTGGTTATTAAGTATTGATTGCTCCATTGATCTGGTGCAAGGGAGCCTGTGGAGATAGGACTAGTGTTTTGGACTATACATATAAGACCTCCAGGAGTTCCGAATGCAGTCAGCTGCAATGGAACGACTGTCGTCATCGTGGATATACCACCGCTAACGAATCTGGTCTCTGAACTTGTTGTGAGATGTCCGTCAACACCTGTGTAAATGTCTACCACATGAATCTCGGACGCAGCCAAAAGGCTTGTTATAGTGACTGGTTCTTGAATTTCGAAATCCGTGGATGCTGGAATTGTATCAGATGGCTGTCCCAACTCTGTGTCTGAATCACACTTCCAGTTCTCGGGGCAATCTAGGAAACGACCGCTGGGGCAGTTTGTCATTAAGACCCAGTCTCCGAAACCTGTAAAGCTTTCGGGTGTCCAAGCGGGCACAGGGGATGGTCCAAGCCAAATGTATTGACCTTCACAGTCCTTTGGATTATCAGTTTCCCATAACATATACCGATAGCAGGAGCTGCTATTCTTGTCTGTCATGGCTATCTCCACGATGAATTTGCCCGCGCAATTTTCTGCCCCCTCGCATGAATAAAGAACATACTTCATCGGGCCGTAAGCTGGATTGTAACCTGCATAGTTGGATGGGTCTGGGAGGTGCCGTTTGATTTAAAAGCATTGTGGATGTGACTGTAGACGACGTTTCGCTCATAGCAGAATTTGTGATATTGGTCGCGATGAGTGTGGTATTCTTGAACACCCAAGGTTCGGGGGTCCGCGTTGCCTCCATATTTGAAGCTGTTGTGTTCATCGAATATGCTCTATGATGCTTGACTGGGGCATGTCGCCCCAATGTAGATTGAGGACGAGATGCCACCGTGGATTGTGCCTGTATAGCCGTGGATGATCTTGGTTGCCAGAGCGGAGAAGATCCTTTGCTATATTTCGCGAGTGGCAGTACATGACGGGAATATTCAATTAAAGCTATAAGAATACAGAGTACGAGAAGTAACGAGGCAAGAAAAGACCAACGTAGAGGCAATGGTTTGTAATTGGGTTGTCGGACGATAAGATCTTTGCCCTTCGAATTTCTATGAAGTTGGAAGAAAGATGGTATTCTGCAGGTAGATTTCTGGGGCCTTTGGCGAGTAGGTCGAGAAGTACCGATTGCCATGTTTATCAGACGTGAGCACAATGGACCAAGAATGTATGCTCGTAATGCCGCAAATTATTGACTACTTAGCACGCTCTCTTTAAGTTCTGGCACTATTTTCTTGTACTACCAGTATCATGTTACTTTTTCTACGTTGCATGCATGTTCCACTGCAGAATTAAAGTTTAATCTGACGTCCCCACGTGAACGTGGTGCAGTATCACTCTCAATCAGACACAATATATTATATGGAACTCGAATGGATATTGTCCAATCAAAACTCTTGACTCGAGTAAAGATACCCAGATTATATACCCAACCAATAAAGGCGACCCAAACTTTATTTCCGTCGTGTCAATAGGACATTGCCGTAATCTTGGCTATATTAACCGCCCCCATTGCGCCTACCGGCAAATATTCAGATGAAATTCAGGGCTTAGGTATCTGCCACAATGGGGCCAGGAACGAAGAGGATAGTGTGGGTACGTTGAAATGGTCCCATTAACCCTATGCGCCATGCTGAGCAACATGTTGCTCTTTAAGAATGCCGGCTCGACCATACCATGCATTCGCATGCGCCTGGAATCAATTTCCTGCGCCTTGCGACTTTCAGTGATCTTGTCTTCGCCAGAACTGGTCTGTTCACTTTCGTGGTAGCAGCAGTCAATATCGTCATCCTTCAGGTATTAAAGTCGGAGTAAGAGGTGGCAGCACTTGTATCTATCCTGGTAGATACTCGAGCATGTGAGCCTCGGACGATGGGTTCATCTGCGAATATTTCCACTTTGAAAAGGAGGAAGCAATCGTTGATGCTTTCAAACCACATAGATTTTGATGATTCGGCCAGCACCATGAGACGGACTTTGGACTAGGCATTTGACACCTCGGAAAGCTAAGATGTCCTCGGCCTCGACAGTGCCACGCTGTTATGTGCCTTTATTTCGGTAACGTGCGAAGGTATCACCTCTGGGAACAAATGCAATGTATTTTCATCTTGGAGACGGAGCGAGAGGGAGCCATCGCTGAACGCCAGTAACAATACTCGCCGACAGGCCCAAACCCTAGTTCGTCGGCCGCAATGATGTGTTGAATTGAGGTCAAGTCAAGCGCAAAGTCTACCTTCTGTAGCAACTTGATCCGTTTGCTGCAATCTGAAAACCTGCCGTCCCAAGTATGAATGTAATCAAAATGTGCATATTAGCTATTACAAGCGGCTTGAGGGAGTTCTGAAGTGGGAAATTTCGATGTGATGAGCTCGAGATCCTGGGGAACTCTTACCTAAGATAGGCAAGCGACTCGACCACAACGCCTCAACGCAACACAACACGAGAAGATTGTCATAACATGACTTACTCATCAAGCCCCGCAAGCCACGCGTAATCAAAGAGCATTCCTTAAAAAGTCAACTGTCACGTGGAGGTGCGAAGCGATGTTACCCCTGAGGTGGCCAAGGCCTCGGTTAATTGGCTAGCCTTGGAATCAGCCACTATCACACTGCATATCGCCACCTTTTTATCTCCTATGGAGAGAGCTCCCGTGCAACGCCGGTTTTTGTTATTTTTAAAGGAGACGAATAGAGGCTCAACCCTCCTCCGCAGTGTGACACCGGCACGGACATGGCCCCACCGCGTACGAGCTGTGACGTTCGGCGGCCCAACCAGATGGGTGGAGGCTGAAAAGCGCTTATGAACCTGAGCTCGCAAGCGATCGATTGGCTCTGAGCACTTCATCCTTCTCCTCAAAATCCCCACAATGAGACGATTGAACGAGGGGTTGATTAGCATGTTGATACAATTGGTTGTTCCCATAAAAGGCATTGTGACGTTTCCCAAAACGGTGGAGCTGTCCTTCTCCAGGTACTGAACTATTGACTCGTGGTTCAGGGAACTCGATTTCCATGGCACTCAGCTTTCCCAAAGTCGTGATTCTCGTGTTCATTGGATGATATTATTCTTGACATGGTTCATATCAATCTTCGTTGGCTCGTCTTGGGTTGCGTGGCGACGGGCGCGGTGCGAACCTTGCGCCGTCACAAACATATAGTGTCTACCGATTCCACAATCGACTGCAGGTCCAGAGGTCAAAGTGTCTTCATGTGAGAAATACTGCAGCAGCCCTCTTTTTCGTCGTCATGGATGACTTAGGTGGGTATGGACCAATTATCATCGTTACGCTATGGACCGAGGCCGCAATTGCTCTGGTTTTCGTCTCCATGAGGTTGTATACGCGGTGTCAAATCAATCGAGTCGTGGGATGGGATGATTTCCTGATTTCATTCAGTTGTGTGAGTGGCATTGGAACGTTCAATGGACGAGGTACTGATGTCGACCAGTTGATGTTAATACCCTATGCGACGGCAGTGACTGTAGCATGCCTCAAAGGCCTCGGTCGACACTCGGACGAACTTACCTTGGACCACATCATATACGGAGTTCGAGCAGAGGTCATTGGGCAAACGTGAGTTTTGTAATCTCTTTCGAGACTCAAAACATGCTGAGATGAACTGTGTAGCTTCGGAATCGTCGGGATAGCCACCAGCAAAGCATCAGTAGCGGCTTTCCTCCTCAGAATCACCATCATCACTTGGCACAAGTGGGTGCTTTATATTACACTACTCAGTGTCAGCGTCATTTGCTTTCTATGTGCTCTGTTTGACTACATACGTTGCGATCCAGTTGATAGTATCTGGAACCCAACTATTGTCGCCAGATGCTGGATGTCTGCGGATGGCTTTACCACGCTATCACTTGTTGCTGGAGGTACAGAACAGACATACTCCACTCTTATCGAATGAATCTGACGTGAAGTAGTCATTTCAGCTGCGGCCGACTTCGTCCTTGCAATTCTACCGTGGTTTATCCTTTGGAACTTGCAGATGAAGAGGAGGGAGAAGAACTTGATTGCATCATCTATGAGCCTAGGGCTTTTGTAAGCAAATCTTCCAGATCTTGCCTACTGAGGCTAATAGTTCAGTGCTGGGGCCTGCGGTGTCATCCGAACTCTCAACGTAAAGAGAGTGTCAGAAGGAACTGACTACTCTTGTAAGTACCAACTTCCCCCCAACACGAATTTCCCCAGCTCATACTCCCCTCAGATGAAACAGTTGGCCTCATACTTTGGAACTCTACTGAGTTAACAGTAACAATCCTATGCGCTACAATCCCCACTCTCCGCCCTCTAATCGCGCAACTCCTCCGCCTCTGCTCGCGATCCTCTACCCGTCGCCAAAGCTACCGCCTCAGCTCCACTCCACCCAAAAGTGAAGCGTTCCAATCAACCACTAAATCCTCCGTCGTTGCTGAGCAAAGAGATGTGGAAAGACAACGAGAACCAGACGTGAGAAGCGATAAGAGTATCTTAGGCCACAGAGGCGAGAACTCGGAAAGCAGCATCGTGTGCACGGATGTGGTTTATGTTGAGTTCGAGGAGAGAGCGGAGCCGTATACCCCGAGTAGTAGTAATTGGTCGAAGAGAGGCTGTCAGAATTGGGAGATGATATAATATTTTGTTTTAGTAAGAATACTAGAATATTGGTTTCAGGACCGGGTTCATTTGTATATATCTAGGGTGGTTTCAAACAATGGCACTGCTGGAGCTGGTTTTCGGCGTCATCAAGGTGGTTTCCATGCGTCAAGGACAGGATTAGATTTGAAGAGTTGGGTTCTCATTCCCTTCCACTGATTGAGGTTTTCATCTGAGCATGGTCGTCGAGCTTCGCCCATGCTCGACTCCTCTTACAGTCCTCGCTCTCCTTTGGCAATCTCAGACGATAATTTTTCGAGTTTGCTTCGAATGCAAACTTTTCTTGGCCTTTAACACAATCAGAGTGCGAGGATTGCCAGGGTAATTCTGTATACATCACAATGTACTCGCAGACAAGGGATCATCTAGTACCTAATGTTCTCTGCAATTGCCGAAACACTTCCTCATCTAGTTGCTCTTGCAGTTCAAGTCAGTACATCTACTGATAATAGCCCTGCTCGTCATGCACCATCACGAAGTACTACGGGGTAGGCCTTCCGCGAGCGCGAGGGGAAAGACAAGAATTCCATTTCGTTTCACATGGCTTATAGAGCAACTATATTTGACGAGGCTTATAAGAAACCTCCTTTTCTCCCCTGATCAGCTCTCTCAACCGGATTCCGGAAATGGGATATTGAAAGCGGCAGAAGAGACATATGGTTACATGATTCAACCACGAGTCCTCTTTGCTACCATTGCTAGAATTATCTGTCCACCTTGTCAGATCTAGTCAAGAGAGCTTTTTGTTTGAGATCAATATCTTCACTTGATAAAGGGTAATCGTCAATGTCAGACACTGGATGTCAAATGTCATCAGGTGAATGAGGGGAGAACGATAAGAACCATTGTCTGTCCTATAGCTCTACGGAGATTCTTTCGTTTAGATCCCTGAAGAGAGTGGCTAATTATAGCCACTATGACCACCAGAATCCAGGCATTTTTCAGCTGCCACACACAAGCTGTCATAATCACATGACGTATCCTCCGATCTTGTCTCCAAAAGCTCTGCTCATGACCTCGGGAGTCTAGGCTCATGACCTGAGTAAACAATCTCCACAAAGCGACTTCCACCCGACATACTATTTCTCCATGGTGTGATCCCATATTTAGCACGTCATGAATCCAACGTTCCCAGTCGTGTTGATCACATCCTTCTCCTCATCCTTCAATATCAGTTCGACAAACATCTCTAGACAATGCTGAGTGTGTATGAACTCATTGGTGTTGGAGTCGATCCTAGCCCCGCGGAGATAGCCATCATGTAGCCGCAGAATTATGTAGGCACAGTGACTCAGATGCCAGGCTTGCGTGGTATGAAACTCGTCTGAGAGAGATAGAGCATGTTCGTCTGGAATTCTTGTTGTTCCAGCCTTATCTCTCCAAAATGGGAACTTCATGTTAGGCCGAGGATCAGTGATTTCCTTGAACTCTTCGATGCCATAGTGGGAGCACTCTGTATGAATCCAATTCACGCTGAGAGGGTCGAAAACGCAGCCAAGAGCTAGCGCTTCAGTGGACGAATTCCCACAGCTGTATTTGGGTGTGACTGCCATGGGGGATTGTGTAGAGGTTTGGATCTCTGGAGAGGATGAGAATTGTGAAATCGTTGGTCCATAGTAGTGCATCGTGACCAGTGAAGTAACCATGGATGACAGGATAGCAGTGGCAGCTACCACAAGTATGAACATAAAATTACGTTGCGAAGAACGTTTCTCTGTCCCTTGAGTAGCCTTGAAAGTTTCGTCAACTTCAACAGGGCTGTATTCGTGCTTGGATTGGAAAGCCATTTTCTAGATTGTGATATGAAGTGGTCAGAATTTTCCGTTCTGGCTGGACATAGAGGACAACTTTGGTAAAGGGGAAAAACTCACAGCCCATGCAACGAACTCGGTCATGTCTCCAGTGTTTATAGGTACTGAATGGCCTCAGAGAAGTTGTGCAAGAGAATTTGACCCAAACAAATAGATGTATCTCTTGAAGATTGAATCCAAGTCCAAACCAATACCTGGACTATCGTATGGTAAGTGTTCAGAGCACAAATTAGTTTCACAGACAGTCGCAAATGAAAACAATATTTGATAGCTAAGTAGCGTGCATGAAGTCAACCTTCTGAAAGCTAAGGCGATAGATGTCAATTGATGAACGGCAGGGCGAGACGAAGACAATGCTTGGAGAATGCAGCGAATGCAGCAGGTTCAACGGAGCAAGGGACATGTATGGGCTCGTTCGTTCACCAGATCGCGCTAGCTTTCTTGTATACGTACAACACCCTGTCGCATGCCGTTCTCGTCACGGCACCTCCCCGCAGCTCGCACTTGAGGATCTATCTGGCCTATCAATCGTATTGAGGTCGCAGAGAGTATAACCTGGTAGTTAGAGAATAAACCGGTTTGTTCAGAGAATTTCTGATTTATGTGCTTTATTTTCTGACACAATTCTAGCCCTGGTCCTCGCTAGTTTGTATTTTACGAAGTCGGAGATTTTGTACGTAATCGGGAAGGGTGTCGTTAGCGTCAGCGGCACGCCGCCACTGCAGGTGTAGCTCAAAGGCTGCACCTACTCGGTAACGGACCGTTGTTAGCGACAGCGGCACGCCGGTGACTTTCACAAAAGAGGAAACCTCCACGTTATCGTGATACTGAAAAGCTCAGAGACCATTATGTGAACCTTGTAAGAACTATTAGCGGCAGCGGCTCGCCGTACATTCCTCTATTCCATGGTTGTATCAGATACAGTATGGACATACACCTATCTGATACTGGATTGGGTTAGTTATTCGCATTTGTTTGGAGAAGAAACTAGCTTCGCATGAGGGAAAGGCGAGGCGCGATGATCACCATGCCCCACCACTTTGTTGGTTGACAATTTACTCATCTACATAGTCTTCATATAAGTTCAAAGGCAAGTCTTATCGTCCACAGAAGAAAATCATCTCCACATCACAAGTGCAGCAATCTCCGAAATCATGCGATTTACTCAGATCTTGACAACGGTGACCTTGGTCTTTGGAGTTGCTACGTTTGCAACGCCAATAGCAAACCGACGAGAAGTCCTGGCAGAGAGATTGTACAGAGATCCAAGCGCTGAGTGAGTTTCCCTCCACAATGACTGAGTATCTATGTTGTGAAGAGCTAACCAAGGCGTTCTAGTGATGCTACTACCGAAACACTTGCAAAAAGACTCTACAGAGACCCAAAGGCTGAGTGTGTTTTCCCACACCATGATTAATATTTATATGTTATTTGTTGAGCTAACCAAGACGATAGTGATGCCACTGTAGAGGCACTTGCGAAAAGACTCTACAGAGATCCAAGCGCTGAGTTAGTTTCCCTCCATAATGATCCAATGTCTACACTTTAGAGAGCTAACCAAGACGATATAGCGATGCCACTGTTGAAGCACTTGCCAAACGACTCTACAGAGATCCAGAAGCTGGGTTTGTTTTCCAACACCATAAGTCAATATAGAGCTAACCATGACGATGAAGGGATGCCACCGCTGAAACACTTGCCAAAAGACTCTATAGAGATCCCGAAGCTGAGTTTGTTTTCCCACATCATAAGTCCATAGTCATATTTTATTTGGAGAGCTGACCAAGACGATATAGGGATGCAACCGCTGAAACGCTTGCCAAGAGACTCTACAGAGACCCAGAAGCTGAGTATGTATTCTCATTTTATAAGTGAATATTTACATCTTATTTGGAGAGCTAATCGAGACGATATAGAGAGGCTACTGCCGAGACACTTGCAAAGAGACTCTACAGAGATCCAAAAACTGAGTATGTTTTTCCAGTATTATAATTGACTAAATCTTTTCTTTCGAGGGAGAGCTAACCACAACGACGTAGTGATGCTACTGCAGCCGAGTAAACTCAGTAAATTTCTGAAAGGGGAATCGCCGGATCCGACGAGTGTATGTATCTTCCTTTATTTACAATCAGTAATCACTTACGTTATGGTCTGATAGCTAATTATGTTTGAAAGCTTCCAAATGTTATGAGCGTGTGACATTCAACCCAAACTGTCTGCGGTAGAAGGCATCGGAGGATCTCTTTACTCTCTTATGTTATCTACATGCAATGCAAGCAGTTGCTTCCTGAGAGCGATCCAAGCAATTGTCAGGTTTATGGATCTCCAAAAGGATTCATATGACTCAGGAGTGGGAGGATTCTCTATAGACTGGCACTTCTGCCCATTGAATAGGAGCTTCAAGCTCAACTCAAATATAGTATCTGTTGGAATTTCACGTGACATTCACTTCATGCCGAAATCATTGTTTGGCACCATACCGAGAGGTGTAGCGCTTCTTCGGAGTGCCGAAACATAGATTGCGGGATGAAAATGAGATACAGACGATGTAGATATCCTGCTACATCATGTGTGACTGCGTGAATCATTCATTTTGTAATTTACTTGGTGATGTTGGAGGACGGAGAGAGTAAACGCAAACCATAATATAGTTAGACTTTCTCGACAAATCGAGTAAGCATCCCGTGATCGATAGCACTGTCAATGAGGCTGATGATATCAATCTTGTTTGGGTATAAGATGAAGTGATAAGAATTGTAGAAGACGAGTTTTTGTTTGGGGAGGAAGTCACCATATTTAAAACTGATAATTGAGGTTGCTGCTCATCAAGCTTATCAGCATTGAGTTGAGAAATCGAATCATATAAGTAAGACCCGATAACCTAAGCTGTCCATAGCAGACTTCCAATCAACATTCCCCGAGTCCGTATTCCGTAATCTCCAACACTCTTTGACAATCTGGAAAGCCTTCCACGTTTGTCCTGAAGACGACTCGGTAATCTTGGCAGAACTCATAAGATCGGCGAAGAAATCTCTCTGCCCTTCTGTTGCCATGCAGCCAGTGACACACAATGGCCAGGTCAAACTCTCGACTTCGAGAGGATGCAGCATTCTCTTGAATTCCTCAATTGTTTGAGATACGCTTTCTCTTATCTCAGGCAGTTCTGGAATAGCACCAGAAACAACTACATGAAGGTAGGTTCTCGACGCATACGCAAATGCTTTAGTCACTGTGGCAGTCCGTCTTGAGACCCAATTCCTATCCCAGTGCTCCTCGAAAGAAGATGTAGGCTTTTCAGACTTGACCATTCTTTCCAAACCACTTTTAAGAAGCGTTTCGATCTTGATAGCTCGCCTTGCAAGGTCAATTGTGCTCAAGAGGCCAGCTCTTTCTCGACTGAGTTTCCACTTGTTTAAAATAGAGATTTCCATTATCACCATCATGACCCAGTTTTCACAACCCATGAATTGCTCCAATTGAATATCGTGATATTCAAGGAGCTGTCGATGATTTGTACGCGTGATATCCAGGTTGATAGAGGCGTATGATAACACATCAAACCACACAAAGGATGCGACGCAGAACTTGATCGCACTAACATCTTGAAATGATATACCTGAATCAGTATACTGAATTGAATTGTCTGGCAGGAAAGACTGAAGGTCGAGCTCTGTTGTGGGTGTGTCTATCAAGGAGGGAGATGTGCCGGGTCTTGAAAAGAAAGTTCTTGGCAAGCTCTGAATAAGACTAGATGCAGTTTTCATATGAATCTGCGAATCACTACATGCTTTGAGCCTCTAGGTAATCTTTGTGTTAGCTGGAGTTTTTCCCATCATACACTCAATTGCGGCTCAAAGGGAACTGACGTCGAGAAATATCAACTGAATGATACAAGCAACCGCCTCTATAGTGGCTTTCAAGTCTTTCGGAAAACATTTCCCGGACTGTTCCACGGACATTTGCAGTTCCTTGTATGCGTCTACGACGTATTTTTCCAGGAGACTGTACGTGAAATTATCCGAGTACGTTTGAGTTTGCTGAAGCAGTAGGGATTGCTTATGACAAGCACTGAGGCCTAACATGCCAGAATACAAAGATCTCGTTTGCGTCATCAGGGACAGAAGCCAGCCTCTATCTGTATTGACAGATGAGAGACCAAAGAATCGAAGTTGATTACTGAAGACCTGATCGAAATAATGCATAAACAGAGTTGTCTCTTTGATGTCCATGCAATTGAAACTGGTAAATGTTTCAGTCGTGGGAGATAGTTCTGATATGCTCAGCGGAGGAGTTAAACTCATTAGCGAATCGTGACCGAGAGGAATTTCCGGCAGCCAGGAGATATTGTCCCCGGCAAGAGCTTCAACATCGTAGCTCCAAGAAGAGTTGTTTTGCCTTTCAAAAAGGGAGAAATCCAGAATATTTTCACCATCAGCTCCAGCACTTAACAGATTGGTCTGCTCAACAGCCAATTGTTGACATGATGAAGCAGAAATCTCCAAGGGTGATAAGAGGTATTGAGAGTTTGATGACGACTCAAAACATGTCGGCTGGCTTCTTGCTGACCTCTTAGACATTCGATGTATTTTTTTGCGCTGTGTAGTCTGTTTGACAATCTGCTTGATTCGTCCAGTCATCTCGGCTTCCGATTTACCTCCATCCATCCAGGTAGGCTTCGGACCATATCCGTCACACAAGAGGCCAAGTGATGAACATGCTATGCAACGCGGATGCTTTTCATCACATTTTTTCTTACGCAATCGACAAGTCCAGCAGCCATGAAGACTTCGTAAACCTCGAACTTTTCAAGTCAGATATGTTAATACAGCTAGATAGCGTTTACAGGAGGTAAAGAGTAAATACACACCACCATTCATTGTTTTCGAAGGACAGCTATTGTTGGAATCACCAAGCGTGTTCATAGTGCACTGTATTTGTTTTCTTGTTGCTTTCATTGATGGCTGGTCAGCTTACAGCGTCTCCACAAAACAATTTGATAATGTTTCCACCAACCCCATAATAATCCACGACCCCACAAATAGTCTAACAGGGAAAAAACGCACGGAGACGGAGGCTAAACCTGAATTGGGCTGCCGTTCGCCACTCTGTAGGAAGCTGTGCCACAGACGTACTTAATGCAGTACAATCGAAGTTGGCATAATTAGATCACCGTAAAAACTGGGATTATAAGACCATGTCATTTATATAAAACCCTCCTACGTATAAGACCACAAGCTGAAGTAAAGAGTCTCTCTCGTTTACTAATCAATAGATACATATGATTAAGCCATTGCTATGAGACCCTGCGATCGTATAAGATTATGCCAAGATGCATAAATGTGAAACAAAAATTCTACAAAATCATGGTCTCATGAGGCAAATGTCTACGGTAAAGGATCCTTAGTCACACCGATCAACAGCTGTCGTGCTTAAAAGTGGAGACACCACGATTAGACAATACGATTCGAATGGTCTCATTCGTCGTGGAGCGACGAGGCTCAACGCCTGCCTTTTCAGGATCTCGTCTAAACTCAAGCAATACGCCGCAAACATGCATTCGCTACGGAGCTATCGATACAAGCGCGCACAAGCAATGTTGACAGTATTACCCGAACCAATGATCAAACGTGAGATGTCAAAGAAGCCGACGGGTATCAAAGTTAGCACATCACTTCCGCTGCAGCCAAGAAGGCGTGCTTCTTTTAGCTCTTGTAACCTTAGGACTATCAATTCTAATAGGCCTATATCCTTGAAAAGGATTCAATGTGAAGTTTGAACGGTGAGCATTTGGATGAGGCCGTCGTTCAGTGACAGCAAGGCATACTGCATGGCATAATTCCCGAGGTACTCGCCATGCTGTTCATGCAAGTTCAGAAATGTGCCAGCGGACCGAGCGTAAAGTACCGAAATACGGGGTAGCTTCACGCATGCGTGAGGCGATAACGGTAGGTATGACTGCCTCGCCTCGCCCTTCCTTCAGGAGCTGCTCCTCACCCTACCCCGCATCGCCTTGCCTGTACTGGCTGCATGTGCGGGCACCTTCTGATACAGAAAGTTGCGATGCCAGTTGCTTGGAGCCCAGCGCAGATAAGTTAGAGCAGAAGTATGAACTATCCATATACACCTACATTTGCTTGTTTCCCAACTCTGATATCGCGCGATTGAGGAATCTTATAATGTCTAAGCCCAAGTCCACGGAACCATTTCCTTACACATATTCATCATTAGATGAAGAGCAGCAGATTCGCGAACCCGATTTACCAAAAACAAGATTGAAATGGATATTGACTTGCCTTCTGTCAACCATTCTCGGAGCATTGGTGGCCTACGGAGTTACGCACTACAGATTCAGATTCGACGTCAGACTCGACATTCATTCGAAGGGTGTCTTTCACGAGAGTATGTTTCCATTCAAGCTTGAAAACAAGTCACAGAGTTTCAAGCGGAGTCCTAACATCTCATGTTTAGTTTCCTTGATAGAAGTACCTTGGTACTCGGACAAGCGTTACACAACTTCGGACCCCAGTGATCCAAATGGTTCGGTATGGGATGGACTAGACCCAAGTATGCTTTACTCTTGATGCTTCTTCCTTCTTCCAAGGTGAACATTCAGGCACAAAAGCTTACGAATACCGTGATAGTGGGCCAGGGGTGGATTGAAGTCCCCAACTGGGAAGAACTTGGTCTTCATCCTTCAGAGAAAATCAGCCATTATCAAGTCTCGATGTATCACCAATTACATTGCGTTGTATGTTGTCAGTCCTTCGAGTAAAGGTTGTCTGCTCACATCAGACTTAGGCAATTCTCAAATCAAAGTTCCTTTATGTCGATTCGGTACTGGAGGGTGATGGCCAGTCCGAAAAGACAGACTACATCAGTCACGTTCATATTACACATTGTCTCGAGTACTTGCGCCAAGCTATCATGTGCGCAGGCGATACGACTCTTGAGCCCTTCACGCCTGATCTCGGCCTGGACATCTCACATAAATGCCGCGATTGGGACGCTATATTTGACTTTGCGACAATACATCGAAGTACCAATAATACGGGAATTTTGGGATAGATATTGCGATATCGAGATCGGCATCAGCACATCAACCGAACGAGAGGGAGGGCCGTCTTCATTTTATTACAGTTGTCTGCGTGCTCAATTGCTTGTTGCTCGTTGTGACGGCTCGCAATTGGACCTACCCTTCCAGCCAACAAGATCCACCTGGATACCTCAGAAATCTCCGCGCATCCTCTGGTTCACGAGAGGGAGGAAATGTTCCTGGCCCGGAGGAGTGGGATGTAGGTAGGCAGAAATGCTTAAGTGCAACACTGCAGAGCGATCAAAATACAACTCGTCTCGCCCACATCTTTGCTCGATATCATGATATTGTTCTCCATGTGGTTCCGATCAATACTCATTTCCCCTTCACGTGTTCCAGTGTCAGTCAGCTTGCGGGAGTCATCTGATCACTGTATCGCATTGCATAATCGCCATTTCTTTCCTGGCCTCGCAACTAGACCATGAAAGTCTTGTCCGTATAGTCGAGCGTCGCTTCTCATAGCAGTAGATGTATTGGTATGCCAGGTGGCGTATTGATTTAATCCTGTAGACCACAAAATGGAACGAGAGGAAAGGCGACGAAAGGGTGAAGAGAGAAAATTAGCTACACGTGCAGGGTTAGCTTCACGTGCAACCCACAGAGTGGAGGGGTGGAATTGAAGCCTCCGAAACTAAGGCCATGGAAGTGGTGAACGAATGTCTTCTGAATGATTTATCAGGAATCGTACAAGAACGACGCAACCATCCATTCCCGATGGATCTGGAAGTACAACACGGGAAAGGAGTATATGAAAGGAACAGAAGAGGAATGAAAGATCTGGCGCCAGTTTGGATGGCTTGATACACTTCTGTTCAATTTGTATGATCTCAACAAGTGGTTGGAGCAAGTTTCATAGCTGCTGCAAAAGCTTTCCGATTCTTGAGGACTGTAATTCAGGGACAGCGGGAGCGAACTTGAAAAGCTGTTTGAAGCTCGTGGCTGTCTTGCTCTTGTATAGATTCACGTGCTTCAAGTTCTGCTAGCCAGCTATGCCAAGGAATATAAAGCAGATAGATCCAAATAATATATCTTTCAGCCTGCTCAGGCACGATTGTGGAACGCGCATACTCGGTTTGGGGTCAAGGGAAGAGTCCTCCATCTAAATGGAAAACGTCTATGCGGTCACTTGTCGGCTCAAATTATAGCGGTAATGTCAGGCTACAATTGTTCTATTTCACGTCCAACAGGGTTGGTCAGTATCACCACTCAAAGCACATCATCATTGGCAGTTAAAAGAAACAGCAGCAAGCCGCGCGAGTAATTTGAGCCGAGGGTGAAGCGAGAGTGAGAATACCTCAAAACTGCTCGATTTGGCGTGCGAAGCAGTCCGGGATGCGCGGAGGGCGGAAAGGAATGGAGCAGGGGAGAGATTCTGTCAATTTTGTGATTCGTGATAAGGATAGAAGTGACATAATAGTTATTTCTCTACAAGAACTAGATAAGGCAAGCGATAGTTGAATAGTAAGAGGAAAAGGTAGTATCCAATCATCAAGAGCTTCAACATACTGAGAATATAGAACCGCACCGAGAATTGCGACTTTTGACTGTGAGGGGCCATCCGTGGATGTCGCGGACTCTGACAAAGTTGACGGATCCATCTGCAGTGCAGCGTGTGAAGCAAAGCATGGAGCCTCCAACCGTAGATGAACAACTTGTCTACTATCATGTCTTTCTCACTAGGTTCTGGCGAGTATGCCATCGGCTGCTCAGGAAAGATTTGGCATACCAGTACGATTTCTCGTTCGTGGCTGACTTTCTCCTGGAGTTGGAAAAGCTGCTACACGGAGAGTATGGGAGTCAGCACCCGATTCATCAGCTTTTGTCTGCATTGTGTCATGTATCGAAGGCGGATATGAAGGACACGTTGGAACTTGGGGTGTCCAGAACTATTCAGGTTATGGGGTTAGGAGTTCTATCAAGCAAGAGAAAAGCAGTCTTTGGAAGGTGGACAGCTCTCTTAAAGTAGGCTTGATAGACAATTTGATCGAATGCAAAGCAGATAATCCCAAACTACAAAAGCCCAAAAAATTCAAGCATCTCCTCAGCATGAAACGGCACCATATGCCCAACCCCCAAAGCACTATACCCCACCATCCTCGTCCCATCCCCATAAACCATCTTCGTATACCCCTTCTCCGGACTATCCGTCACATTCCCCGTCCACTGCACCCCCAATACACTACTCCACTGCTTCAACTGATCCCCCAGATTCACATACGCCACCACCCTATCCGCCGTCCCATGCCACGTCATAAACCGCGGTCTCGTCCCATTAAAACCCCTGTCACTCTCCACCGCAAACTCCCCCCATTGGGTAGCCGAATACGTCTTCCCAGCCTGGCAATACGGGCCCCCGATACTATTCGGCGTGGTCCCATCCCAGCACCCGACCGGCGCCCCCGAGGACACTGCGCCGGCCGCAAACACGTCCGGGTACGCCGCCAGTAGCAAATTGGTCATCATGCCGCCGGACGAGGAGCCCGTGACGAAGACTTTCGTGGGGTCGCCGGCGTATTTGGTCAAAATGTAGTTCACCATGCTGATTAGACCCAGGGTGTCGCCGCCGCCGTCGTGCGTCATGGAGGCGTTGGAGCGGACGTCCCAGCAGGCGCTGGTGGTGGGCGTCGCGGGGTAGATGAGGATGAGGCCCAGTTTGTCGGCGTAGGTTGGGAGGTTGGTCGCCACGCGGGAGAAGGTGTCTTGGGCGCTGCCGCCGCAGGGGTGGGGCTTTGGGGGTGCGTTTTGTTGCTTGGGAAACAGGGAGAAGGGAGAAGGGACTTACTACTATGATGATGGGGGGTTTGGTGGCGAGTGTGTTTGGGACGTAGATGTTCATTGTTAGGGAGGAGGGGTTGGTGCCGAAGTTGGGGACTGATGTTAGCTTGGCGGTTTGGGATGTTGCTAGAGTGCTGAATGCTACGAAGAGCAGGTTTGTGAGTTTGGTGGAATGCATTGTGATGTTGTGGTAATTAGTCCCAATGTGTGTAGTAGGAGATGCGAGTATGTCGTGACGACTCGATGATCTGGCACTTGGAGTTAAATAACTGATTTCCTCAGGCTAAGCTTTTGGCTTGCTCAAGGAGCCGACAGCTTGAACAAGGATCTATAGCAGCTAGAGAAAAATAACTACAGATGAAAGTTTGAACATCAGAAATCAGAGGAATTGCAATGCCGTGTACAATTGGAAATGCCTTGTGTCTTGACCGTTAAATTGTGTCCACTGGGAACAGACTGGGAACGTAGTGACGCAGTCAAAATTCAAGGTGCCGTCTACTCATATATAATTCCGGACTAAACAAAGTTTCAATTCAGCCTACCGGGTTATATTTCGTGATATCCAGAGACCCAAGGTTAATTTGATCTTTAGCGAGGCTCCTTTTGGTCTGCAGATATGAGCAACTGTTCTTTAGCCCTGAGTAAAGCCTGTGCACGTACCGAACCATGTGCACCAGGATCATTTCGGCCCCCCTGACTGGCACGTAAGGCTTGTATTCAAATCTTGATGTTGCAATTCAAAGACTGTTATCAAACCGCGAACTCAGATCCTACAATCTACGCCGACAAATGCGCAGTCTCATCATGTTCCGCCAACAGATTATAATCCTTAAACTTTCTCGCTGGCACCTTCCTCTCAAACAAAATATCCAACTCCTCAAACGTACGTCCCCTACTCTCCGGAATCCTAAACCAACACCAAACCAAACACACCAAGCTAATAGCCCCAAACAAGAACCCCGCTTTGCCCCTCCAGTTCGCTTGATCGCTATTCAACATGTACGGCATGGCGACAGTAAAGATAATAGAGGCGCCGGCTTGAACAGCGGTCGTGATAGCGATGGTTCGAGCACGGAGACGCGTTGATGAGATTTCGGAGATGATGACGAAGCAGATGGGGCCAACGGTCATTTGGTAGGTGAAGGTCCAGATGTCCATTAGTGTGGCTTGCGCCCAGATTGCGCCGGAGTGGCTGCGGCCAAAGTCGAGGAAGCCGATTATGAAGAGGAGAACAGTCATGAGGACCATGCCTGAGTTGTAGATTGTTCGACGGCCGAACTGTGGGGTGTTAGTGAGTGACTTGGAGGGAAAGAGGAGGGGACGGACGTATGACATTAGTGGCCAGGAGAGACATGTGCCGACGAAACCTAGAGCGGTGTTGCCGACTCCCACTGGCTGTTGTCAGTATTGTTTCATTTGAGGCTCAAGGACAACTTACTATTGAAAGCCTCTGAGGAGCTGAGACCAGCTTGCTCAAAAAAGAAGTTTGCGTAGCCGATGAGAGGATTGCCGCCAATGACTTGAATAAGATAAACCATGATTGAAATCTCGGTTCTCGCAAGATTGGCACCTTTGAAACAGTCAAAGTAGGTCGTCGTCGCCTCGAGTTCTTGTTCAAGGAGATCGGTTTGCTCGATCATAACGAGAACGCTGTCGAGATCAGGGCGGTGCTTGGAGGAAGAGAGTTTCTCGAGAGCTTTCTTTGCATCTTCCTTGCGGCCCTTTCGGACTAGCCAGTATGGTGACTCGGGAGCGAATGGCAGGCCGGCGAGCAAGATCACAGGCCACACCCATTGGATTGCCTGATAATCAGAGTTAGTTTCGTCCCTGGAAAAATTGAGAATGGACTTACGAATGGAGCTTTGTAAGCCCACTCATCCAAACGACTCTCAAGACCAGCAGCACACCCTTGCGCAATAAATTGGCCAATAACAAAAGCCAGATTGACGGAAGCAGTGAGAACACCTCGAAGCGCCAAAGGACAAATCTCAGAGGCATACGTCGGTGCAATAACAACATAAAAACCATACGCCAGACCACCCAAAATTTCTCCAGCACACAACATCCCAATCGAGGTGGAGAAAAACTGTACGAAAACGAAGCAAATCGACCACACGCAACAGATAGCCAACGTGAGCTTTCGTCCAAGCTTCTCAAGCGGCCATCCACAAGCAAGAGCTCCTAGAACTTGTCCGATCGGATTTCCCATCCCAAGACCCGTCTGCCATGGCGCAGAAATCTCCCAGTTTCCTTCATACAGATTTCCGAAACGCTGCTGGAATGCCGGAAGTGCGTAGAAAGACGTTACGAGCTGTGCATCGAATCCCGCCATAATGACAGCGATACAGAAGAACATGGCCCAGAAAACGGCGGTCGGGTATTGCTTCACCGCAGCCCAGAAACCAAGATCGTGCTCCGCGCCCGTGATCTCGCGCGTGGTGTCAATCTCGAGGAGACCGCCTTTCTTCATGTCGCCCTGCGTTTCTTGGACATTGTCGCTCGGCGTGACGTCGTCGTTGACTCCCATGGTTGCTGCTGGTCTCTTGCGCAAAGTGGTGAAGAGGGTTGGATTGCAACAATGCTGTCTCCCAAGGATGCCGGATGCCCTCGTGCTATATAAGCTCGATAAGCGGCATGGTCCTCGTGCTCTGGACCAGGGTTCGCGATAGCTCGGTGGGGATCTTAGCAAGTTCGACGCGAAGATGTGATGCTTATCTTTTGTCTCTTGATCAAGCTTTCGCAACGTTCCATGTTATCTCCAAAGGGAAATGATTGATTCCGCTTCGTTCCGGTGTTATACACTTCTAGAACCCGATCGCAGCAAATGTTTATCTGGAGGCGGTATCCTGGGAAGATGTTTCTGTTGCTTTTGACAGGTCGTTGCGGAGGAAAAATGGGGCGAGATTGGAAGGTGGGGTAACATTGCCGAGAATGTCCGTATTTCACCGGCAGGAGATCGCTGTTGCACTAATGAAGCGTGATATGACTCGACTCCCACTCTCGAATCTCGAACCACTCGGGAACATCCCGTTCTTCATGTAGTTCGAGGGTCTCTGACGGGTTTGGAACTTCACCGGGCCCTCCTTGTCGGAATTCCTGATTCCAGACCACGCAGTTGGGATTCTTTGATTAATATACCGTGATGGTTATCTCGGAGATCTTCCCTGATTTTGCATGTGTACTCATTTTCCTAGAATGGCAACCCCCAAAGGCCTCTTCTCGCCTAATGTCATCTCCGCAGACATCGCAGCTTCATTCCCCGAATCATATATAATTCGACCACTCGAGAGAGAAGATTATCACAAAGGGTTTTTCGAATGTATCCAAGTCTTGACAGAGACAGGAGATGTCTCGGAAGAGCGATTCTGCGAGCGATATGATTGGATGAAGAACCAAGGCCAGGGAATCCATTACTTCTTGGTCATCGAGCATCAAAATCAAATCGTTGGGACGGGGACAGTGGTTGTAGAGCGAAAGTTGTGAGTTTTTAAGATCACGCTTGTGGGCAATGTGATTGACGGAGACTACAGTATTCGTAACCTCGGAAATGTTGCACATATTGAAGAAATTGCCATTCGGAAAGAACATCAAGGCAAGAAGCTGGGATTGAAGATGATTCAAGCTCTTGTTTCTGTCGCCAAGAATGTGGGTTGCTACAAGAGTATTTTGGGTTGCAGTGAGGAGAATGAGCCTTTTTATATTAAGTGCGGGTTTGAGAAGAGAGGAAGAAATATGGGACAGTTCTATGATGATGTGAAGCCTTCATGAGGCGAAGTTCGCTTCCAGTTGTAAATCGGATCCTTATTCCATACAGACGACCTTGGAAAGGAAAGGGGAGTAATTAGGACTTAGACAAAAGCATAGATGGGAATTGTGCGCTGAAATGATACTGAATTCTGAGAGAAAGGCGACTTTGAAGCGAGTATGGTTGGGCATTGTCCCGCTTTGAGATGATGTGTGCGAAAAGGTGAAACAAATCATTATGGCAAAGAGTTCTGTCCATGCATGTTGCCCTCGATGCGAAGAAGGCACGGAGCTGAGAAAGATTCAAGAATAGCACGAGTCATGATCTCCTATCATTCCACGCTTACCGAGTCAACCAGTGAGCAGGTATCACGCCAATGGCGATTTGTCTATTTCCGATCACGGCCGGCAAACCTCACTTCCACCACACATCCCCGGAAACGCCAACAAGCAGAGAGATGCAAAGAACTACACCAACGACGAACCCAGCCGTGTTTCATATTATCGTATTGTAACAACGTGATAGAACCTACCTCTTTTCCCGTGACGTTACATCCGGGAAATCCCCATTCTCGTCCACCATCTTCAAACAAGGCTGAAAGTCGACACACTGAGCCTTCTCTTCTTAATACCACTCTCAACACACAAACTCAAAACATCGAGACTGGAAATAGCCTCAAAATGGCACCCCACGCCAACACCGACGACGTAGACCACGACATCGTCCGTCTCCCCGGCCCAGAACGCCCCCCATTCTCGACCTCTCCCCCTCGTCTCCTCATCATCGGAGCCGGAAACCGAGGAAATGCCTACGCGAACGCAATCCAGGAGTCCACGAACGGGATCCTCGTCTCGGTCGTAGAACCCATCGAAGTGAAGCGTCGCCTCTTAGGACGGAAATACATCTGGGGCAAAGGCACTCCGTCAGAAGGCCAAGAATTTAGAGATTGGAAAGAATTCGTAGCCTGGGAATTGGAGAGGAGGAAGAGGGCGGAGAATGGGGAGGAAGTGCCAGAGGGTGTAGATGGTGTGTTTGTTTGTGTGCAGGACCAGATGCATAGGGAGGTTGTGGTGGGGTTGGCGCCACTGGAGTTGCATGTTATGTGTGAGAAGCCGCTTGCGACGAGTTTGGATGATTGCGTGGCAATGTATCGATCGCTGGTTTCGGGTCCGGAGGCGAAGCAGAAGAAGATTGTGTCGATTGGACATGTATTGAGGTATAGTCCGCATAATATGCTGTTGCGGAAGTTACTGGTTGAGGAGAAAGTTATTGGTGATGTGATGAGTGTCAATCACACTGAGCCTGTTGGGTGGTGGCATTTTACTCATAGTTACGTTCGGTTAGTATCTTACTGACTTGTTTGGCACGAGATAATTGACGAGAATAGGGGCAACTGGCGAAAAGAATCAACATCCGCACCAAGCTTGCTCGCCAAGTCATGTCATGACATGGATATCCTCCTCTGGCTCCTCTGTTCTCCACCACCCAATTCATCAAAACCAGCTCACCAACCAAGTACAATCAGCTCAGCCGGATCCCTGCAGTACTTCCACCAAGGACGAAAGCCAACAGAGGCCGGCAACGCCACGAACTGCCTCTCTTGCGCCTACGAACCATCATGTCAATTCTCAGCCAAGCGAATCTACGTCGGAAGCCAAATGGGCAGTCGCCAAGAACACTTCGTCAGTATCGTTCTCCCAGAGATCGAAGACTGTGTCGCAGCAGGCGGCGAAGAAGCTGGTGAAAAGGCACTTCTTGAAAGGCTAAGTGAAGACTACAACGCCTCGACACCAGCAAGTGAAGTCAGCAGTAAGAACTGGTACGGCCGCTGTGTATACGAAGCCGATAACGACGTCTGCGACAATCAAACCGTGACTCTAACCTGGGACAACGACCCAATAACCTCTGGAGGCGAAACCCCCGTTCAAGCATTAACAGGACGAGGGGCCAAGATAGCGACGCTGCACATGGTTGCATTCTCACAGAAAATCTGTCAGCGATTCACGAATATATACGGCGTACACGGTGAGATCTACGCCGATTCGGACTCGATCACAGTCCAAGATTTCCGCACCGGACAGAAGAAAGTTCATTATCCTTCCGTGCCGAAAGATGGTGGCCATGGAGACGGAGATCATGGGTTGTCGAGACAGTTTGTGTTGGCGATTGATCGGGTGAAGAATCATGGGGAGGAGTTGGAGGAGGCGCAGAGGATGTATATTGGGTGTGGGGTTGAGGAGATAATTAGGAGTCATGCGGCTGTATTTGCGGCGGAGGAGGCGAGGAAGGGGAGGGTGGTGGTGGATTTTAAGAGTTGGTGGGAGAGGGAGGTTGAGGGGAGGTTGAAGTCTAGGTAGAGCTGCGGGATCTCAGTTGTTGAATAGGTATCTCGTTTCTGTTGAATGACTGTTTGTTATCCTCTGACTGTTTTAGGTACTATCTAAGTTCAGTCACCATGAGAGCCGCTCGGATGGCGGCGAAGTCACTTGGTACCTGGTCACGTGCATGTACCCCCTTCGACTTCACTGCACTGAATTAGGACAGTGTTTCCTGAATTCATAATTATTAATTGATCACGCTCTTGTGACCCCGGAATCTTGATTTTAAATCCAGATTGGGGACCCTGAAAACGGCACGTCAAGCGACCACCCAATCAGCCCCTTCAGTGAAGCGGCTGAGAAGTTCCCAGCCGTGTCTATATTGTACGAAAATGGAAATTGTGGCTGCAAACAAGCTTCTAGATCTACCGAAGATCCACCTTAATTTGAAGAGCTGAACATACTTCGGGACCAAACAGGTTCGCTGTCTCTGTTTTTCTATTCAGCTCAATATAAATTGCCTCACCTGGGACTGAAGTAGGACTCGATTCTTGGATGCTGAACTGCAGGCGCTCTCCAAGTAATTCATTGATCACTTTAGACTCGAAAAAAATGTTTACGAAATACATACTTCTCCTTGCCTTGCTGAATCATGTTTCCATCTCCCTAGGTCAATTGGCAATGACATCCGAAGGCTGTGCGGACCCAAGCGGCTTCGACTCCTGCTGGACTGCCGCAACAAATGAAGCAACCTCTCTCTTCGCAAAGTATTGTACGACTGGCGAGTGCACCGACGAGAACAACTGCTACACCCCTGATGCCGTCTGTGCTGAGACGACCACTTGTATTGCCTACACTCAATGGATAAATTGCGCTTTAAGCACTTGCTGGAATCGAGTTCGTACTCCTCTTCCGCGCCTGTAAGTCTACTAATGACCCTCAGGTGTATGGATGCGAGTACCAAAATCTGGCAATCAACGCTGTGGAGAACTGTCCCATCGCTACCGAACTCGCACCATACGTCCCAGCTCCACATGACGGTCCTGGCTATTGCTCTTGTAACATGGGCTACGTTTACCTCGCGCATCTAAACGAGAACCGTGCTGGAGCAGGCGAAACATATCGCTGCAACAACAACATCGCTGCTCTGCAAGCAGAAAATAAATGCGAGCCAAACTGTATCCAGGAGTCACAGACTTGTAATTGCTGCGGAGCTAGTAGTGCAGTTTCGACGTAAGTCCATCCCTCAACTAACCCCTCTCACAACTCCCCGCTAAAAGCACCCAGATTCTTCAACTCATGCCCCACCACCGACCCCTCACAAGTCCCCATCTTCCCTCTCCTTGGCTACTCCTCCCTCCTCTCCTCAACCTGCTCCTCCGCCCTCTCCGGAACAAATTGTACCGCACTCCCCTACAACTTCACCATCTCCCCCGGTCCGACCTACGATCCCAGCATCCAGAATACATTCTTCGACGCCGCGACCCTGCCGAAGAACGGCTCGGATCCGTTGTCGGATAATGCGGGCGGGTTGAGCACCCCGGTTAGTGGCGTGGTGTTGACTTGGAGTTTGTATAAGGGGACGCAGGTCGTTGCTAGTGCGAGCGTGACGACGTGGGATGGTGCTGCGGCGGCGAGTTCAGGAGCGAGCGGAAGTGCGAGTGGAGGTGCCAGTGGGAGTTCGGTGGTGAGTTCGAAGGCTGGATCGTCAACGACGAGTGCGGGGTCTGGCGGGGTGAGTTCTGGTGCGACGGCTGCTTCGACGGGAGCTACGGCTACGGCTACGGCGAAGAGTGGCTCGATGAGAGTTATGGCTAGCTTTGAAGGAAATAGTGTAAAATTGTTGGTTTCTTTGGTGGTGGGGTTGGTATTTCTTTAGTGTTAAACTTTCCAAGGTCCGTTGTCTCATCGTGGTAACCAGATCAACAATTTAGGTAACTTTTTCCCTCAATTTGTTTATTGTCCAATTCACCCTTAATTAGAAAGGGAAGAAGAGAAAGATTTGTCTAGCAATGCAAGAAAAAGTATAATTTGTCTAACAATTACATCAACTCACTTTACCCAGCTACTTATTGCGACCCATTTATTGTTAGCCACCGCAATATTGTCTGCACCTCAGTACAGTTCTGTTGCCCACCTCAGTACTGTCTGCATACCTCAGTACTTTCTGCCCATTGCAATGCTCTTTGCCTTAAGACTACTTACTCATTCGCCCAGATCTGTACTATAGTGAGTGTTTGATTAAGTGAGTGAGTGGATGGGTGGGTGGGTGAGTAGGAGAGAAGGTAAGGTACAGCAAACAACTATTTCACTAGCGCAGAAGACTCAAATGGGGCTGAGACTTCTCCCGTAATTTCCCCTAGCCTCCTCTTTCCTATTCTATATTTTTTATCGCTATTCGCTTGTTTATGCTTATATAAAGCAATAAAAAGTGAGTAATAGTAAACAATAGTGTAAAGATAGCAATGTGAGGGCAAAGATGTAAAGGCAACAATATAAGAGCAACAATATAAAGGTAGTAGTGTGAGGTCGGTAATAAAAAGTGTGTTAGTAATAGAAAGTAAAAGGAGTTTCGGTGCATCTCCACAAATATCCTAGTTACCATAGCAAGGACCAGGCTCTGGACAATAGTAACCGAGATCCTGTTTGATACTCTTGAAGTTTGGTTATTTCCCACTCTGCCAAGTGGCGTAAAACAGTACTACCAAATGTCTATTCACCCCGCGTCTGTGTTTACTGTCAAATAGATTGTGATTTGCTATATCATCGTTACAAGTCGAGTATATTACCTTCATCTCCAAAACATTAATAGTCTATTTTCAAAGCTGAGATGAGAAGACTTAACTCAAATTTGACGTCCAAATCAGCTCTTCTTTCGGAGGAATTCCTAGAAGATTTAATCTCGAAGTTGGAGCGAATATCTGTCCAACCAATTGGTGACTCCAATCAATTGTTTTCAAGAAGGCTATCTTCCTAGATACGTTCGGCATTTATATGATATTCAATCATGGACTTCATCATAGTTGGAGCGGGCTGTGCTGGCCTCGTTATGGCAATTCAACTGAGGAGGAGACTTCCAAATTCGAAGTTCATGGTGCTAGAACGTGCCTCTTCCCTCGGAGGAACTTGGTACCACAATTCTTGTAAGCTTTCTCCTGCCGTTGCTTGATTCCTATTCACACAACTCAGATCCAAGATGTGCAGTAGATATGCCATGTGTGACGTACAGCATGTCGTTCGACCCCTCACAGACATACCGCCAGTGGTTCCCTTCGCAGGGTGAGATATTACAATATATTCACCGTCTTGCTTCGAAGGACAACATCAACCAGCACCTACAATTTAATGTGGAGGTTGTCGATGCCAAGTGGAGTGACAAAACGAAAATTCGGACCGTAATATACAGGGACACGAGAACGTTAGAGCTATGTGAGCAACAGACTAAGCTCTTGATTTCCGCCATAGGCCAATTGGTGGAACCAAGCTATGGGGACATACAGGGCCTGGGTCATTTTGAAGGTGATGTCTTGCATTGCAACCGGTGGGATGATCATGTCAAGCTCAAGGGCAAGAATGTCGTGGTTGTCGGTAACGGCGGTGAGTCTCCTACCCCGACTTTGAAGCAACACACTTACCCTGATCAGCGTCTGCTGCACAGGTTGTTCCATCGATCGTGCAACGAGTGCGAAGCTTGACTCAGTTGATTAGAACGCCACAAGGCTATTCGGAGCGAAAGAACCCCACCCTCTCACGATTCACTGTATGGATGCTCAAGAATATGCCATTCTTCCTGCGTGCGTGGAGGCATTGGAACTTCCTCAAGCTCGAAAGCCGATTCACGCAGTTCCGAAATACCCCGCAAGGCGAAGACATTCGACGGAAGAACATGCAGCGATGTCAAGAGCATACCAAAGCAACCGCGCCGAAACAATATTGGGATCTTCTCATTCCAGACTATCAAGCGAGCTGCAAGCGTGTCATTGGGGACTTCGGTTATATGGCCTCTCTCAATGCTCCCAATTTGACATTGATGCGCGATCCTGTCGTGCAGTGTGTACAAGCGGGCGTAGTCACCCAGTCTGGCAAACACTACGCGGCTGATGTGATTGTGAGTATTCCCAGAGCTTGGGACTTTGTCCGTGCTAAACGTCCTCCAGATCTTCGCAACCGGATACCAGTCTTAATGGCACCATCTCAATATCACAGACCGTGAGGGAATTTCCTTGACCAAGAGATGGAAGGATGACATCACCTACCATTACCAAACGACCGCTATTTCTGGTTTTCCGAATTTCTTCATGCTGTACGGACCAAACTCTGCTCCACCAAACATGTCGGCAATCTATTGCTTTGAAAATTATGTCGACCTCATTCTCAAGCTGGTGGCACCGGTACTGGATGGGCGGGTAGCCTCTGTGGAGGCAGATTCTCAAGCAGAGGCAGATTTTGTCGAAAGACTGCGCACTACCCTTGACGAAGGTGTCTGGTCAAGCTGCAAACAGCGATCTTCGGATCCAAAACGGAACGTGTATATGTATCCGTGCAGTAACACAACGATGTTCCGAAACACTCATTCGCAAGAAGAGAAGGCGTGGATTTATCACAAGTAGGCAGATGACCGCTCTTCATTAGAATGATTCATGATTTCAAAATCTTATAGACATGTTCCAAAAGCGTAGTAGATGTAGTTCTCGTTCCTTGTTCCAATCCTCTGATTTCCAATTTTCAAACTCCAATGTTTGCAATCCAGGGACTCTCTCGTATAAGAGCCAGTTCTCAGATCTCACCTCTTCCTTGAGCATCTAGGGTTGTATATCTCAGCTACTCTCCAACCGTCAGCTATATTCTTCGTGGCTACCTCGTTGTCTTGCTGGCGCGTACGGTTGTCTCGTCACTTCTACCAACCGCATTCCAGGGACTTTTCGAGTGGCGAGGCTTTCCTCCCTGCTTACCATTTCCTGTTTACTTACTTGTATGCTTCTTTCTTTTTATTTGGTTTCAAGTTTGGAATGGAAGCTTGTTATGGGTGACTTGCGTAGATGCTTTACGCAATCGTTGCTAATGTTCTGGAAACATTTTGCTGAAGCCATTTCGGGAGTTTAAGACTCATTCAACGTATTGTTTCTGAAGACCTTGAGTTGCTTGAAATTAAGACTGGTGGTCTGTTGATGAGTCATTTGAGAAAGAGCCGCGAGAGAAGGTTGCCAGCTTATGTTGCAGGCCGGATCGTGTATGCTAATTGCAACGTAGACAAAACCACTTGTAGTAGTCCGAGTACAATGTCCTACGATGACGACAGCCCAAGAGGTAAATGCCTGATGAGGATCCCTATGGTCATTCCAAACATCTTTCAATGTCCGCGGTTTCTGGCTTGTGATGTAGTCTTGTAGCTCAAACAGCTTCTGACCCAACTGCGGAAAGCTGCTTCCATCGTACACTTCGCGTTCTGAGACAAATTCCTCCTGTCCCCCCCCCCCAATGTGACCATTCATGCTTTCCACATAGTCCATCAAGAACCGGATCTCGAGGGAGAGGCATGCCACGACAAGTCCTCCAGTACAATTTCCGCGCCCGTCTATCTTGTCCGAATAGCAGACGGTAACTAAGGAGAATATCAAGGAAATACAGCCTGTCTTTTTGGGGCACAGACTCCGCACAGTCGTACCGACAACTATGTGCTTGGCATATCCTGTATTCGGTGTATGGTCAGCGGGTTCTTCAATCTAGTCTCTACCTAAAGTAAGGAAAACAGAAGTGACTGCTATACTCAACGCCGGAGCGAAACACTTCTTTCACACACTGGGAGGGATTCCATAATTTTGAAATGCTAAATTCACATTCCCTCTCCCGCAAAAAGCAAGACATCGAGAAGGGAATCGGAAGATTTTGATGGCTTTCTTTCCCTTGCTGAAGCTGCAACCTTATTGGGGCTGCTTTACCTGTTCTTGTGGGGTGTTGAGTCGAAGTCACGTCATAATTCGGGTCAACTTCATTTCCACTGTTGAAAGTACGACGAGTAAGCAATTTCGGACACCAACGCGACGTGCAGCACATATGTTGACATAGAGTATAACTTTCTGTTCTTTTCCCAGACTCAAAAGCTCAGATATTTGCACAACTACTGAATCTCAGTGATGGGGCAGAACTAGCCATACTACACTGCCACATCAGTCTCTTTGAATATCCCAATTAGCCCGTAATGGAGTGTAGGACGCCTTGGTTGTGAAATATGACCAAGTCGCCTTCCTCCCAAGCGTGAGCATAAATGGAATCTGCTGAGATTGTCTTCTTTACGAAAGAATGACAACTCATTCTTGCTTTCGCCAAGTCATTGATCACGGTCGTTTTGTCAGTCGCAGGATCTGAGGTGCTCAGAGACTGGACACATGCGCTGAGGATCTGAAGGTGCGGCTGAGAAGGACGTCCAGGATTACTCCATACCATCTATGCTGTCAGTTGTGGTTTTGAAAGGAAAGTAAGTGAGAGGGAAACTCACCGGATGTGTCCGCACATCCTCTGGGCGCTATGCTTGTAGGCCATCAAGTGCTATTTAATCCCCAACCTGCGCTACAGTAATGCCGTCTGAGGCAGCCTTGCAATCTCTAATCCATTCGTACGGTCGTGGTGCGTACTGAACGGTTGTGATGAGGGCGAAGACTTGCTCCTCGGATGTGAGTAATGAGAATGCAAGGGCACCAGAGACAACTTCAATGAATGAGCAAACATCGATCTTTTTCCGGGATGGAGAGTATACTTGCAGGCACTGGCACCCGTTGCAATAGGTAATACACTTTGCTCCTCAAACACGAGCTTCTGGTCTGGAACTTTTGGAATCACAACCCCATGAATCAGGGTCACTTTTCCAGGTAGTGTCTCATAACACGGTATGTCCATGTGCCATCTATAAAACCTAGTTTGTCCATCAAGTACTTCTTCTACATTCAGTGGAATTCGTTGTGGTTCTGTTACTACATCAGCACTGCACCTCGCACCGCGTCGGAATCCTGAGCAAACTTACAACATGAATTAGTTCTGACTTCTCAATCTTCATCATCCAGAAGTATTCTTCTCTCATATCGTGGCTTAGGGTCTAATTGATGCTAATATAATTAGCCGCAGCTGGGACAAAGACCAAGAAATATTTTCAGGCATATACTACGTTGTATTGATCTCGGTACTTGAAATGAATTAATATCGAACAGCCGCGATCTTCCCCGCATTAGCAGGCCCACACGCCCACATCCCGAATTGTGGGGTAACATTTAAGGCTGAAAACTAATATGTAGGGGCACGCCCTTTCACAGAGCTTTGTACTGCAGTGATCATACGTTAACTTGTCAGAAATATGGAGGCATGCTGATTCAATCTGAGGCGAGTGCACGGTCAGGATTTATGTTTAAATTTCGGAGACGTCAGCAATCGATTCCTTTAAAGCAGCATAAGTTTTCTCTCTTTTGAAGTAAAGGCAGAATAATCGAGTGGCAAGAAACTGACATATGATCAAGGGTACACTGGACACGTTATTGTCTCATTTCCAAGTCGAGGAATTCATATGTAATATACTCGTACTCGGTCCATGGATTCCGACGCGCGATCCATGAGGCACTTTGCTTGCTTAGGGAAGACATCATCATGAGCATTTATCAATCAAAAAACTTTTTCGTGCAAATTTCCGAGATTCATTTGCCTATTCGACGACGAACACAACATGGTTGGAGGAAGATGCTCCTCTATTCTCACGATCGAGTGATACTTTTGCTTAAAGCCACAGGCTCAGCCAGTTTTCTTTCCTCGACTCAGTGTGTCTTGTCATTGATCAACTTATTTCAAACTTCTCCATTCTCCGCTGTACCACGTACCTCCATCTAAATTCGGTTCAAGGAATCTTCAACATGCAACTTCTTACTCTAACGGCAGCCACCTGGATTGCTTCGACCCTAGTGCAATGTCATCCTGGCCACGACATCAGGGAAGAAGCAGAACAACGTGGTAAGCTACTCGAAAATAGCATTAGGGACATAAGTCACTGCTCCGCAGAACTCCAAGCCTATGGTATCGAAAGACGTACCATAGAAAGGCGCGTGGAGGCCTTGAGAGCTGAAAGAGAGAAGAGAGGACTCCCAACCCGTAAGTCATGCTCGTACAGCCTAGCCTTCAACTGACGAGTCAAGATCCATCTATTATCAAGGTCCGTGAAAACGATCATTTCATGGTTACCCGCGATGTCCCAAAGCCCTTGAACACCAGTCATCTCTCGAATGTCACCCACACTTCACACGATCCATTCAGCACCGTCTTTGCAGGTAACAAGACTTGTGTCCTAGTCCCAGAAACGATCGAAGGACCTTACTATGTTTCCGGAGAGCTCATTCGATCAGATGTCAGAGAGACCCAGAAGGGGGTGGATCTTGTACTTGATATCCAAGTGATCGACGTTTCCACCTGCAAGCCAGCATCCAATGTCATGGTCGATTTTTGGCATGCAAACTCAACCGGCGTCTATAGCGGCGTTGTGTCCCCCGGAAACGGAGACATTTCTGTTGGAAGCAATATCAATACCACCTTTCATCGTGGTCTTCAAGCCACCAACAGTGAGGGGGTTGTCCAGTTCACTAGCTTGTACCCAGGCCACTATATAGGACGGAGCCAACATATCCACGTTGCAACGCACGTTAATGGAACGTAAGATACCTCTACTTTATAAAGTCAATCATCCCAGCTCACTGTATCTAGTATTCTACCAAACAATACTTTCCAAGGCTCTACAATTTCCCACATTGGCCAGCTATACTTCGACCAATCCCTCAGCACCCTGGTCCAAGCTACAAATCCGTACAACACCAACACCCAACCCGTAACAACGAATGCGGAAGACTTCCTCCTGCTCAGTGACGCCGCAGTGAGTGATCCAATTGTCGAGTACTCTCTCCTCGGCAAGGACGTGTCAGACGGGATCTTCGCCTGGATTGCATTTGGAATCAATACCGCCAAGAATGGAACTATTCAGGCTGCTTCAACCTACGGTGAGGATGGCGGGAAAGCCAATCCAAATCCTATGATGTGTGGTCCCCCTGGTGGATTTCCTAGCGGCTTCCCATCTGGATTCCCATCGGGATTTCCCTCTGGGATGCCAACTGGATTTCCGTCTGGATTTCCAATTGGTGGTGGCCCTGGATGCCCTAGCGCGTCTTCCACCACGGCTCCTGCTAGCTCTTCTTCTGGAATTAAGAATTAGATAGCAATCGAAGGAACGTAGCAGGAAAGCAGGCATGGATTGAATTGGGAAAAAGAACAACAAGGTTGTTGACGAGACGTTGTCATTCATAGGCCTGAGGATGAAGGGAAGAAATTACAGCTATGTCTCAATTGAACTTTTACAAGTCAATGAGCAGTGTTGCATTGCAAGTTCTTCAGATCAGAAATAATCCAAGCGTGCAAAACATGTGATTCAGATCCCCAAATCATAGGTTTGGGGAGAAAAAGCGGTAAGGTTGCATTTAGAACACACTCTTTCTAAGCTGTTACAATCCCCAGCGAGTTTTCTCAAGCCTTAGGATATAGCACATTCAGCGCAGCCAGCGCAGCCAGCGCAATTTGCGCAATTTGCGCAGTTCGCTCCTTTCAGGGTCCTGTAATTGAGCGCACGTGATACTTGAAATTGAAAATGTTTATGGCAAATTAAGAGATAACCAGAACACGGAGAGTATCGCGGACGAACTAGGGAAACCTTTCGTAGTAGAGCTAAGTACTTGAGATGACCTCAAGTCCTGATAGGGAAACACATGGTCGCAACACAAAGATAAATAGCGCAAGGTTTCAATTTTACATTCATACGATAGGCGCATTAGCTCCTAACTTAGGACGTCCAACTGCTACGAGAATGTCGTTGACTTTGTCCAAGTGATCCAAGAAATGCCCTTGAACATCTTCCCAGAACTTCGGCTTCTGAGCTGTAGATCGCACCATTAGCTTGAGATATGTTTGAAACAGATGAGAGCACTCACGTTTCAAGTCTGGATGTCTCTCCATGGCGAACTTCGTGATGGAGAAGTGAGAACTAAGATGTAACATGAATCCTGTCTATCATTTAGCAGAAAACATCAAAATGATGGGTAAGAAGATGTACCCAGCGCCCCCTCACCAGACAATTCCGGCCCTAGCTCAGCGGTGCTTGCCCGCTTGAAAGCTTCGTATGATTCCCCGTGTGGCATGTAACTGTTTTCGCAAGAGAGTCCTCCTGGAACCATGTCTTTGACACTCCCACGATACTTTCCATAGATGAGCCCTCCGATTTCAGTCGCCATGTTACGGTGATAGTACTACACGAATCATCAGTATTGTTCAGAAGGAGAGGAGAGAGAAGAAGCTACGGGAGGCCTGAATGTGTCCTGAGTATTCAACCATTTTGGCGTGAATACGGCGAACTCGGAAAGGTATACACCAGGTATCTTTGATTTGGCCATCAAAACGGTGTAAACGGTTGGATCGAGTTGTTCCTTCATACCGCAAGCTATGGCATTGAACTTCGATAGATCGTATTTGTATGGTGCGTAGCTTAGAGAATAGGTCAGTAATACGTAGTGGAGTGGGAAAGAGATGAATTTTACTTTCCATGCCAAGCGACCACATCGAAAGGCGTATGGTTTTGGGTGTACGAGAACAACTTCCCAGTGAGCTTGAGAATTACTGTAGAAGAACTTGTCAGATAGTGTCTTTGTGGATTAAAGGGGCAAGAAGAGTCATACTCTTCCATTCCGAGCTGTCAATGTCGAAGCTTGCAGAGGGTGTTTCGAAATCTCTTGGGTGAGCGAGACCATTTGAACCAACAGGACCGAGCTCTGGCAGCTCGTAGTGAGTTCCAAAGATCTCTTGGATGTCTAGCAGATTTGTTAGTAAGAGTTCAGGGAATTAAATACTTATGGCAGAAAACTTACAGCCCCGAGCAGGCCCATCTGGCAAGGATACCTTGAACCTGATCCCAGCTTGAATGACACAAACTTCGCCCACTCGCACAATCATTCTAAAAGTTTGTCAACAAAGAACTTTCATATTCTGAGAAAGCGAGGTACTGACCTTCCAAGCTCAGTCTGGATACCTAATCGACCAACTTGAGGTATTATGAGAAAGTCGCCATCGTTATTGATGAAAGCAGTCTTGCTCATCGAAGTGTTGGCAGTATACATGTGAAGTGCCAGCCCTTCTTTATGGGTTGGATCACCATGGCCGCCCATAGTCTTCAGTCCTTCGACGAAGGTGACTTTTTCGGAGTCGGTCGGGAGCGGAAGTGGACCCCAGCAATACGATAGTGGGGTATACTGGATGTTTGAATTATGAGGGGAGAAGCACGCTTCTATCTAAGCTAGCAGGTTAGAGACAGAAGGTTCCATGTCTTGGCATTGGAGGCATACGTCGGGGTTTTGACTCATGGGTTGCAGAGGGTAATGTGCCACAGACGGTTTGATTCGATACAGCCAGCTGAATACCGCGTTAGTAGCACTTGGTACTCTGAAGTTAGATGTAGACTTACACATTTTGAAGTGTTTGACGTGAAGATATAAAAGATGTTCCGTTCAACTGAGTAAATATTGTTAGATAACTCCATCAAAGTAGTTGACTGACCGTACTTACTTGTTCAGAATAAAGATCAAAGGGGCACCGCTGTGGGACACTCTGACCTCCTGGAGGAAGTGCTCCTGGTCTTTAACGAGGTGTCAGTAACTTTTCAAGAACTTGAAACTAAAATGTGTTACACTTACATCGCCTCAGATGCAAACCTATTCCCAAAACCTGTTTGATAACGATATGGGTCGTCCGGTCTGGGAGCTGTATTGAATGACCCAACAGCTGAAGCTCCAAAGGTCAGAGCATCAACTGTCAGGGGAACACTTTTGCTTTGCAGGATGCTCTTATCGATCGAAGGAGCCGGAGAGGGTGGCTTTTGGCCAAGATGAGGCTCACCCGCGATGATTTCTGAAGTATGCATTTTGGAGGGGACAATTCTTGGCGGTGAGTCGAAAGCTAGGACTGTTATTGAATTTGTAGACTTAGGAGAAGGAGCACCTGTGACCTCGCATTAATCCACGATGGGGTAGAAGAAGATAGCTTGAGATATGCCAAAAGTGGGTTGTGGCCACGCCGCGGGGTTACCTCATCGGATGTGGTTGCCGGAGCACGTCTCGAATCCAGAGCAAGGATTGGGATCACGAAGGCAATCTCTACTGAAGATCCGAGAAACTATTGTATCACAATTGTTCACGTATTAATCGTCTCATACTTCTTTTGTACATGATATTAAGGTTTTAAGCATGTCAGGACTCTCGCCTTCGGAATACCCGGAATACGCACAGTTCATCGCAAACAAAAAAGGCTCGACCGTAGGCTACGGGACAAAACCAGCTTTACTTCTAATCGATGTCTGCAAAGCATATTTCACACCAGGACCCCTGGATATCAGTTCCTACTCGAATGCAGCATCCGCCCCAGACTCCATGAAGAGACTCATGGCAGCTGCACATGCTGGAGGCTGCCCCGTCATCTGGGCAAAGACAAATTACATCCATCCCAAAATCCGCGATGCAGGGTTGCTTGCCATTAAAAATCCCAGTTTGGATGTGTTTAGAGATGGAGACTCGAGAGGGTTAAATGAGTTTCTAGAAGGCTTCGAGCCGGATGACAACGAGATCATAATTCATAAGAAATGTCCTAGTGCCTTCTTTGGGACGAACCTTCTCACTCAGCTACATGTTTTATGGGTCGACACATTGATTATTGGGGGATTTTGTACGAGTGGTAGTGTGAGAGCAACGGCTTTGGACTCGATGCAGAGTGGCTTGAGAACAATGGTAAGCCACCTACTTGTATTGTCGCTTGATGATTTACAACTGATTGAGTTTGCAGGTTGTGGCATCAGCATGTGGAGATAAGTCACGAGAAACTCATTTTTCGAATCTTTTCGATATCAATGCGAAGTACGGGGATGTGGTTTCGGAACAGGAGTCAATTGAGAATTTGAAAGCTGGAAGGTAGCTCAGAGAATGAAATACGAGTAGAAGTTGAACCTTAACGCTGAGTGAATCTGTCGATATTCAAACACCTTCCAATAGCAAATGAGCCCCGCAAGAAATTTGTCTTGTGTGACAACGATATTGTTGTCTCGCACACATACCCGCTCGCTCATTCTCCATTCCTCGACAAGGTGGCCGCTGTCGATAAGATGTTGCCGGTCAGCGGCAAAGTTTGCCTATCGATTAAGCGAACCTGTTGGAATATCACTTAATAAGTGTGATGTCACATGATGTCATAGTAACTTTACTATGAATCATAGACTACTTTAGGGCCCACAGGCCTATTCTGTGTATATATATAGCCAGCCCTCTGCTGTATGAGCCAGCAGATCAGTCAATCAAAGCTATGCACACATACCATTTCAATAGAACCCGCCCCCTATCCCACTTTCGCTTCTCCAACACACCCCACTCCTACTTGGCAGTCGTCAAAAAGATAAGCTCATGGACTTCGGAAAGTTTTTATCTATGGAAGCAGGCATTTGACACCCAAAGCAGGGCGTTTTCGAAACGCTGTTTGTTTGGGATTGTTTCGTCTTTTACTACCTTATCACGTGACAATGGTAAACGCTGAATATCCGCCAATGGCACCCAGCTACCAAGCTCCGAAGTCTGTTGCAAAGCTAGGCTAGGGAAAACGTCTAGCACTGCTTATTATTAATGTTTGTCGAGCGTACTGGTCCGAAGGCTCTCCCCTCGACTTGCTCTCGAATCCCGAAGCTGCCGCATCTCCGGACTCAATGAGACGGTTGTTGAGCGCGGCACGCAAAAGCAAGATTCCGGTGATATGGGCGCAGGTTCGGTATAACAAAGGCTTAATGATTGATGGAGGGATACAGTACAAGAAGTCCCAAGGATGTTCAATTTGGCAAGATGGTGATAAGCGGGGTATGGATGAATGGCTTCCGGGTTTGACTTCTGAGCCTGAAGAAACGATCATCTTCAAGAAGAATCCAAGTGCGTTCTTTGCGACAACTCTGACCACTGAGTTGCAACTTCTTCAGATTGATACTCTTGTCCTTTGTGGAGTTAGCACAAGCGGTTGTGTGAGAGCTACAGCACTGGACGCGATATGTCATGGTTTCAGGCCAATGGTGAGTTGGGAATCTTGATCTCAACGACGCCCGAAAACGACTAATACTATGAAGGTCGTCGGATCTGCATGCGGTGATCGGTCGACAGCGATTCAGAATGCAACTCTACGTGATCTTGACACTAGTTATGCAGACGTGGTGTCTGAAGAAGAAGCGATAGACAAAATGCTCGCTGGCTGGTCTTGATAAATTAACTTACATTTATTCAAAGAAGCGAACAATGTACTTGGATACCTCAGAGTTTTCCTTCTTTAGTAGTTCGATAAATTCTTTCCGTGCACAAGCAGAGTCATCATAAGTACCTGAGCATGGAGATGTCAAGTACTCAACAAAGTAAAATTATCAAGTATATACAGTTCGATCTATGTTCTCTAACAATGCTATTATTCAAGCATTGATCGAGTATCGTGTACGTATAGAGGCTCAGAGACGCCCACCTCTGAACTTGCCAATCTCCAACTTGCGCAGCGGATAGTAGATAAATGGAGTAATAACCAATGCGAACTCGAAGCCTAAGTCTCCCGTGGTCTTGGCGATTGGTCCTACATACCAAATTTGATCCATAGAGGGGATCACAATGACGAATGGGACAATAAGAGCAACAAGAGCCGCGATACCAGATGGTAACAGCTTGCTATTGTTCCAGATGGATGCATCATAAGTCTCTGGGTCTTTATGGCGAAAGACAATCCATTCTGTGAGCTGGATGCCCACAAATCCGGCGGCCCAGTATGATATGACTCCAAGAAATCCTTCTAGCGACTCAGTGAATTTCTCTGCGGCTCCGATTCCCACTCCGATCAAGATGGCTGTGGAGACTATGACATGAACGATTCGAGGGATGCGATGGAAACCCGGGATCAGAATCTGAAAGTTCAGCGAAAAGGAGTATACAGATGGAGCTGTGTTCGCGATTACAGACAGAGCAAGGATGAGTGTCACGAATCTTCCAAAGCCTCCAGCGGGCCGGAGCATAGCGTCCATGACACCACCGATCGAGTTCAGATCATAAGCATCACTCCACTCTGGCACGACTAAGACAGTTGCACCAATAGCAGCACCAAGGGTCATAAGAACAACACTAGGGATGCAAATTCCGAGCCATGCATATAAAAACAATCGTAGTCTGCTTTGGTCAGTACAGCAACCCTAGGTTACATGCTACGGAGCAAGACTAACCTTGGAGCACTGGGTGGCATATAAACAGCATAGTCGCCGAGAGTGCTTCCGAAGGGTAGCATATAGCCTGCAATCAAGGATGCAAAGCTAATGATAGTCGAGGCTTTAGGAGGTTCAGTTGGTGCTTGATCTTTCAGATGCTTGCCCCCAACTCCAACGCAAATTATAATTGCAACGAGCGAAGGCATCCAAGCATAACGCAAGATGAGATGCATAATCTTGTATCCAGTCATAGTGATCACCATAGAGATGAGAGATATGATAACAATACCAGACTATTAAAGAGTTAGTGTCATATCTTTGATGGGTTCAGGTAACAGTACACTCGTGGAAATGCTGTTGTTGCTCATTGCAACTAGGCATTGACCCCCAACAACAGCCGATATCATAGTGAAGCCCATGATACTGCACATGTTCAGGATTACAGGGACAATGTTGGGGTAATATCTGTTCTCTATAAGCTTGAGAATCGAGGAGGCAATCTAAGGACCTACCCGAACGAATAACGAGCTTGTATCATCTGCCGCATCCCAGTCCTTGGAGACATTGTGATCATATAGCAAGGTGGAATTGCTGTCAAAAAGGAGAAGAAGAAGCAGACTAAGAAAGTATCTCGCAAGTTCATTCCGTAGCTAAGCGTGCCGAGAATGCCTGATTTGAGACTGGGTTCGATGATAGTTAGCACTTCAAATACACCATGAAACTCTGGGGAAAAGCTGCGACACGATGTACGTACGGAAGTAAGCACATCATAGAGGCGCCGAGCCATGTTCCAACGTTGAGGTATCTCGTATCTGTCCTCTCTTCGACAGGAACTGGTTGAACTCCTCGAAGCTCGACACCATAGTTTGCCATTTTGCGCCATATTGAAAGTTGTCCAAAGATCTCTGTCGATTCCTCATGTATGGCAGAAAGTTCTTGGGAAGCCGGTTCTGGAATCCCCTTTTCTGTGTCACTTTTCATCGAGGTCGATATCCCATCGCTCGGATGTTTCAAGTTGGTCGCCATTGAGTACTGAACACAATAATTGATATTGATAGCTGGTCACAATGTGAAACGTTAAGCATTGAAAGGCGGTTGCCCATCGACGAACCTTATGCAGGTAAGATATTAGAATGCACTGTAGCACAGCTATCTTTGCCAAGCAACCCCAATAAGGTTGTCCGGCAACAGCCTAGATTCCACTGATCTCGGATGGCTACCCCGAGATAACTTATCACAGTCAGGCGTGCAGCGGAAGCGCGTATCTCTCCCTGACTGGGAAGTAATCAGATACTTGTGATAGGACGCGCATGCAGAACCCTTGAACAAGCTTTCTACTAAGGTGGGGTCGATCACAAACCCTGCATCACATTAACGTGAAGCTTGTCTTCTAAGAATTGATAGCATCTTCGTTCTTTCCGTCATTTCGTAACGTTCGCAATCATGGAATTTCCGCTGTCGTCCTCATATGCCGCACTGTTTTCCATCGCAGGGCTTGCGCTGGTTCTCCTATTCTCCAAGATCCGAGGTCGTAAATCTCTGCCATACCCTCCTGGGCCTCCTGGGGAGTTTCTGATTGGGCATCTTCGCGTCGTGCCATTTGAAGACTCACACACAGCATATCTCAACTGGGGCAAGGAATACAGTACGTTGCAAATATTCGGCGAGTGATGAGATCTGACATTTGTTCTTAGACAGCGATGTATTATATTTCAATACATTGAGACAACCAATCGTCGTCTTAAACAGCCAGAAGGCAGCGAAGGATCTGTTGGACAACCGAGGTTCTATTTACTCTGACAGGCCAAAGTTCGAGCTACTCAAGTTGTATGTATTATGCGATCACCGTAGTCAATTACTCTAGAGACGATTCGCAATCGTCAGATATCTCTCACTTTGTGACAACGCTGATAGAGTGATATACAGACTAGGATGGGGAATGACTTTGACATGGCTTCGCTGGGGCCCCAAAATGCAGCAGCATCGAAAGATCCTTCAGACCCCCTTCACCAAATCCAAGATCTCCCAATATCAGAACTTGCAACTCGAGCAAACACACCATTCTCTGCGTGGCATCCTGGAGAATCCTCTGCATTGGGAGCTTGAGCTGAAACGCTTGGCAATTGCCATCACAGCTGAAATTGGATATGGCGTTAAAGTTGACTCTGTTTATCACCCATGGGTGAAGCTTTCTGACGACGCTGGATATGCGACTTCACATGCTGGTGCTCCCGGAGGCTCCCTGGTAGATCGCTTCCCACCTGGTATTGTACTCAAGTCAAAGGAAAGTGCAGTACTAATCATTTGCATTGTTCAATACTTGCCAGGCTGGTTGCCAGGGCTTCACTCTGTGAAGTATGCACATGACAACAAGTTTGCGATCACAAACATACACGATATACCTTATAACGGAGCAGTGAAGGAAATGGTAAGCTAACATCCTCATTGACGGGCTTTGACTTACTCTTCGCAGGAAAAAGGACTCAGCGGGGATTCCTTCATTCACAATTTGCTCTACAAGTATAGGATGAACGAGAAAGCCGGCCTGCGGAACGAGTTCACACTGGCAGATATCAAGGGTGGGTTTCGCATTAAGATCGCGAGGAATAATTGAACTGTTCTTTTACTGAATTGAAGCTATCTAGGCTCTGCTGGTGCGATAATCATCGCAGGCTCCAAGACTGTAAGCCTACCAAACTCGTTTCTGAACCATTTGATTGACTTTCCTTAGACAATGACAACACTTGTGGTTTTTGTTCTGATGATGATGTGCAATCCGGAAATACAAAGGAAGGCTCAAGCTGAGATTGATGCCGCGATTGGATCTGAGCGACTTCCAGGATTTGATGACTTGGAAAGACTGACATACCTGAACTATATCAAACAGGAGGTATTCAGGTAAGCACAGATTCTGTTCTCTGCGCTTTATTCCTGACATGGTCAGAATTGCCCCGCTTTCGCCTCTTGGAATTCCCCACGTGAATCTCACAGACGATACATACAACGGGATGTTCATCCCCAAAGGATCGATCATCTACCAAAATGTCTATGCGATGCATCGTGACGAATCAATCTACTCAAATCCTTATGAATTCGATCCAGACCGCTACATTCCGAAGGATCAAGGTAGAAGAGGGGAGCCCTTTCCGAACGGCAACTTTGGTTGGGGACGTCGGTATGTGCCTACCGAGAAACAGAAGATATTTCGAAAATGTACTGATGATATGCTAGTGTGTGTCCCGGTCAATTCCTTGCGAACAACACGTTGTCGTTGGTTATGGCCACTTTCGTGTCAACACTTAACATTGATTGGCCCATGGGACCTTCGGGAAAGCCAACACCATTCACCCCAGAATGGTCAAAGATAGGACTATAGTGAGTGTCCAGAGGAAGACTTAATTTCGATACTGACTGATGCGCAAAACAGTCATCCTAAGAAATTTCAATGTTCAATCGAGCCACGCCGGGATAACGTGAGAGAGCTCGCCTTGAAGACTCTTTGACGATTTGATGTCGAGCAAATAGATTGTGTATCTTGAATGTGGGCAGAGCCTGAGTCCAAAGCCTGCGGATCGGAATAGGTGAAAGTGGTGCAAGTCCTGGGGCGTCTCTCACAGGTAGACCAAAAGTGGGTGGACAAGGATGCGGACCGCTGCAACTTCATCTTATCTGTGCACAGTCCTCGTAGCTGATACCCACGAATGATAAGATCTTAAACCAGCTTTCTTTTGCAGAGACTATCTTTCCGACGATAACATGAAGAATGTCGCTTCCGGATATGCTGTTGGTCTGCCGCCGGCAAGACAGATATAAAAGCTAGCACAGACGCCTATAGCCTACTCCGTGCCTGTGATTTCCGGTATGAGGCTAGCCTTCACAAAAGGAACATGGAGGATGTTAATGACCCATGGACTCGGAATTGGCGTCCTGCTAACCCTGCTCCTGGAAGCGAATTCCGAGTCTCTGGAGACCCCACGCCGGCCCGGCGAAAGCGAGCCCCTGTTGCTTGTAGACGGTGTGAAACACTCCATCAATTCCCAATGAGAAATCGCTAACGCATGGTACGTAGATGTAGACATCTCCGAAGTAAGTGCGTGCACGAAGATGCGAATCCGCCATGTGAGCTTTGCCGAGCAGCTGGATCTGCTACAGCCGCAGCATGGTAAGTGAATGTTATCAAGGTGTGGACGAGCTACTGACCAATTATCTAGTGCGTTTGTGAATCGCGGCAAAGGTGATTATTACAAGTAGATGCAAGTGAATGATCGCGAAGTAAGTACTTCTTCAATCGTTCTCCCAACTTTGGAACTGATGTCCTGCTTCAGTATAGACAAAGACAAAGACGACGCGAGGCATCTCCTTTGGTCGAAGATGACACCTCAAATACCATCATTGTGTCTACTGAGACTGGTCATCGGAATAGACACAGTTCTCCAGCTTTGTCCAGGATATCGCCTAGTAGCATCCCACAACACCTGGAGACTACCGGAGACGCAAGCCCCGACCTTTGGACAATTTTGCCTCCATTCAACGAAGTCCTGAAAGGCTGTAGGATATTCTTCACGTCATGTTTTCAGCTAGGTGATTTGATGCCCTCTAACCCATCAGCTCCTTTTCTTATACTTGGCTCCAGGTTTTCTACCTAAGGCAATATTCTTCGAAAGTCTTGCAACGAACAGAGATTCCATCAATGTCTTTTTGATTCTTGGCATATTGAGTGTCTCAGCAAGATTTACCAAATGTCTCGTCAATAGATATGGAGACGCAACAAAAGCAACCGACTATTTCATCAATCGTGCTAGTGAGCTTCTTCCAAATGAGATATTTAAACCGAGTGTGGAGAGAATACAAGCTTTATTCTTGCTTGGAGTTGCAGAATGGGTGCAAGGAAATCGTACGAGGAGTGCGGTAAGACAATCTCAAACATTGAATGTCAACGGCACTGACCCAAGACCAGATCCTCATGGGTATCGCAGTGAGAAGTGAGCATTCGAAATTTATCCTGAGTCCATTCGGTTGATAATTTTTTGATAGTGGCCAGCATCCAGCATCTTCATCGAGAAGAAAGCTACATGCTCCCTGAAAATCCAACAACAGAGGATGTCATCAATTCCGAGGTTGCTCGGAGAACCTTTTGGGTCCTGGAAAGTATCAAATTCACAGTCTGATTCGTGAGATCCAACTAACACATGATAGGTCAAGATCATCTGTACTCGGAGCATAATGCAGCAGTGGCCTTTCCTCTGAGTGACATTACAGCGCTCCTTCCGTCCGATGAAATTGATTTTGCATATGGCATCATACCAGCAAAGCGGGCTGCCCTTGGAGGCACCAAAGCTGCAATTAAATGCCCAGGACTCGTTTCGCTTCCATGCCGCTCCCCATTCGCAACACTAATACAAGCCCACAATCATTGGGGAGAAATAGCTCGTCGAGCAGGTCGAGCAAGTCGAAGTAAAAGAGAGAAAGCAGATCAAGACATTAAACCTTGGGAAGAGAATAGTGAATACTCCCAGTTGACGAGGTCTTTGAAAGAGTGGGAGGAAAAGGTGACTCCTCGCCATCGATGGTCGTTGATCAATCTTCGCGGGCACAAAGCCGAAGGCCTGGACTTGGCGTACCTGTCGCAAGTAATGGTGGTCAGAATCAACAACATCGTTATCCGGCGCATCTACTTGGAAGATATTCTCCAGTCAAAATTGGGAACTTCATCCTCCGAATACTCAATGCCTGACTTCTGGACTCAGATGTCACACGAATTGTTCACCAACGTGTACAGTTTGCATGAATCGTTTGACACATGGTTCTCGCTTCGCTCTCCAGATGAAGGTATCCCTTCAATCGTGGTATTCTGCGTGTACATATGTGGATCACTTGCCTCATATCTCTGGAAGTGGCCTCAGCTATGCCCAGAGCTCGCAGAAGGCGCTGAAGCTATACTGAACCGTTCACTTGAGGTTCTTGCCGCTTTGGTTGATCGTTTGCCCAGAGTTTCGAAATGGTTGAATGCATTACAGAGTTTAGCTGTTCCAATACAAAATCAGAGTGCCATGGATCCTCGCGGTGGACTTCTGCAGTCCGAGAAAGACTTTGCTGCTTCTTCTGTTACACCTATTGCTGTTCCAACTTTGCAAGCAGAGGATCCAGTACATGACAAAAGTCTGCCTATACAACTCCCGGCATCAGCTCGCACGATGGTAAACGCGAATTCGAACAATGATCTTGGTGTACGACGTGAGTCAGCTGGAAACAACGCCAACAAGAACAATCATGTTCAGCGCGCGTTGCCGCCTCTTCCACCCATTCCTGATTTTGGTGAGGTGTCGTGGACAGCAACTTCGACTTACCTCCCTGCAGATGATATCGGAGTTATGACGGGTCTTGATTTCAAATCAGCTTACAGCTTTGACGAGGAGTTAACGAGATTGTTGCAAAGAGAAATGTGAAGGACGGAGCATGGAATGACCTCGTCATCGAATCGAAGTGTTCGGATTTAGAGGCTAAATCCGAAGAGCAATATATTAATCACCTTTAAACCCACAAAACTCATGCTTCTATCATCTTCGGATCTCATCACAGAAAAATAAAAATGGCACGAATATTCATCACAGGATCATCAGACGGCATCGGTCTGGTAGCAGCCCAGACACTCATCAAGAAAGGCCACACAGTAACTCTCCATGCTCGAAACGCTCAACGCGCACAAGACGCTGAACGCGCATGTCCAGGCTCAGCAGGGGTTCTTATCGCCGACCTCTCATCAATTGCTCAAACCAAATCCCTCGCAGCAGAAGCTAACAAAATCGGCAAATTCGATACTGTGATCCATAATGCTGGCATTGGGTTCAGCCAAGGGTACAAGAAGACAGAAGACGGACTTAGCGATGTATTTGCCGTCAATGCTTTGGCGCCGTATATCCTCACCTGTTTGATGGAGAAACCAGGAAATCTGGTGTATGTGAGCAGTCAGCTACACTCCGGTGGTGATGCTCAGTTGAGGGATGTGGAGTGGAAGACAAAGAGATGGAGTGGGATGCAGGCTTATAGTGATTCGAAGTAAGTCCACCTCTCCCGAAGATGAAGCTGGTACCAACGATTTGATAGGCTCATGAATGTTCTGTTGGCTTTTGCGGTCGCGAGACACTGGCCAGATGTTGCGAGTAATGCCTTGTCGCCAGGCTGGGTAAAAACGAAGATGGGAGGCTCAGGAGCGCCTGGCTCTTTGAGCAAAGGCGCAGAATTGCCTGTCAGGTTAGCTGAAAGTGATTCGAAAAAGATTGGAAGCGGTGGATACTATTCTGGCTCGGGAAGAACGGAACCAAATTCTGCGGTGAAGAATGAGGAGACCCAAGAAGAGTTCTTGAGAGTCTGTGAGAGGATATCTGGTGTAAAGTTTCCAAAGTAGAACCAACAATTGACGACTAGGGTTGAAATCCTTCACGTAAAGGGTGAGCAAGTAGGACCAGGTGATTAATGAATGAGTGTACAATGTTGGCCTCTATTTTTATCTTGAGATGACAGTGTACAGACCACCACGAGACCCCTTCTCTTACAACTACGCTTTATCGCCTCACTGTACTGTTACACCAGTCTCTGCAAGCCTATCAGGCAAATGGAGATGTACAACTGAAATGGGTTGCAGTGGTACCTCCGGAGCCGAATGCACTAATCAGCGCCTCGATAGCAGCGTAGCAACCAAGACCGCACACTACCAGTGAACCCAAGAGGTAGAAGATGTTGAACGAGGATATCCAGAAAGTCTTCATGTACCCTCTCCACCATCTCTTCATACCGTTATCCAGACGGGTGTACTTCTTCGTGACAGGGTCAAAATGTTCTTCGGGAAGCATGGCGTTCTTCTTGATGTCGAAACCTAGTTTAAGCAGTGCGGGGAAGGTGTAGGTGAAGTTGCCAATACAGAAGGCTCCAACTAAACTGGAGATGTCTCCAATGTTCGGGACTGCTGTGGCAATGACATAGGCGATGGCCCAGTATACTGGCACTACGAAGACCCACATAATCTTGCCACGCTTAGATGTTAGGGGAGGGAAGTCTGGTAAGCTTTGTTAGATGTCTGTGACAAAGATCAGTAAAATGGTATGAGGCTTACGGAGAAGCTCAATGAGCACGTTGTTGTAGATGACTTTGATGCCAATGTTACCATACAAGGCAGCAGCAATCAATCCACCTATTCGCAACATTAATTTCAAAATATCTGGCCATGGTGACTATGACTTACCAATGATGGCTAAAATATTGCCAGCAGTCCGGTAGTTGAAAGGAGTGGTACTCTGAATGGCGGAGCTGAATGTGTATTGGCCTTGGTAAGAGTATTGAAAGATACCAAAGAACATGTAAACGAGATAGATGAAAATATCTGCAACAAGCATTCCCTTCCAGAAATCCCATGGGTTGCGCATCTCAGCAAGGAGATTGAAGAAGAGCATGGCCCCACCATAGGCGTAGATGATACTATTGATACCCTGGAAAGAGCCAAGGAAACCTACCCCACCAGACGCGTATCCATAAGGAGGTGTTCCCGCAAACTTCCTGATTGGGATGTGGCTCTCTACTGTGCCGTTCGGGAAGTTAACTTCACCGAAAGGGACATCTACGGTAGCACCAAAAGAACTGAACATAGCCGCATAATTGGGTTCGGAGTTGGCAGCAACACCGATAGCGATGAATGAAACAAGGACGGTTGTCAAGACAGAGAAGTTGGCGAGCCATCCAAAACGCTGAAGAGTGCGGATTTGTCCGAGTACCATTCCAAGAAGAGCGATGATGAGAAGGCAAATAACGAAGCAAAGTCCGTTGCCGTGTTCTCCGTTTTTGCCAATAGAAACTTGGGAGACTTTGCCTCCTTCACTGAGGATGAGTACGGCTACCAGCATAATCATTTGAAGTGACTGTAGAACATTGATCAGATGTCGCATAGCTGGGCCAAAGACACGGAAAAATGCTTGGCCAAAATCGCGGAGGGGGTGACGATCAGAGTCCGCTGTGGGTCACAATGTTAGTATCAATTCTTTTTGAATGGACTTGAAGCTTGAAGAGAATTCCGTTGAGACAGATCGCTTGGCAATGAAATGCATATCACATCGTTCTTAGGATAGTTCTTGAGATAGGTAACCGAAGTATTACTCACTGTGCATGTAAACACCCCAGACATACCATCCAGAGACCGAAGCCATGAGACCAAAAGCAGTGTAGAGAGCAACACCAGGCCCATATCCGGTGTTGGAGAAAGCCCATCTTAGCAGTTGTTAGATCACGATATGCTTGACGAAGGGCTAGAAACTCACGGAGCGCCAGAAGGACCAAGAATATCTGTCGTGATCAAGAAAAAGATAGAGCCCCAGCCTGCAGTTCTGGTAGCACGCGAGGCTTGTCTCCATTCTAGATCAGTCACAGTAGACCTATGGAAGAGAGAACATTAGTATTATCTCAAGATAGTTATGGGGATCCCAAGAAATGCAAGGTAGGTGTTGGTAAATATAAATTTAACATACCAATCATTGTGAGTTGTTACGATCTGGTTTCCATCCACTGCAGCGTTAATTTCATGCTGGTGGCCTTTCGAGAATCGATTCTTGATAACCCCGCCAAGAGAAAATGGTTCCTTGCGCTTGACGTTGGCTCCCTCATATGCACGCTCTTCAGCGCGAGTAATTTCGGCGTAGTGAAGATACTCCTCGAAAAGAATGCTTGAGTCGTTGTGCACTTGAGCAGCCTCGATCGTGAAGCCATCCCTCAGACCCGTTTCATGGCCATGATCGAGAGCGTATTGGTTTGGGTTGTTCTTCTCGCCCATGCGCGGGTCTCCGCCATCAAGCGCGAGGTTCGCAAGATTCGACATTGTGGAAGATGGATGATCGAAGGAGAGATTCAGAAACAGGGTGTCAATGCACTATATACTCAAGGGATTCCACTCGAGGGGCTCCATAGCCAGAATACCCACCTGTGCCGACTGACCGAGTTAATCCAACGCCGCGCACCAATAAACGTCTAGATCATCAAGGTCCAATATGCGGGGATATTTCCATGTCCAAGCTGATGGAATTAAGGACTGTATTCAAAGAGCCATGATTCGATGTTCTGTTATGCCAAGTAGCCAAGACGTAGCCAAGCCACTTGTACGGAGTATGTCCGAGAGCGATAACGGCTCGTATCAGAAAGGGAAGCTGGATAAATGATAATCAAGCAAAATCATATCTATAGCCAAGAGACGCCAAGAGTGATATTCGTATGCTGAGCCGGGTTAGGAAGGTGTGATGCTTGATTCCAGATACTTTGCGGCGCTGACATTCTTAGTCGCGTCTAGCGAAGCAGCGCTTGCCACAGCACGCTATTGATTACTGTATGAGTGGTATTGACAAGAGTTTCAAGATCCTTCGTTGTCAGATTGCTTAGAACAGTAGACATTGACGATTCGATGCCCGCCTTAGTCGCCATGCCAAGAAGACAAGAGTTCACATTATAACAAAATCACGATTGGCACCTTCTTGAAAAAGCTTAAGTCTACAACCTCAGAGGACCCGTATAGTACGAGTCCTCGGTTTGCCACGGAAGCGTTGGCCGTGAAGGCGTTTCGCTCTGTGTAGAGGAGAAGTTTGAGTTCGATGGGTAGAAGAACCGAGAATAGGGATGACATCAATAAAGGAGTACATTAGGAGGGAGCGCAGCGATAAGAAACGAGACCAGATATTTTAGAGAAAGTAAACTATCCTACTAAAGTATCTGTTACACTACCTATGTTCAAGGAACTGTCAAAAGCCAGAACCACGGTATTGGGATGTGAACGCTGATCACGTGACGCGACCCTGCATTTGCATCCATGCTATAATGAGAAGGATCTCCCTTAGCTTTCGGTCTTATCACCCAGATGGACCTTACTAGTGGTTTCTCTCCTGCCAGAAACAGTATCAGTAACAGAAAAAGACCATTGGCGGGGCGGGCGGCTCACTGTTGCGCACAGTGTTTCTGATGGCCCATGCGGTTGAAGACATCCGACAAGAACTGTTTGGAATCAGCCAGTTCGGTTCCGACTTTTGGGAGACATGTAAGAATATTGAACAGTTCAATTGTCAGATCTCAAGAACTATCTCTAACCAACCAGCCCCTGAATCATCCATTATCTTAGCTCTTGCTTGATGCCTGGATTGCGTATAAGGCATGATTTTTAATCCGAGCATCAGATCTTGAACCTGAAGTGTCAAATTGACTTAAAGCCCGAGGTTATGGACATACTTTTGATAGTTCATGTTGTGCTGGCAACTAACAGCTATCTAGACTCAGAGGTGTCCGGTTACTGACGGTTGAGATAAGTGCTACGTCTAGACGAGTATCGAGAGTTCTGGAACAGGCCAAGAGTTTGTCCGAGCTATCCGTTTGGAGCGCTGGTTGTGCGCAAGAGATAGTCCCCTAACCTGCAATTGGCTGGATCGTTTGTCGTTCAACGTTAATCGTTCATCGCACGACACACGCTCATTCTGCCGCGAACAATGAGAAAACCCCAAAAACATTCTTCAAGATTTGGGCATGAATATCTGGTGCACGATCTTCAAAGTAGAAGAGTTTCGTCCCTTTTACTGAAGGACAAGTTCATTAACTTTTTAGCTCGCATGAGGATCCCCTTCACATTTTTTATTTACAGAATACAAGCAGCAATCACGCTCACATCCTGGCCGCCAACCTGATTTCGTTTTGCCCAAAATCAAATATTGACACGACATTCTTGAAGAATTGTATACCCAAAAAGCTCGCCACAACGCCTTCAAGAGCAACATCTTCGGCTCTTGCGATCGCACTCGAACACGTTCCATCTCCATTGTTCCAGATCATATCTCTAGCATCGTGCCAAAAGATCTCCCCTCCAATCTTGACGCCGAAGGCTGGCGGGGTAGCATTACAAGCAACTGGCCACTGGTAATCACCAGAGCCCGTGGGACCAGGTGAGGTTGCTGGTGGCGAAAAGTCCGCGTTGATAGCCTCAGCTACAGCGCTAGGGAGGAAGGTATTGAAGTTTCCATTGTCGAGGACGGCGTTGAAAGATGTCTTGTTCCCTGAAAGGTGACTCGCATCGGTTGGAGCGGAGTTCCGTTTGCTCGGAGATGTTTGGGAGCCATAGTATACACTTTGGACTTCGAGAGCCCAGTATGACAACTGTCTTTTGTTGGCAGTGACGTTGATTGGAATCTGATCCAGGATGACAACTGGCGTCGAAACCCATTTCGACGAATGCGGAACAGGAGCTATCTCGCCAAGAGACAGGTACCCACCTGGTCCGGTTTCTTGATCAAATGCAGTTCTTTCGATTGCTAGGCTAAAGAAAGGTTCGATGAGACCTTGAGCAGCCATGTTGAACACCAGTGGGTTGTATGGAAGACGATCGTAAAGAAAAGTTGTATTGTCGATGTCTGTCCCAGGATGCGCAGATGTAAGGTCAGGGTACGCCAATCCGAGGATGCCACTATTAACTCCATCACCTTGATTAGTAGTACTGGCGACAATGCCAACTGTTTGCTGTGGCACAGTGATATTCCCGAACGTCACTGTCTCGTTTCCCACCATTCCTTGTGCAATTCCGGCACCGTAAAAGACTCCAAAAGTCTCGTTGGCAATGAGACTGAACGTTGACGAAGGCGTGTAAGTTGAATTTCCGTAAGAACATGATGATTGTGGAAGAACGGCATTTGTTGATCTGTCAATGCATTGGTAGCCATTCGCCACTACCCACAAATCGGAGCTGCCAAGATCAATTTCAACAAAAAATGATTGACCTCCCAACTTGACTTCAGCATCAACAATTTCACCTAGTGAAGTTGATAGCAGTGAAACCAGTCCTTGTGAAAATCCTCTCCTGGTGACTTCGTGCCGTCTACGGAGGGGAAATACGTTTGATGGGTATGCGATGGCAATGGAGAGAATCGAGAACGTAGAAATGATGCGAATAAGAGAATACATCATGCGACAGGGATACTGATGAAAATTGGATGAAATGACGAAGAGAAGGAAACTTCCTCATCCACGACTTTATATCCAAGAATCAGTATGCGCAAAATAGAAGAACGACGTGCTGAGCTTGAGGAGGCTCAGCAGTGTTGTGCACGAAGCATATGGCTTGCGGCTTGCAATTGGCTTGGTCGTTCACCGTACGACACACATGTTGTGATGTCGGAATGACGACAATCGACGGAGGAAGGAACGAAGTGAAGATATATTTTTAGATCGAGATTTAAGCTTGGACGATCACTAAACAGGCTAGCCTGAAATGAATCAGCAAGAGCGATGATTGGTCACGTCGTAAGTACCTCCCCGCAGCTTAGCGAAGCCCCTTCAACATCTGAAATTCTCGCCCTCCTATTCAACAAACGAACCAATATACACGACCAGCCGAGCCGAGTATCCTTATTATTAAGATCTTCACTTTAAATGTCATACCGCTAGGCAAGTCACCAGATATCTTGTGAATGGTCACTTCATTCTGATCTGTTGACGCGTCTAAGCGGCGACGTGTTCGAAAAGCCACGATGGCCGAAGAAATCATCACGTGGATTGAGACGGTTTTGCTATGGTCTTTAGCTGGACTCGCAGTGTGGGATTCGCCATTCTCGCCAAATTCCCTGTTTCGCTCAGTTGCTGTTACGACAGCAGTCGCGTACCTGTCACTTTATTTGTTGGCCAGCCTTTGGCAGAACCAGGTGACAGAGATTGTCCCCGAACCATATTTAGTTAGTTATGTTCTCTACTGCGTGAATGACTGCTAAATTACTGCAGGACGAAATTTTTCATATCCCACAGGCTCAAGCGTATTGTGTTGGGGCGTATGATATTTGGGACCCCAAGCTCACCACTCCCCCTGGCCTGTATGAGCTTCTCTTCCCCATGCATGGCTAGGCTGACTGGGTTCCAGCTATGTTTTTGCAACTTTATTCTCCAAGTTGTTTCGAAACTTTTGGTGCAGCCCATACACATTACGACTCTTCAATGTCTTTGCTCTCGTTATGACAATGTCATATGCTTCCGATTGCAGGTCACTTATCGCGCTGATCTGGAAGCCGAACTCGACGCTTCATATTTCCAAATGGATCGGTGCGGGGAAGCCTGCGTCTGCTAATGTATTGCATACTTCACTCAACATCGCGCTGTTTCCACTGTTGTTCTTCTTTTCGGGACTCTTCTACACAGATGTCTTGTCAACTTGCATCGTGTTGAGGATGTATCGAATATATCTTGAGAGAAAAGGTGCTTACACAAACTCGCACGAGGGCTTGATATGGATGTATCTTACTGGCATGGTAGCTTTGACGATGCGGCAGACCAATATCTTTTGGGTCTCCGTGTTTATGGGCGGCTTGGAATTGGTAAGGACAATCAAGACCACTCAAACAGCAAGCATTGAAGTTGTACCGTCGCCTTGGAATTGGAAGGAGTTAGTCATGGCAAAGTTGAAAAAATACAGCAATGGCGAGATACACGACATTCCCCTCGGAGATGCCGGTGTTCATGGTATGCTACTCGTTCTATCTGTGACTGATTATATACTGACACTGACACGGAAAGACTTCGCTTTGTGTGCCATCAGTATCGGAGTTGCAGCACTGTTCCGACCAGTGATACTTGCCACTAGACTCTGGCCATATATTGCGCTTCTCATCTCGTTCGCCGCGTTCGTGTTTTGGAATGGTGGTGTTGTTCTCGGTAGGTTCTCCAGCGGTTCCCGATGTACACGCACTGCTGATCCTATCAGGCGACAAGGAAAATCACGTTGCCACCATTCACCTCGCTCAGATGCTTTACATCTGGCCGTTAATGGCGTTCTTCTCAGTTCCACTCATCATACCAGTTGCATTCTCATTCCTCCGAAGCTTAGCGAAACTCCTCGCGCTTCCCTTTTTCCCAAAGTTGTTTTGGAAATACTTCCGTGTGACAACGTATATTGGTCTCGCCTTCTCTGCCACTCTAGTCATCATCAGATTCAACACGATCATCCACCCTTTCACTTTGGCTGACAACCGACATTACATGTTCTACGTATTCCGATACACGATTCTCCGCCATGCTCTCGTCCGGTACTTCCTGGCACCCGTGTATCAAGGCTGCGCCTATCTAGTCTACCTCACGCTCTGCATCCCTGATGCACCTGAGTCCTCAGTGTCCCTGATGTCCAAGTCTACTATGCAACCAAAATCGGTGGCTCTCATGCCAAAACCACAGGAGCAAGAAGGACCCAGAACTTCATTTGTTCTGATACTCCTCGTCACCACAGCATTATCACTCATCACTGCACCACTAGTCGAGCCCCGTTACTTCATCATCCCATGGGTAATCTGGCGATTGAACGTGCCGTCTTTCCCTACCATTCAGGCCCCGAAGAAACAGCGTCAACAAAAGCAAACCATGGGACAAAAGATTACTGCTGGTATCAGGTTCTGGGGGTGGGAGGGCCATGATTATAGGCTGTGGCTTGAGACAGCATGGTTCTTGCTCATCAATGTCATCACGGGGTATATGTTCTTGTATGGGGGATTCGAATGGGAACAAGAGCCAGGGAATGTACAGAGATTTATGTGGTAGGAGTTGCAGACATAGGAGGGATTTCCCAGGAGCTGAATATATGGGCTGAGTCATGTATGTAGATAATCGTTATGATTCAGAGTTTCTTGGTCAGATAGAAGAGGTTATCTTCAGATCTTGAGGCAAATTGAAGAACTTTGACGGCACATCACAAGAAATGCCAGAATGCAAAAGTAGGGAATCATGGCTCTGCACATCAATGACTGCTAGTCAAAAGCTATGAAGTCTGTGAACCATTCCTATAGACCAAGCATATCCCCAGAACCATCATTGACCATGAGACATCCTGTCACCAGCAACAAAGGAAAAACGAAACCCCCATAACTGCGGCTCAAAAATACTCCTCCAACCCATCCTCAACTCCTTGCTCCCCAACGCTTCATTTCTACTAACTCCCCATCAAATTCCTATCTCATCAATCATCCCTGGCTGCCTCAGATGCCTACTAACCAGTTTGCGCTCCCAAGAAAATTCTCCTCCAGACCCAGCACCACCAATCCCAATAAGTTCTCCACCACATCCAGTAACCGGAAACCAGCCTAATTGTCCCTTCGAACAATATTAACAATCTCGAGCGTGGTGGTAGTTGCACCCGTAGTCGTAACGATGCGCAGAAAGTCGATTGTATAGGTGGTCGTGTTGGCTTGCACACTTGCGAGAGAGTCTCGATATTGTTGAGCACGGTATTCGGCCAGGAGGTTGAGATTAACGCCAGCTGGTAGGGAGACGGGTGATGATGGAGCAGCAGTGCGTTTAGGAGTTTGAGGTTGGGTTTGGGTTGGAGGGGGTGGAGATGGAGGGGCCGAAGGATTGTTGGAAGACATGTTTGCGCTTTTGGCGGGAATCGGATTTAATGAAGGATCTATTGAAAGACTTCGATTTGCGTTGAGAAAACCTGTGAAGGAGCTTCGTTTTGCTGCTAGAGGAAGGTCTTGAAGTAATTCGAGTGGTAGGAAATGTATCGGCGTTGCGCATAAGTAAAATCAAAATTTGAGAAGCGGAAAGACAAAATCAATCCATACGCCTGCGGTGCTAGTAACTCATTTTACGCTGCGTGATTTTGACGAACATATCTTTTTGGACCCACAATCCATAGTTTAGGCTCTTCCATGGATTACTTGGATCCGCTATGGTTATGTCGAAGTTTTTGAATAGCTAGATTAATCGTCAACCACAACAGCAATTGATTCGGAGCGTACTCACCTCGAAGAAGACTTTGTTCAACTCAATCCACGCGATATTCTTTCCCAGACAAGAATTCTTCCCATGACCCCATATCAAGCCAAGAGTCCTTTCCATTTTCTCCAATGGTTCACCTCTTGCCTCAAGCCATCTTTCAGGCTTGAATATTGTACTGTCCTCTCCATATATGGCTTTACTACGCTGAATGGCCCAGTCTGACTTCCCTATCAATGTACCACCAGGCAAAAAGCGGCCATTTATCGTATCGCCCTCAGGAGGAACGACCTTGGACGCAAGACCCGTAGCAGGGACCCACATCCGAGCACCTTCTCTAATCACAGCTTGCAGATAAGGCAGCTGTCGTGCCTCTACATCAGATATGATGGCCCCTGAAGTGACTGATGAGTCTATCTCGGACTGCAAAGTGCTATAAACCTGGGGATTGGTGATAACGAAGAGGGTGGTGGCTCGAATTGTTGTCGCCGTGGTATCTCCGCCAGCAATTCTTTCGGGCTGTTAGCAAGGCCCTGTACACTGTGGTTATGGCTTACATTTGGAGTATAGCCTCCGAGGCAGCGTTTGTGGGATTGATACCATGTCGAATGAAAGACCCCATCATATCTCTATGCCTCCCGGGATTCTCCTCCGCGAACCTCTTCTGAGCGATTTCCTTGGCAACAGCAATCAGCTTTCCAGGGCCTATCTTGTCCTTCTCGGAAGGTGCAACAAGTTTCTTCAGAAATGGTATGTCAAACAGAGATGAGAGCCATGGAATTGTTGATGCCTTTATAGCGTTTGGCATGATGATCTCCAAGGATTCGAACCACTTGAATACATCATCGTCAGCTATCAGGCAACCCCAGCTACGGCCAAACGCTATGTCAGTGATGACATCCATGGTAAAGAACGCAGATTTACGAGCAAAGTCCATTGGTCTAAACGTGGACCCGTCAGAGAGATACTTCCTTCTGATGAGGTTCATGAGTTCGATGACATGGCTGTCAATCATGGCTTCGAGTCCATCAATATCTTTGCCTGAGTACTATAAGAGAATAATAAGTAGAAGTCGCAGATGGTTGTATGAACATAACATACTCCAGTAGCCAGTTGTGCTCGCTTTTTACTATGGGTAGCTTCATCAATCGTCGAGAACAAGTTGTCATGGTCGACTTCTAGTTTCTGTCCTGAGTACCACCTTGATCTAGTGTATCTAGATCTAGCTGAGCTCATTCTTATGATCATTTCAGGATCAGAAGTCAAGAGAGTATTTGGTCCAATTCTAGCAAGATCACCTGAGGCGACTTGACATCAGCGTGTGCAGACTTCAGTCACATGGTTTCACAAACCATATTTTTGAGAGACCTCGTAGAATTGTAGGTTCGCTCTCTTGGATGACATTGCAGAAGTAAGCCATAAGCTTGAGAATCTGGCCAGTAGAGGGCCTTTGAAATCGGCGAGCTTGGAGTATGATGCCCATGTATGCCATGCAGTGGGTAGAAAGACAACGAGAATAAGCACATAGTGGGCCGTGAAAGCAGTTTCAAGAAGCAATGGTAACGAAGCCATTGCGGATAGATGATGGATATGGAGAATAATCGAGCAGTAGGAATCAGGAGAAAGAAATTTCAAGTCAAGACGACAATAAAGCTAAGAACCCGATGATCAATTCTTAGCTCGGTGCTCGCACCTCGTTGCTCGTTGTTCGCATCTCCATCAGCACTAATCCTAGGTCCAGCGGGTACAAAAGCCGAATTCATATGAGCCCAACATCTGCCGATTGGACATCGATATTATATAAAGAAAACAAGCACAACATGATGATGGCGGGGCAAAATGTATGCACTTCAAACCGTGAGGGCTATTTCGCCGTTGCAGGTAGTGCTACCTTGAGCAATGTGAGACTTTCTTAAAATAGAAGCTCAAACCAAGCAGTAGACACGAAGAATGAAAGGTGGATTCAAGAAGAGTCTGATTAACTCAACACAGTGTCTTCGATGTCGAACATTGATATGTCGTCGATGTTTGAGGTTCTCTTGGGGTCGGAACATTTTAGAACGCCATGAGCTTAAATTTTTAGCGGCTCCATAGGATTACTGTAGGCATCAGGACCTCGCTGCGTCATCCGCACTCTTCTTCTTACAACATCGACAATTACAGCTTGTCGACATACGCTCCATGCCAAAGAAACGGTTTACAACTCAATACTCGAAGCCGCAGAGTACTGTCCATCCCTCTCTAAGCTCCGCGACGAGCTCTTCGAGCTCAGCGTATCGTAAGTCCCATTTCCGTACCCCACTACGAGATCCTCAATCAGGCAGAAGAGTGCTTCTAGAAGACTGCACAACTCATGAATAGCCTTCCCAAGAATACCTCAGCTAACAAATATCCAGACAACGATGCCCAACCCACGGTGAACGACCTGATCTCTTCCCTCCGAAAATCCACAGTCTCCTCCACATCCAGCGCGTCCCCCACGACTATCACAACTCCCACTTTACCCCCACAGATCCGCCACCTTCTTGCCCAACCAGAGACACCCGCCCCCAGACCTCGCGCTAGAGATCGTAGACGCTTTGACGCCAGCGGCAGGCGTCTACCGGCAGGTCCAGCACCTCCAAGATCATGGCTTGAGGGCTCACGAAATGCGCTTCTGGGTATGAGATATCGTGGACAGCAGCGGGTATATCCGACTGATGTGGAACATTTACCTGGTCTCTCTGCCGGTGAAGGGAAGGGAAGACGACTCGGGGATATGTGTTTGAGGAATATGGCAAGGGATTGGGAGTTTGTGAAGGAGTACGAGAAGAATAATTTGGTGGACCTACCGAGTGGACTGAGAATGGCATTACTGAGTGCTATTGCTGTTTATGGCCCGGATGAAGGTGTGGGATTTGAAGGGTAAGTATTTCATTACTTCACATTTTGGGGAACTCAAATATTGTGACCCAGACTCGCATATGAGGACGCGACTGCGATGTTTGGACCGAAATTAAGACATCAAAACTGACAGCTACTAGGTTGAAAAATCTCCTTATCCTTCCACAACAAGAAGACGGGCAGATATTAGAATTCGACCCTGAAGAGCACAACGAATCATTCTTCCGACTCGATGTTTCCGGCGCTATGGGACATTCCCTAACGTTCAAGCAGCTTACCGCACTTGTCCAGAAGCCCACTTCAACAAGCGAGATAGACCCTGATCTTTCCTGGGAAGAGAGTATTTCAAGATTTCTTTCCCCGCCAATTCCAACACTTACACATCTTTCACTCTCCCACCCCTCTCCGACGATTTCGTGGACACGAGTCATAGCTTTCGCTAAGCATATTCCAAGACTCACTCATCTCTCTTTGGCTTTTTGGCCTGTCCCATCTCTGACTCCAATTTCAAATACCACAGTAATGGCAAGTCGTTATGCTAAGGATGTTCAATATGGCGGTACAAACTACTATTCTCACTCCTTGGACGGCGATTGCAGAGAAGCAGCTGAGGTGTTAAGAAGATTGGCGGGGAAACTGCACAGCTTGGAATACCTGGATCTGACTGGATGTGCGGACTGGGTAAGAGCGTTGAGGTGGGTCGGAGATGGAGGGGAGGGTGATAGAGGAATAGATTGGGGTACTCAATGGGTCAAACTACGGACGTTGAAAGTCCATAGTGGGTTGACTTTAACTGAAAAGTGAGTCTCTCTTAAATTGCATTGGCTTGTCGAAAAGCTAACAAAACCTCAGTTCTCCTTACAGCGATATAGTCCACCTCATCCAGTCCAACAAAGAAGCTGTCGTCACCCAAGAGATGCTCTCTTGGTGGATGCACCCACCTGAATCCTCCCATCGAAGTAAACGCAAGACTTGGATAGACGTCCAGAAAGATGACTGGAGAGTCTACTCTCACCTCTGGAACGGAGGCGACGAAGAAGAGATGAGAAAGAGAAGTGCATTGGATAGCTTGGAGAGAATTGAGAAGAGAGGAGTTAGTGGATTGGTAAATGGTACAGAGATGGGTGTTGGGACAGGATTGGGAGCGAGTCGATGGGCGGGCCCGGTGGTTTGGGATGGAGAAGAGGCGAGAGTGAGAGATGCTGAGAGGGCGAGTGTTTGGGATCAGTAGGCGGAGATCAAATCCATCCTTCTGGCCTATTCTACTCTGTTTGTGCACGTAGATCAACAAGCCCAGGTGAGCTTTATCCACTGTGAATATCAAGAATCGAATAGCAGCGCTGAAAGTCACTTCGAGTGAGGTGACACGAGTCTGTATGCTAAAGTCTCCTCTCACAGCAAAATCTCCCGTTCGGGCGAACCTCAATTACTATTGTGATCTTTCGTTATTACTAAAGATGCAGGCGAAGATGTATCTCTGACGTTTACTTGATGTCATAACGATCACCACACATAATGATCATGATCATCATATGCATGACATATGTATGTCACTTTGTACTTGTACTCCTACCTCCTCCCCTACCTCTCACGTCCCCCTTCCCCACCTGCTCCTCGCCCCATCCCCAGCCTTCCAGATCACCTCTCTCTACCCTCAAACCCTCTCATCAACACACCAAACACAGTATAGCAACTCCTACACACATACAACCAAACCGGACTTCCCACTCCGCCACCTCTCCGTCAACGTTGACGGCTAATCAAACTCATCCATCCATCCCTTTTGTAGCCGAGCAAAGCGACAACAAAGGGCACCAGGGCACCAGGGCTTGCAATGCGATGCGATGCAATGCATTTCTCCCGCCGCCCGCCCGATTTCCAACTCTTAGCCAGCTAGGGAGTGAGAAGTGAGAAGCGTGTGTGAGGGAGGGAGGGATGAGGGAGGGTGCCGGATACCCGGTCTTTGGGTCATTCTGTCTGTCTGCACCGGGATGCTTACAGAGGGGAGATGGGGATGGGGATGGGGATGGGGATCGGGCATGAAAGACCGCTCGCTGTTGAGGTAGGTGTTGGGGTGTTGATTTCCAAGCAAGCAGCAAGCGGGTAGGTAGGTAAGTAAGTAATCAGATGATTAGCTGATGGGGGAAGTGGGAATCGCATTTGAATCGTCCGTCTGTTTGTTCGATTGTTCGCCTTGGGTGAGTGACTGGCTGGCATTTGATGATGATGATGGGGAATGGCGTCTGATGATGGGGATTCGGGATTGGAGATTGGTGGATAGGAGATTGAAGAGGAGAGGATCGGGAAGGAAAGAAAGGCAGGAATAGGAAGGTAAGACAAGATTACCTGCTTTTTTGCTATTGGGTGTTCGTCCCGGTGTTTCCTGCGATATGATGGGATGGGATGGGATGTGAGGTGGGCCTTCAAACGCCGATTTGATTTTTTTCGTGTTACGGATTGAGGGGGTTTTGAGGGGGTTTGGGAATCGGGGATTGAGAAATGAACACTCGTTCAGGTACAAAGTGAGATGAAGTGAGAACTGAAATATCGGAACCGGGGATATTCTCCTACATCCATCCATCCATCCATCCTTCCTTCCTTCCTTCCTTCAAGATTCGAATGGGAAGGATTGAAATGTCATTTCCAACCCACGATTCGATCGAGTGAGTATGTCCATTCGACTCCGATTTGAATTTCTGGCCCCCCTTTCAGCGTGAAATCCCTTAGACCAAGACCCCAAAAAACCAAAACAGCAGACCCACAACCTCCAACGTCTAATCTCGAAAACCCAACACATCCTCCACTCCAACACCAAGCCAGCCTTGAAGCTTGAAGCCACCACCCTGCACTGCACGACGATCGCCGAAAGGAACTCCTCCCTCTTGCCACCAGATCGGCCAACACCAACAATAACAACAAGGAAAAATCAAAATCGATAATCTCCCTCCGAGCTAAAGCTGAAATGAAATGAAACCCTCCCTGAGTCACCTTCCCCTTCAGGATATTTTGATTAGCAAACAAACGAACAAACAAACAAACTGTGCAGATCGAATCCCGGGTCCATGGTTCGCACGTAGAGGCAATCTTATTTAAGGTAAGAGTAGAAAATGAAAGGGGATTGGTATTGGTCTAATATCGTAGTACTAGGATGGGATGGTAGGATAAGTTTCTGCTAAGCCTTGAGGTTATTAAACTAAACTAGAATAGCGTGGATACCTAGAGAGACGGCGCTAAGTTAATTAGAGCGAGAGTGACATTTTGGTGGTAACGGGATGGAGTTAGGGCGGTGGGACGAGAGCTAGCTAGATGGATGGGATGGTGGGTGACTGACTGACTGACTGACTGACTGCCGGTAGTGCGTGCCGGTAGTATAGTGCAGTGTAGTGGGCTCAGCTGAGGAAGATGGTGCCAAATGGAGATGGGTATTGTCCGGTCGGTCGAAACCAGTCAGCGAAACAGAGGAAGTGGAAAAAGAAGGATAGACTCGGGGATCGATCTAGGAGATCGCGCAAGTAGATGGCGGGGACGGAGGACGAACTCCTGATGAGGGATTGGATGGGATGGAATGGGATGGGAAGCGGAGACACCTCCTATACCTGACCAAGTGCACGCACGTACGTACGTTCGTTCAGCCTCGTGCTACAACAGCCGTCGCTCGTCGCCATCACGCACAGAACCCTTGTTGTGACAGCGAGCCAGCACATCAAGCAAGCCTCGTTCGTCATACATACCAATCTTCAGCATGCATATCTTCTTCAACATGTATGTATGTATGTATGAATGTATGTGCTCATGCCCAACTCCACCAACCCGGAAATATAGATAGAGACAGAGGAGAACAGTTCATTCTGCATGCAAGTAGGTATGCGAACGACGAACCAGTGGCTTCACGCACATACCATGCCAGGCACCTCGCCTTGAAGAACGAGAACAAAAACGAAAACCAGGATCACGACCACCGCAATGTTTCGGAGACATCTCCGAGAAGGATCCGAAACCGCCAAGATGCAGAAGTGGAAGTGGATTTGAGGACGGATGGCTTTTCCGATCCAGCCAGACAGACAGATAGAAAGATAGGAAAGAAGGCTTGATAGAAGGAGGCAGATCTAGGCTTGCGCCGCAGGTAACCGCGTACAGATGGATAGATAGACAAATTCATTGTTTGCATTGTTTGGCTTGGCTTGGTTAGACAGATAGATAAGCATAGATAGGCAAATGAATCGAATCGAAACAAAACGACAAAGATCTGTACCTCGCCATCTTGCCTGACATTCGTGCTCTCTTGCCCCTATCTCTGTGCACCTCTCCCCGCCATCAGATTCGAAATTGGCTTCTGCTTCCTTCCCGAGACATGTCGTGCGATCGATGGATGGTTATACAGAAAGAAAAAGGAGTTCCTGCTTTTACGTGTCGCGGTTCGTGAATCCTGATTCCCTTCGATTCCTGGTCCTAGATGGTTCGAATAAACGAAAAGAAAACAAAAGAAAACAAAACAAAAAAGGAAAAGGTGCCAGAAACCCCTTAGCGTGCACCTCACCCCAAAATGGTAAGGCGGTGCCGCCGATCGCGACGGGAATGGCTCGAGCGTGCATTTGTAGCTGTTGACTGACTGGTCCAACGACAACGACCTCACTACGAATTGTACTGTACCGTACAGTATTTCCACACTCGCTCGCTCGCTCGCCGTCGACATACATACCACGCCTCAATCCATTATTACCCTCTTAGAAATGGCACCGTACGTACGTCCATCCAACCATCACCGCATCGCAACGCATCGCATCGCATGATCCAATGAGAGAGCAAGAATCGTCTGGTCTGGTCTGGTCTGGAGCGGCGCAGTTCGCTCACTCACCTTCTTGACTTGGTCGGTGGTCGGTGATGAAACAATGACGCCTCTGTGAAGCGTTTGCCGAACGATGGATGGGGGATGGGTGGGCGATGACTTGCATGATCCCTCGTGTCTTTTCCTTTTTCTGAACTGGGTGGATTGGATGGGGTGTGCGATGGATGGTGTGCGGCGGAAACGCGAGCGAGCGCTTGCTGACATGACATGACAGGCAGGGTGAAGTAAGGAGGGTGGAGGGTGGATGGGAGGTAGGTAAGCCATGCATGCATCTTCAACCCACGCCAATTCTCTCTCTCTCTCTCGTTCCCTCGAAAGAGCAAGAAATACACCCAAGAACGGAGACGCATGAAAGAATTGTTGGGAAGAGTTGCTTCCGACACAGGATTTTTGCTCTCTGGCTTGCTTGCTAGCCAGGCTGTCTTTGTGTTACTCGTGGTGCGCGGGCTGGTAGTGGGTGTGGTGTGGTGTGGTGTGGTGTGGTGTTGATATATCACATGGCACAAGATCGCAATATGCACGGCGGGCCAGCTGCTGCGGTGCGACGCCTTCCCGAGGGAGGGTGATTGCGAGTGTCGCTCTGGTTCTGTACCGGTTTTTCTGCGAATCCATCATCATCATTTTTTGCTTGATGGCTGATTTTTTATTATTATTCTCACTCCATTATTTTATTGACAATGCTGCTGCTGCTGCTGATGGTGATGATGATGGACGGTGCTCACTCTGATGGACAGTGCTGAGCTTGCTTACTTGGCAGGAAGGAAAAGTAACAGTAACAGTATGATTATGATTATGATCTCCCTCGGCCCGAACCGTCGGGATCCTCAGGAAGTCTGGCCCGGCCGGAAGTAGTCGGCTTCACACCCTACCCTACCCTTGCTGACTGTCCGTCCGCCTGCTGTCCAGGGACCCCTCGATCGAGGGCGCAGTGAGCGATCGGGATGGGCTCCATCTCTTCCCCGGGTCATCCATCCATCTGACTTGGGATAAAATCCGGATTATTTTTATGAAAAGGAAAATCGGTACCTATGTATTATTCATCTGGTTTGGGAAATCCACATTTTCTCCTTTTCTTTGCGGAGTTCGCGAAAAAAGCATCATCAGTCTACTCATTCACGTGGATGCCTGCAACTAAGCCAACCAACAGCTAATAAGAAAGCCGTCGCCTTCGGCACCGTGCAGGACGCGGCATGTGAGCATCTATCTCCTAACCTTACCTGACCTTACCTGACCTGCCTATTCTCGGCTGAGCTAAGCCAGCCTGGTTGTGCGGGCGGACTCCTGCAGGCGCGATGTTGGGACTCGGAGATAGGCGTTCTCTGATTCGACGCTCCTGCACGGGAGCTAAGCCTGGGTGCGGGGCAGAGAATGATGCATTGCCTGAGAAGACTCTAGTTTGGTATTGTAGGTAGATTGATGGGAGGGGAGGGGAGGGGGAAGGGGGAAACCTGGTTGGGGGCAAACTTGGAATGAAATGAGATCGGGGAAAGTTCGTCGTCATGCTGTTTGGAGACAGAGATGCTTTAGTGAGGGGAAGAGAGGAGAGGCGCAGATGGATGGATGGATAGATAGTGCTGAGGGAGGCTAGGTGCCATTAGATGTGAAAGTAAGACATTCGGAAGCGTAAGTAGGTAGAAGTAATTAACGGTGGTCTCAGTCACTTGCATTCTAAGCTACGACTCCATCCACGGTCCCTGAATCAGAATCAACCAAACCAGCTGTGATACTCACCACTCACTCACTCACTCACCCAGCGCCATTCCTCCTCCGTTCCTCATGTCTCGCATCCTGATATCATTGTGCATAGGTGGCGTTCTCATCTCAGACACACGCACCGGCCGAACAACGGTATGTATGTATGTATGTAGGATAAGCATCGACAAGTGACCCTCTCTCACGATAATTATCAGGCGATCAGATTGGCTGGCGTCTGGGCTGAGACATTGGCATGGAGGAGGAGGATCGTGCTATTGTTCTGTTCTGTTCTGTTCTTGTCCAGCGCCAGGTAGTGTCAAGTCAAGTCAAGCCTTCAGTAATTAGTGTCATGACCGGCGGCGGCGGCTTTATTTATTAGGGTACAGTAGGGAGGAGGTGTGGGGAAAAACCGCTGAACCGCCTGTCATCTTTAGTGTTGACTGCCATCTCTAGTGCGCCATGCTACTATGCTTGGTTTTAGTGAGGCGTTAAGGTCTCCCGGCCTCCCCTATTGGAGAGCACTGTTAGACTACCACGAGAAAACGGAGCTGGCTGCTGCTGTGGGGCAGGCAGGCTGGGCTGGCTTGAAGGCTTAAGCTAGTAGGTACCTTGACAGGACGCACGCACGCAACCTTGCTGGAAAGAATGGGTTTGCATGCAAGAAAATGCATGTTTCGTCCTGCGTGCGTGCGTGCGTGCGTGCATGCTTTGCGGTTTGGAAAAGAAAATATGGAAAATGCAAAACAATGACAATTGTTTGGAGTGAGTATGTGGACGGTGGTGGTGAGGTGCAGTGTCACCCAGGGTTATGCATCCCCTCCCATGGGAATTCACCGTGATCGCTCTCACTGGCCGGCATTCTTGGCCTCTCAGACATATTTCGTACAGCTCCCGCATCCTCCATAACCTTACCAAGCCCGCAGCTCCAGAGCTGCTGGTGGCGTTCTCAACTGCCATCATCCACTCGTTAAAGAATGGGGAATCTGCTGTTCCATTGGTTGAATCCTCCAGCTGAACAGTATACAATTAACCGGTTATCGTATTGGCAGCTAATTAAGTTAGTCCATCAGTCACTGATGGACAGAGAGCGCCGTTGCCTGGCTGCTGCTGCATAGCTCGATCTAAATCGCCGCCAACGGAGTGTCTGCAGGGCAACCGCTGGTGATCCGTCTCTAGGGGGGGGGCCAACGGCTGATAGGGTAGTGGTGAGGCTCATTGAAGATTCTCGGGCGTCGTAGCCGGATTGTACCTGACGAAAGTGATACATCACTCTTGGGGAATGAAGATCCCTCAGGTGCATGCGAGAGGATCTCGATACCGCCTCGACGAATCGCAAATCTGCCATTCGGGGGAAGGTGTACTGTACCTGACGTGAAACATTTTTTCACTCGACAGAGAGAGAAATAATCCACATCTCTCAGCATGACTTTTTTGCTGCGAATGCAGCTAAGTGACGGAGCGGGTGAGGTAAGGTGACGGGTTGCTGCTTCTCCTCTTTCTCGATAGCAAGCACCTTGATTGGCTATACCGGGGACCAAGTGAACGCCTCCATCCTCGAATTAAGTAGAATACAGATCTGAGGCTGTTGTGTCAATCAAACCTTAAAATTGGATAGATACTCGACAGGCCTCGAACTGAGTCGAGTCTATCCCTATCCTATCCACCCATCTTGCCATAGTCATACTCCCGTCCCAAAGAAAACCCACTTGGACCAGACCAAACCACTCTCGTTTGTTCTGCGGGCTTTGCGCAACGCTTCTGTCGATCAGTCACTTTCTGAGCGTCTTGTGGAAGCTGTTCGGTGAGCCCGTCGGAGGTAAGATTAACCCCAAACCCAAGGCAATGGGACTTTTGCACGTCGCTGAAGATCACGTCGCCGAGGATTGCGACTGCTGCTTGCTCGTAGGGAGAGCTGGGGCGGGCACGAGAGGGGGAGAAAAAGACACGAACCATGTACAGACAAGCTAATCTTTACAGGCTAGACTAGGTGCCAGATTTGGAAGGAAAGCTTCTCTCTCCCACGTGCTGAACATCAACAAGCTTCTAAGACCATTGAAGTCCATATCGACAGCATTAGTGGCAATAGCTACGAAAGTTCATATATCTACTCCCGACAACACCCTTCTCCAGGTTTCAGGTTGTCAGAAGATAGAGAAGGCCAGCACAGTCCGAAACAAACAGATCAATCTCACCCACGCCCACTTACTCATTCTTTCTCCCTCCCTCTCTCAATCTTTCCCATCCTGCGGCTGCCTCTCTTGAAGCCTCAACGCCTTACCAGAGCGTCGGGGAAGTCCCACACACCGGTCGGGTGAGCAGTCAAGCTTACTTGCATCCTCCTCAACAAACAACATCATCATCAGCTCATATCAGATCTGGAATCTGCTCCTGCAGTTGCTGCCTCTCCCTTCCTCCTGCGCGCAATCGATCCTTTCCGTCCGTACCGCAGCAGCAGCAGCAGCGTCTCGAATCCCGGATTGTTTGCAGCAGAAGTCGAAAGAGCACGCGCAAGTCTTTGCTCGCTTCTCGAACCCCGGGCAGAGCGACCTCTCGTGTTGGTTTTCTGTCGTTGAGCTGCCTGCAAGTATTACCCGGGACTTTGGCTCAGCCGTATCAAGAAGGTCAGCCACACTTCTTTCCTTTTCGCGAAGCAGCATAGGCACTCAGGGTTAACCCAGACAAGCAGCAGCAGCAGCAGCAACAGCCCAGCCCAGCCCACAACCCTCAACCCTTAATCTTCACTCAACTACTTACTAGACTCGACTCGACCACTGATTTTCTGGCCCGGCATACGTGACGTGACCAGCCAATCCTGGATCCCGCACCCGCATTGCACCTGCAGTTGTATTTCACTTTTTGTTCCTCCTCCTCCTTTTCAGGATCAGGTCCTCGTCCGTCCGCCATCGCCGCCAACATCGTCGCCATCTGGCTCTGGCCGCACCCCGCTGCGACTCGGACCAGACCCGTTGTTCCAGTCTCTCAAATACTCCAGACATCAAGACGTAGTAGGCTTCTGGCCGTCGCCCCCCGAGCCGGACGTCCCTCCGTCATCGAGTGACTTTCTTCAAATACTTACTTACTCACTTACTCACTTACTTACTTTACTGGCCCATTCTCGGACCTCGACGAGAACGAGAGACTAGAAAACGTATAAGAATAAAGACTGGGTCACCACCCGCAACCCGCTGATTGATCTTCGTCAGCAAGCACTCGGTCTCTGTCTCACCACCAATCGTCCTCCGGTACTCGTAATTCGCCTCCTGCTCAAAATAGTACCCGAGCCCAATCGACGGACATCTCCCAGATATTTTCATCTTTGGCCCCCAAGTCCGGTTGGATCGCTGTGTGCTGCTTGCAACAAGACCCCTTTCGGTGCTGTTGAGCCTTCCACTTGCGCAAAGCCGTACAGCAGCATAGCATATTGCTGGCGGCTGTAGGAACGGCGTGCATTGCGTCGCCGCGCATCCAGACAACAACTACCTCACATCACATTCGGTCACATCCCATCTCATCAAAACCGGTCATAACACGGGCGCACTGCGAGGATCTTCCGATCTGACTGACAGCGGGACCCTGATTCTTGCAAATTATCGATTGATTGCAGCTTTCACGCATCCTGGGTCGTGATTGAACGAGTGCGTGCAGAGCTGGAAAGTGAGTGAGAAGATTGAGCCAGAGCTGCCTCCTCCTCGTCACCGAAGAAAGAAGACCGTAATTTTTTCGAGAGTAGCAGCAGGAGCAGCAGAAGCAACCGCAGGGTTGCTGGATATTTCTGGGAAGAGCGAAGCGGCGTGGGTGTGTGGAGGGAAAAGAACAGCCACCCATTGCAATCTATCGCACAGCCAATCCCAGACCCAAGCAAGACCAGCATCACCTCATCCAGCACCACCACTACCACCAGCCAGTCCAGGACCTTCACCTCCACCACCTCCACCGACCTCCACTCACTTCCACCGTCCTGGTCAGTGCAGACCGAGGGGTGCAGCAGTCAGTGAAGTGAGGAAGTGAATCCAGTCAGTCATCACGCTCTCAATCAGTCAGTGTGCAGACGCTCGGGGGGAAACTCATTGCAGTTGGGCGTCCGCATCCGAGCGAACTATTATCCTCTTTCCACTATATCCTCCACCAGGATTTCCTCATCACCACTCACTCGCTCTCCTCCCCACCACGAGTGCGGGGAGCTTGAATTAGGGAGTACAACCCGTTCAGAAACTACTCCCAATCTGATCGGATCCAATCCCTTCTTTTGTTCACCAGCGGGCTGGTCGTCGACCGCGCTCGCTTGCTCTTGGACGGGGGCAATTGTCGCGCAACCAAGCTCGAGATCTCTTCGCTTGCATTGGTCCCTTTGCTTCTTCTGAAGAACCCCGCGATAGACGAAGGGAAGGAAAGAGAGAGGAAGTCGTGAGAACAGACGCAGTCGCGAGCGAAGGAGCAGGCGACAGAGTTGCAAATGACTGAAGGTAAGCAACGTTCTTTTTCTCAGTGTGTGCAATTTCGATATGTATTATCTTGTTGGTTTTCTTGGCAGGCACAGCAGCGTATTACACCGGGAGACGGGCTGCAAAAGAAAGGACTTCTTGAAGTATTAAGAACTCCTCAATCGCATTTGATATTATTTGTTTATTCTTGTTCTCCCACGCCCTCGTCAGAATTAGTCGCTGTGCATCGTTTTGCTCTACGCCTATTGGTTTCACAGCTCCAAAGAATACCTCACAAGCGTATCCTCTTCGTCAAACGGGATCTCCAGAGATGCCGTCGTGGTACAACCTCCCTTCACCTTGGCATTTACGCACGTACAGTACTGAGCAAGCCCCCCTACAAGGATAATTCCCAACCCATCACATCACACATGCCTTTACTGCGCTGCGCTTCGCTCCTGGTTGATTGTCGCTCGTCAATTGCGACTCTTCTTCTATGCGCAATTTCCTTCGTTCGCACATCTGAATCTTTTACCACGAGCATCCCGTTCAGAAATTTTTAAGATGGCCGATACTAACCTTGGGCCCAATAGTTCTCACACCCTCCTCGCTCAACCACTTAATGTGCTCGCAATCTGGTAACATCCAAGACCTAGCCGCTTATTCTGGCCATTCACCTTCGTGTATTGTCGGGTCGGATTCGGAGCCTGACAGCTCTTCCAGACAGGACTACAACCAGCCGCCTCTACCCTCTGACATGGGGCTTCGATACATGAACATACCTGCTACAGATGATGTTCGGTGAGTCTTCAATTTCATTGGTCAACCTTTCTCGTGGTCGCCGCCCAGCCACCCAGGATTCTCGCGCATACGCACGGTTTGGTTTCAACACTCCAATTCTCTTATCGTGGAGACAACTCTGCCCAAGCTATCGGAAAGTGCAACTAAATGCCACGAATTTACCATCATGTCAGCGGTTGTCAGCCGTTGCACGGCTTAAGCCTCACCCTGTCTGACCGTTCTCCCGCCCCATGCACCACGAGAGCCCTCCCCGCTCCTCGTTGTGCCACAGAAGATTGAGTTGGCTGTCCTACCTTTGATGCAGTCCAACTGGGCATCGATGCCAATTATTGGGATTGTGACCCAGCTTCTGGCTATCTCTTGAACCTTAAATGTTGTCTTACTGTCATGCATCGTTGTGGCTGATTGATAGCTCAGATTTAGTTCAGACTCCGGTACCTCAAACAGCCCTGTTTACAGCATTGATTCAACGGTACAGAATACATCCTCGTCATCTACGTTGACATTCTCGCCATACAGCAATCTCTATCAACCGAGCTTGAGCGGTTCCACGTACTCTAGCGGCGGCAGTTCATACTTTTCTCCGGCCTCATCAATATTCCCTTCTATGCCTGATATTAAGCACAGATTAGGCTCTTAGTATGTACTGAGTCTCTCCTTTGTGATCGCAGTACACCATCGATTTTTGTGATCAGATAATAATGAAATATCCGCGCAGTAACACGTCCTCTGGGCTGACATCACTATCCCGCTCTCCGGCCTTGCCACATCCTACATCACCAATTACTGCTCGAGATATATACACAAGTGCAACACCACACTTGCGCCGCACAGATCACTTTACAAGATCTCCATCCCTTTCTGGGACGGTGAGAGGCGTGCCTTTATCACCTACCTCAAGCGGATTTACAAGTCCCATTTCCAACATGGACGCTTCTATGGGCGGGACCCCTTGTCCCCCTTTGTTTCCCACCGAGGTACTGTATCAACTCCAAACCTCGGATGGTCAGATCATCAAACCAGAAATTTTCGGAAGAATCGACAAGGGATTCTTCATGGCCGATAATGACTGGACGTGTTACAGGAGGAATTACTTCTCCTTAAATTGCTCCTATACCCTTAGCCCCACGATCCCAACAGGTAGCATGTACGTGGTGCAACATGGTGGCGCCGGACCACAAGTACACAACTTCGCCATGTCGATTGCCGCGGTAGTCGACGGAAAGGATGGGAAAGCCATTGAGTTGGTTCAACATACGCCGAAGCGAGACAAAGGTCCCCAAGAAAAACCGGCGAGAATCAACTTGGCCCCTCGACCTGCTGCACCACACGGAGGACTTTATGGTGAGAATAGCAGAGCAGGTCTCTATGGAGAAGGCTTCAACCAGAACCCAAACCAACCTGCGGTGGAAGCGACATTCGAGCGCATCCAATTCAAAAATGCCACAGCAAATAACGGCAAGCGAAGAGCTGCTCAACAGTATTACCACCTTCTTGTCGAGCTTTTCGCAGACGTTGGCGGTTCACATGCATCTGACCGGTGGATCAAAATTGCATCCCGCATGTCTGCCCCCATGGTAGTCCGCGGACGCTCACCAGGCCATTACCAAAGCGAGCGCAGAGGAAGCAACACGAGTTCCGGCGGCCCAGGCGGCTCTGGCGGCGGAGGTGCAGGCTCCTACACGCCCAGCGGAGGAGCATCACGAGCACCAGGCGACATGAGCATGTCCGGCTCCTCCTCCATGCTCCCTGGATCCGGGTACTCGAATTCATACGATACCAGGTCACATCACTACCGCAGCAACATCGCCCCTCTTCAGATCCCAATGGAACCCACCCTCTCCGCGGAAGACGCGCGGAATATCGTCGAGTCGCCAGGCTACCTCTATTGTCCGGGAGCTATCTACGAAGGCCACGAAGATCGCTTCCTCCATTTACCGAGCATGTCCGGATACACGACCTCGAAAGTCAAATCGGAGTACGGAGGCTCGAGCAGCTACGTCCTCCCGAGTTTGACGAGCTCGCAGGATGCATTTGGGAGGCATTGTGGGCGCTGGGAGGGCACGTTGGAGTCGAAGGGGTTCTTTCCTACAGCGCTGATGCAGCAGGAGTTGAATATTAGTTGATGGACATTTCGCGTCATTTCTCCTTTGTTGTGGGTGGCATTTTTCATTCTGTTCAATCTATCAATCAACCATATTGCTTTGGGACTTGGGCTTGGGATTGGGATTGAGATTCAGGAATCGGGCAATCGATCACTGGGAAAAGGCGTATGGAAAGGGATTGGGACACAGATATGGATTGGGCGGGCAGATACCTATTTGAGCTGAACTGAGCTAGGCTATGGATGGATGGCATCGATGGCATGGAAGGTTGGAGGGTATGGAGAGACGAGATTTGTTTTAAAAGTTCGATGGGGTTTTCTTTCGTTGAGGTGGAGGGGTGGAGATAGAAGTTGAAGGAAGGGGAGAGAGACTTTTGCTGTGCTTTGCTATGCGTGGTTGTACTGATTTGACTTGTTGCTGTTGTTGTTAAGTTGTCGTTTGATGCGAGATAGAGAAGGTGAGGAAGTGGGGAAGGGGGGAGGTGGTGTTGTAATGTGGGGACGGGAGAAAGAGGAGAGGGGAGTAGGTTCAAGTCAAATTCAGGTGGCATTGTGCATGCTAGATTTCCACCGCTTCTAGGTTTCCTCTGATCTTGTGATGTGATGTGAGATGCGACTTGATCAGATTTCATCTAAAGATCTTTCGTCCAAATGTCGTTCTAACATAAACCCCCCTTCTTGGTTCCTCTTTTCACAAGATCAGTTCCCACCCGCTTTACCCCATCATCCTTCCACTTTTACAATCACTGGAAAGAATTTTGACATCTTGATTCTGAAATGGGGGATTTAATCTATCATACTCTATCTTGTCTTCTCCCTTCTTGCTTGCCTGTACATCCACCAACCCTTCCTTCCTTCCTTCCTTCTATTCTTTCTCTAAGCATCCACATAAACCCTCACCCTGATTTCCCCTCCAGCAACTCACCACCACCACCATCATCTTTTCCAACCTCGCCCACTGGCTTGGACATGCAGTGCAGGGTTTGTAGGATCTAATGTATGTTGTTGTTGTTGTTGTTGGGAGGAAAGCAAAGGCAGATAAGCAAACGCACAGTGGAAATAGGTAAGCAAGCAAGAACACGAAGTCGTGGAATCTAAGGGATCTTGGTTGAGAGAGAGAGGGGGGGAGGGGGAGGAGGGGTGATATATGGATTAGGTGTAGGGTGTCTAGGACTAGATAAAAGAAGCATCTTGACATTTTGGAACAGATAGATAGACACAAACCCGGGAGAGCTCTCCACACCATCGCAAACAAACCTGGTCTGGTATCAGTGCGCGCTGAAAACGCATAAATAGAACGGCACTTAGTGTTGTCTCTCTCTCTCTCGTTGATGCAAGTGCAAGACATCTATCTCATGCCCCGTCTACTATCTCCTTCGGCCCACCACCACCACCACCACCATCACTGGTTGTATCGCTTGGAAGGCCGATTTGATCGATCGAGATTTTGCTCGCTCGCAAGGTTTAGCGCAATAGCTGTCTGCAACGTTTACCAGAGAGAGAAAAGGGCTGTGGAGGGATGGTGGTCGGGTAGGTAGGTGATTGCGGTTGTTCTGTTCTGTTCTGTTCGTGAACATTTTTTCGTTGGAGGAAGGGTATGTATTGCGGGGTCGCCTAGTGATCGAGGTGAGGAGGAGAGGTAGGTAGGTAGATTAGATTTGCGTCTCAGTGCCTTCCCATCGGGGTTGAAAGTGTCGTCGGGAAGCGTATTGTGAATGGTGTTGTGGGAGTGAGATGAGAGGAAGGAACGAGTTCGGGGTAAGGTGCTACTACTGCTTGACATTTTTATGCCGTGCCATGCCATAAGGATATTTGTGGACCGGCGAAAGACATCTTGGTTTGATGAGGTGTTGGTTGGAGAACTATGCCCTACTAACTAATAAGTAACAGTTATGCCCCATGACCCTTTTGGGTATTGTGATTTCTGGATCGGATATGGGAGGAGGAGGATCATTGTGTTTTTCTGCGCGCTTGCGGGAGGGGAAGATGGAGGAGGGAGGTGGCTTTCGAGGAGGGAAGGAGGGAGGAGGGGTTGGTGATGTGATTGTGGTTAAGGTAGGAGGGGGGTTGAAGGATGGTGGAGTGAAAGGGATCGTTTGTGCGTTGTGGGAAGGATGAGAAGGTTCGAGGTGTATATTTGGTTTTGGTGTTGTTTTGTCAGGAGGGAAGGAGAAAGATGCTTTGCTTGGTGGAGAGGGATGGGTGTGAAGTTGTTGTATTCTGTCTGCTAAGGGAGTAGGAATTGATGTTGTCTGCAGAGTAGGTCTGCAGTATCAAGGGGACTATGCAAGTCTTTCTCTCTGATGTTCTCATAGACTAGATTTTGTGTCCACCGAGTTTATGCTCCTGGACCGTCCTACTCGGCTCTGGTTGGCGAAGAGTGTGTAGCTAGCTGTGATACTTCGTATTGCTGTAATTACATGTCGAGGGTTGGTAGCAAAGGTAGTTGCTGGTGATACTCGGTTGCCTTCGTGAAAAGAAGGAGGCGGTAGGAGAGGACTCGGCAGTGGAGGAAGAGGAGAGATTCTTGCAGATGGCAGTAGGATCTCTATATCAGTCTTTTGGATCGTAGCAGAGTCAGAGGGAGGATGCGCACCCGGTATGCTGTTTGGACGAATTTCAGGGCAGATTAGCCAACAGGCCTCTATTCTATTGAATATTCTGAGTCTTGAAGGCCGTGAGAAGCATGCAGGTGGCCGCTCAGGTCGTTTGCATTCGAGTATTATCGGACGGAAGCAAAAGTGCTTGTGGAAGTCTAGTATCGAACTGAATGGAGTTGAGAGAGTGCACAGCTTGCGGTGGTGATTGAAAAGCGATGGAAAATGCTTGATTATTGTCTCATGGACTTATAAGATCAAAGCCTAGAGCCTCGGAAGAGAGATGAGAGAAGTTTGACTCTAGATTACAGCCCTTGAACATCGTGAGTCTGCCTCGATGGGACCCAGTAGAAATCTGATCAGAATCCAACATCTCGAATCTCGAAACACCAAGCTCACAACTTGTGCAAGTTGGCTGACAATACCAGCCCAGACCCCTGATTGGCTGAAAAACATAGCTATTCTTGTGTAACACCACAACCCCTTTGAGCGAGGTGCATATCCTTCCACCAACCATCCCACTACGAAGCCTCTACTGAGAGACCCTATGAATTGATAAAAAGTCAATTAAGATTGAGGACCGCTGCTTTGTGCTTGCATATCTTTGAGCCGCTGACGCTGATGGCGGATGGCGCAATCGATGTTGGGGGGACAACTGTCACCGCTGACGATGCTGGAGCCTTGATTTCGACATGGAGGGTGGTTGAGAGGAGGACAAGGGGAGAGGGAGGATATTGGGAGAGAAAATGGGAAGTGAGGGTATGGTATGTTGAGACTGGGAAAGTAAGTGAAGCTCTTGATGACAGATGTTACCCCTGAAAAGGTAGTTGCAAAATCTTTCATACTCCGAGTTCTGAACCTCGCAGATGCGATTTTCTTCTTGCATTTATTACAAAATTCGAAGGCTACCACTATTGCAATTCGAAGCCCCTTTCACTATTTTCTGCAGCTGACAAGCCGCAGTTCACTTAGCTACTATACATATTGACGAAATTCCCTCTTCGATGACCCACGACGAAACAGAAGTGATGAATTTGTCCGACCGCCACAATATAGCTATTGAACCATTGGCATGCGAATTTCCTTCTGCCATCTCGATATATCATGAATGGCAGGGAACGTACCGTACGAATCGAGAGTCTTGCGATCCACCTTTACTTGCGGAGATGGCTTCGAGATTTCTAAACAGCCTCGACCGGATGCGTGCGTTCTTCGGCGTTGGCGACTTGCATATCATTGGCATGGAAATTGGATACAAACCTCCATTTGCAGGGACTTTGCTAGTTTGATGTAAGGTCTTGCGGGCAGAAGGTACCAGTGTCTATTGCCCGCAGTCTATGACAAGCGAGCCATGGACCTCTGATGGTCGAGAGGCTATTTATCGTGGCCTTTTGCATATATCTTCGCGAGCTCTCCCTTTCTCGTCTTCTTCTGTATCGGAACCTACTCCAGTGAGTTTTAGATCTTCAATGGGGAAAGAAATGTCCACAAGCGTACTGTACGCTGTGGGGAAAGTGAACAAAATTTTAAACAAGCCCTTACTTAAACTGGTCTGCTTCTTAGTGAAGTCCCAATGGCAATTCAGAAAAATACTACCCAAAAGCTAGTACTAAAGTCCTGCCGGCTTTTATCCTTGATGTCTATGGGTATTTCCCGCTTGCTCTCACTAGCTTATTTTACGCTTCATCTCACCCCACCTTTCGTATCATTCTACATCTCTTCCACTACCTCGAAATAGTGTTCACCCACTCGCTAATATTTCCCCAACCTCTGCGCACCTTAGTATCCTCCCATCTCAGCCATGATCCCATATACTTCCCACAAGTCGTAGTGGACTAACCTCTCCAGCCCCTGAAATTAGCGGTAAACCTTGAGACCGTGCACACCCAATCAAGGTAAAGGCTTATGGAGATCTCACTATAGGGAATGACTCGTATTCGCTGCTTCAACGTCGTGCCCGACACAAGGCTGTTCATCCCGGAGTCGGAAGGTTACCCCGGAAATGTGATGCATCAGGTTTGGATGCTCATCGTCATCCAGGCTTGGCGTCAGGATTTCGAGCTGGGATCTTTAATGGCTAGGCCACGATCCTTTCACACATTAGCAGTTCCATGTCTTTGGCGGCTGAAGTATATCTTGTCACGCTACAAGTGCGGGAGCAAATAGGGGAATAGATGTGCCCAGGCTCGCTAAATCTCTGCAGAATAATTATACATACAGAGTCTTGTACCACGAGGAACAGTACATGGGCTCATGTACTTAATAACAATAAAGAACGGCTCACCCATCTGTATACGTGCCAGAATGATCATCTCCCACCTTCTCCAGATAGAATGGACCAACCCCGGCCCCTGACGACTTCTCCGGGATGTGAGAGAAGTTACAACTGTTGGGGGAAACCAATCTGCGCTGATTTCAACTGAGACGCAGGAATCGATACATAGGATGACCATATTGATGCATCGTATCCTGAAATCTGTTTTCCAATTCTCACTCTCAGGCACTAACAACACCTAGATCCGCTTCTCTTTCTCCCTAATCCAATTCCTTGACCATTGAGCCTAATGGTTTAGGTCTCCGAGTAGTCTCTCATGCCTTCTGTCGCCTCTACCAATCTCCCATATGCTTTCCAAGATCCTTCCCCGATACTCATCTCCAACAGGCCCAACAACAGCGTCTCCAGCCCTGGTAAGTTGAGCGATAAGCTTATAGTTCGGGAAATATGGGCAGTAATCATTATCCCAATCGTCTCCAACACATGTCCAAACATCAGTCTCTTCTCCTTGCTCAGCCTTGTTTTCCGTCGTAGTCGTTAATTCATACGAAGTGGTGATTATGTCTCTGTAGTTCTCCCGCAACTTTTCGTTGTCTCTGTTCAATGTATAAGGCTTGCAGACTCCTTGGCAGAAGATACGACGTCGAATGCATCCTGGTGCGGACTTTGCGCCACAGTATCATATGTATTCCTGTGCTAAATGGTCAGCTTGTGCTACCAGAGGAAGCAGAGAGTTCGGCAGCTCACGAAGAGATAGGTATCGTCCACTCCACAACCTGTCCTGATATCATCATGTACGTTGCAAGATCTTATATTACCCACCAACCCCTTAAAATGACTCTTGCAGTGGTCTTTCAACCTTCTCTTGTTGTCATCGAGGGGGAAGTTTCAAAACACTGGAATATTTGATCGTTATCCGTATAGTGTGGATGATTGACCTCCGATATTCTCGATGAAAATCTCGAAAACACAGACATTGCAGGAGCTATTGACTCGTTCGGATGCTAGGGACATACTTCGATCGTACTCTTGCTCAAAGGCTGTCCTTCTGATATCTTGATGCGTGTTGGGTATCTGAGAATGTAGAGGTAGTATCTACTAGGAATAGATGATTCGATATCATTAGTCAATGTTCTAGTTCTTCAGCGCCGTGTATCTAGGTAAGGTTAGTAAGCTTGCTGCTCTTGCTCAGCCGCTAATCACCCTCGGTTCACCCTCGACTCAGCCAGTTCACCTGAGTCTGATCTGAGCCGTCAGATCAGCTTGAGCAACCTGAGCAGTCCCCGAGCAGTGCATGAGCAACTGGAACAGTATCCTCACTAATAAGGTTAGATATTGGCTTAGAGCACGCAGGCTATTATACCTAAAATATTCGTTAATCGCGACAGGGCTTTTTCGAAATAACTCTCCAAAGAAGAAATAGTTTGTAGTCTACGAGCAATCATAGAAGGATATATTTCAATATCAATTAGATTCTATCACTTTAGCCTTTCTGCATGCAGTATCGTGATAGAATCCAGAGCGCATATTATAGGCTCTATTGCTTTCCACCTACGCCATGAGAAGAACAGGAGCAACCAATAGTTAAGAATTGATTCAGGAAATGCATAAGCCCTTGACACCCTCGAATTGAATACGTTGTCAGCGCGGGAGGTGCCGACTGATTCTGTTCCTGAACTAACCAGATAAGCTCTCCACATGTCGCCCCACGAGATCCTGGGCGCCTCCGCTGTGGAGAGATAAGCAAGCTTTTGAGAGTCTAGTGCCGCGATTCGTCAATACTCCTATGCGCACTTAAGACGGTTCCGTATCCGCGCTGAATCAAGCCATAGTTACTTTTTCCTTCCCGTGTTTTCTCTCCTTGTTTGTGCACAAGATTAAGGCTATGGCTTTTTTAGTGGTTTGAGACTTCCAAGATTGGGTACTTTCATTGGATGGGAACACTGGATCGCACGTACACTCCCTCGATTTAGAATCGACTCCGCCCGCCAGGAGCGGAAGAGCCTTGTCTGTTTTGCACCCTATCTTGCAGGTGTGGCCCAGGAATAGCCTCAACGGGATGCTCCACAGCCTTCTCCCTCCTTACAGAGGTTTTGTCCTTCTCATCTCCATTTCTAATGTCAGATGCATAGCAAATCCCTCTTATCCAAAGTTCATTTTTCTCATAAATTTCTGCTGTTTGATACTTCTTTGGTCTCCTTTTGCGCTCAAAATATCTTGAGTAATATCGATAATGAATCCGTTTATTGCCCCCACGGCTGGCGAGGACATTCCAGTCGACAAACCTTATCTCATAAGATGGTCGCCCACTACTCCTGGACCTGTATTCATACAGCTATCATACGATAATAACATTGAAGCTACCAATATCACAGGTCTTTGCTCCCTTCCTAATCTTATCGAATAAGTTTCCCCTACTCAAAGTTAAGCTAATCTTAATCATTTAATCTAGTCTCGACACCAAATACAGGCAACTATTCTTGGACGCCTGTCGATGTATTTGGGGGCAGAAACAACTACTTCCTCGTTATCTGCGATCTCAATTCATCACAGGGCCCTTGTAGTTATACATTTGATGGACGATTCGCTATTGGGTCGATATCGAGCAATACTTTGCAAAGTACCACAATAACCGAAACTTCGGTATCGACGACTAATATACCCTTGACTACAAGTTCAACTTCAGCAACTATGACGTAGGTTAATACTCCTCGTCATGAGCGACGTTCGTCAGAGTTGGTGGCTGACAGCAGATCCAACATATCAGGCAACAACCTTTATCCACATCCACGACATCACCTCTGACACAAACGTCGGCTCCAAATCCAAATCCAGATCTCTCTACGGGTGCAAAGGCAGCGATTGGTGTTGTCGTACTGTTGTTTGTATTGGCTGTTGTGGGATTGACTGTGTTGTTCATCTGGAAACGACGAAAGGGAGCATCACAAACGCAACCAGCAAGCTCAGATGCAAAAGCGATTAGCGAGTATCATAAAGCGGAGCTCCCTACAGAAGGAAATAGCAAGGAGCCTGTTAGAGTTGAGCTGTCCGGATCTGGAGTTGGAACTGGATATGCGAGCGCGAATGTTGAAGAACTCGCGACTGATTGAAGAGTTGAGCATGGTAGTGAGCAAGATGCGAAGGCTTGACTAGTAATTACACTACTTAAAAGGGCACTGATCATGAATGCTTCTTACCATGGGCCAGAATTCTATGACATCTTCATCAATGGAAGATGCGTAGTAGGTGTGGTCTAAAGCGGAACCAGCGAAAGGGAGAATTAATCCTTAGTCTTGGGGAATCCATGATGATGATTCAATTGTATCAGCGACGAAGAATTTAAAAGTTAGGGAAAAGTGTAACATGAATGGGTTCAGAAAGTCGATTTATATGGCAATTTCCCCCGCGGGAGACTTACTATTGCCTGCTAGACTATCTAATTAGTAGATGTTCCTGAACTTTGAGACATATTGACCACTAGCTCTTCTGATTAGTGAATGGTTCTAAGACTTGGGGTATGATTTTGAAGGTCTTGTCTCCTTGTATATATTTATCAGAGAAATAAAAACAATGTTCTTATCGAATTAATCATTCACTGATATCACCGAGTATTTGTTCACAAACCGCTCGAACTATCCTAGCCTCTAGATTGTGGCATATCTTTGAATACAATTGCGATCAACGAAGTGAACTTGCCAGTGGAAAACCTTCCTCACCCATATATCCATCGTCCTTGTTCTCCAGAGATCAGCTTCTGCTGGCAAAGCAATAGTGTCGGCCTTTCTAGAGTTTTCACAACATTCGAGATATCACGATGACGGGAAAACCCCATAAAGACTACTTCATTTCTGAATAAAACGAGCTGGGGGACAAGAGATTCCATTCTATTTTTACTACACCTAGTACGGAAAGTTTCCCCGGCATTCGTTTCCGACACTCCAACGACAAAATGCGCATCTACAATCCGGCTTCCTGATTCTTGCTGCTGCGGCTTCTCGTTCCAGCCTCGCTTCCTCTTGAGCCCACTTCTCGTCTGCTTCCTGCTCGAATTCTGCTACAGTTTTTGGAGTGTCATGGTCGAACTCCTCATACTCAATAAAGTATGGGCAATACTCTTTGTCCGGCTCCTCCTCGTCTTCCGAATCGGTATCAACTGCCAGGTTATATGGTTGGCAGAGTTTCCAGCATAGTTTGCAGTATGGACCTAGTTGAACGCCTTCACGACGGGGTTCTCCGCAGTCGCAAGTGTACTCCTAGCAAAATTGTTAGCTACTCAGTAGTAAATTAAAAGAACGAACGACCCTCACATCGTAGAGTCGTGCTCCTCGCTCTTGAACAATCTGGAAGCCGTCTTCCGTTGTGTTCGGCCTTGCCATGTCGTCCATAACTCCTGGCATGCACTCTTTGCAGTACGCCCCGAAGTCCCAGCCGTGATGTTGACCAAATAGCACATCATCACATTCGCAGTATCCATCATCCAGTTGAATATCGGTGCTACATTCCTCGCAGGGGAATCTGACACGCTTGGCAGCTAGAGATCTATGACGAGCATGCATATGGGACTCGTCGTTATTTTCAGGTTCGTCGATCCTCGTGCAGGCGTCTAGTAGAGAGTAGCAACAGCTCTGAGAAGCAATTAGTAGAGACACGATTTGTTGACTAAAAATTAAACTGGAGACGTCTTCTGGTGAGAAATAGGTATCCGTTCTCGCTTCCTCAATGCGATGGGACTCTTACCTTGCAAGTTCTCTTCTCACACGAAAAGCATCTGCTCTTTTCGTCCATGTTGCGCCCACAATCGCAAACAGACAACTCCATCAGCTTTTCATTCTCTTCTTCTGAGTATTCCAGCTCCGGGTATAGTAGCTTGGTATCTGCCATCACATGGAAAACCATTGGTGTAGTCATCGAAGGAGCCATCAGACTAAAGGCTTCCATGACTCCATCCATTGTGGATGGGTGTGGTGCAGATGTATTGCCGGTCAGGCCAAAGTCTATGATCTCGAGGTATCTTAAGACTTTACTGTAGTTCGCGGTCTCGATGTCGTGTTGTTGAGACATGATGAATTGATATGTTCTGGGTTTTAAAATTGTGTTTACGAAGGTTGATATTTCGAGAGGTTGTCGCAAGATGGTTATGAAAATTCGAAATATTTATATGAATGAGTCGCTTGAGATTTTCAGAAACTTGCGATGCACGCTTAAAGCCTTCTCAATTGGGATAGCACAACTTCCCTACGTAAATATCTCCTATATGGTTGGCCATGATAGCGGAAAGCTTTAAATATTTACAAGAAGGTCGTCGAAATAAGGAAATTAGCGTCTTTCTTCGAAGCCAGATACCCTTAGTGAACGAGTCAACTTTCTCACGAACTCGGAAAACAAGACTCTATACAACAGTCCATGGCCGGATCCTGTGCCGCAGGATCTTCCAGATAAAATGAAACGCCTCAAAGCTTGCAAGGTTTTCCGCCACAGACAGTCATCGTGTGAACATATCGTAGCTTGCCTCCTTCGAGCCGAAATTCGTGGCTATCCGCTGCCATCATCATATGCTCCCACACACAGAAGATGCTTACAGAACCCATAGATTCGTCAACAACATAGCGTCGATGAGTATTTGGAGCTTGTGTATGGTTGGACGGAATACCAGGCTTGCAAGAATCGGTCGGCTTTCCCGACCCAGTGTACGCCGAACCTTCAAGTCGAGTGCAAGGTGTACCCCAAGGTACAGCGTCAGAGGCAGTAGCATTGCTCCACATATCCAAGTAAGCATCTCCAGCAGCTTGAATCACTGTTCGACTGTCGCGAGCGGACAGTGGAATAGGATCCCATTTCTCCTCGAGCACGTGTTGTAATGTCTTACTCGCGTTGAAAAGCCACGAGTTGGTGGTGGACGCAATGGAGTCGATCATTGTAACTTGCATGTCAGTCCCGTGGTGAATCTGAGTGCCAATCACATACGGATTTGCTGAATCTGTGATGACCAATTCGGTATACGAAGCGCACGATGTTGTGTCGAGATTGGTGCGGCGGTGGTCGATTTTCAGAGCTTTGCTTAGAACACCATTATGAACGTTCATCACATTGTTGTTTTCTTGATAAGTCCAATTTCCAGCAAGGGAGCTCTGAAGTGGATCAAGCTGTCCCGCCGTTTGAGCAGCAACATAAGCATCTGCTGCATTCATGAGCGATGTTTGATTGCATGATGCCATTAGCTCTGGTGCAGGAAGTGAGGCAGCAATTGGCGTAATTGCGAGGAGAACCGCGCATGACTCCAAGTATGAAGGCATCATCTTCGGACGACCGAGCTCACGAGGCGCGGAAGACTCGTTTGAGATGGTCGAAATGTTTGGTTGTAATGTGTGTTAATGCCTGGAGAACTAGTTCTCTGGGCTATTGCAATCGTGTGGGGAAAAGGAGGTTAGTGAAGTATATTATCATTCATCCTCAACAGAATAAATACAGACAATGTCTATCTTCGGAAGTGAAGCAAGTTCTTTGTCCTCGCAAATGCCGTGCCGAGGACCTGAATAGTCAATATATCCAATTAAGCCTGTGAGAACGACAGGCCACGGTGGTCGGCAATATCTGTACTCCGCACTTCTTAATATATTATTAGTGGATCGACAGCCGATTTGCCTCTACTATCTACCTGGCTCCTACCTGGCTCATAGAGAATGATAATATCAACAGCCATGAGCACAAATTGTCCGTCGCTTGCCGAAGTAAGGTCCACGCCAGGCCTAGCGCCTTCGCTTAAAAAGGGGTAAATGTAGAATGCAGCTAATTTCAGAGTTGAGTTTTGGGATGTAAAAAGTGTGGTGGCCGGCTTCAGACAGGATTTCAGTGCGACTTCCGAAGTGTTTTCCGGAGTAGAGCGGCATAGAGACTTATTATTCTTCAGGAAGAAAGTTCACATGGCGAATCCCTGGTAAAGGGAATAAGCTTTCGGAATTGGAGAGAGCGTAACTCGACGCTCACCTCTAGCACGAATCTTACGTTATATTATCACAAGATGTTTATCTTCGATACATCACTGAAGTCATATGATTCATTCTCCGATTTTGCTAAATGACAAGCAATTAAGACATCGTTTGCAAGCAACTGACGCATAAACAGAATCTACCCAGCTCGCAATCATGGTCATCAGGATATGCACACGGCTCCCATATGGCGAGTTTATTCTCAACATGGTATTGCGAGACACAGTCCGGATCTCTACAGTTCCCGGAGATGCTCCTTCCCGGAACAGAACACCTGCAGTCCTGTAGAGAGTTGCGTTAGTGAAGCTACTGAAACTTTTTTTACAACATTATAAACAAATTCGAATATCAATAGAGGCATGAAAAGTAGGAATGTGATATTTTGTGAGTACGTGAGGCACAATAGCAGAAGTCACTGGAGATACAACAACGTACCGTGCAAAGTTGCTTATCGCAGCTGAAACATCGAAGCATTTCATCGAACTCATGTTGTTTGCCTGAAGTTCGGCAGATGGCCAGTGACACCGATCGTAGCTCATCCATGTAGCCAGTGTCGTCGGTAACTAGACCAGTACACTTGAGTACCAGCAGTAAGTAGCTCCAGGAGCTTCTCCTGCAGATCCATTCGACCAGGCCGCTGATTTCTTCGGTGCCAGTATCCTCTTCGTCGAGGTCATTGGAAATGTTCGGCACTGGCGCTGGCGCCATGTCGGACTCATGAGATGAGCCTGACGATACTGTAGGTGCGGAGGTGCTGGAATTACTTTCGTCAAAGATGGAGTGATGAGCTGTAGAGGGATCGATGTCGGCGTCATTCTCATCTTGACATTCGATATCCCCTTTCTCAATGAACGACCGAATTGCGCGTAAGGACAGGATGATTCTGCGCATATCTCCCGGTTGAATCTTCTCCGTAGCAACCATGATGTTTCTCGATCCTTTCTCTGGGAAAAAGTGTTCGTATGTTTGTTGACAGAATATTGTGAAATCATGCGCTTGATGAAATATTTGATCCAAGGTATGCTGTTGGCTTAGTGGATCTCGCGCTAATAAATCAATGAGCTAAAGATAGTAGAGGTGAATAAGGCTTCCTAAATCTATCTAGCATCTCAAAACAATACAAGGGATGAAATGTGCCAGAGTAAACTTATCAAGGCTGAGAACTGCGCAGGATATTTTAAGACATCGAGCACGCCATAGAATCTTGATTAGAAGCAAGATGGATGGTGCGACTTCCTAACACCTTCTCGAGAAAAAAGTGGCTAGGCTATATATGATAGTGAGGCCTCAGGGCCAGGAATATTTCGAGAGTCAGATATCATGCTGTCATAGCAGCTGTGATGACATATTTCACAGTTATCCCATACTCTAACGCATATTCGATACAAGGTCATAAGCAAGGTACAAGGTGACAACGAGGGCCAGCAAACAGCAAACGCGAGAGAGGCAAGCAGAATACGAGACAACTACAAGAGTCAACAAGATCTTCAATATTATACATATCTATTCATCGATGGAAGGCTCACACCCGCCAGATAGCATCGGACATCTTGGCCAGCTGAGCCATCGGTCCCACATCATGTACACGAACAATATCAGCACCGCCCTGAATCGCAGCCGCCACAGTTGCAGCCGTACCCCACGTCCTATTCTCAGCCTTCTTCACTGCGGTGATATGACCGATGAACCTCTTCCTACTCGAGCCGAGCAGCCACGGCAATCCTCTCAGGCCTGGCCAGTCCCGCAACTCGTCCATACGTCGAAGAATCTCTAGATTCTGGTCGATAGTCTTGGCAAATCCAATACCAGGGTCAAGAATGATCCGCCAGCGCCGAATACCTGCTTCTTCAGCAGCTGCTACACGTTCGAGCAGTTCCTGCGCGATGGTTGGGATTAACCCATGAGGGCTATAGTCAGTCAAGGTGTTCATGGTTGCTGGAGTTCCTCGCATATGCATTAAACATATCGTCTTGCCAAGACGGCCTACTGTCGGGAGCATCTCAGGATCTAAGGTCCCAGCAGCGACATCGTTGATGACCTCTGCTCCAGCATTGATTGCAGCCTCTGCTACACGGGCTCGATAAGTGTCAACACTGATCAGGGGACACTTTGGGCCTTTGAAAACCGTCTTCAGAAGCTCGATGGTTGGAACCACACGCGAAATTTCTTCTTGTTCGGTGACTTCTGGAGCACCAGGCGCGGTGGACTGACCTCCGATGTCAATAATCGTAGCTCCAGCTTCCACGCACTCAGCGAGTCGCCGAGCTAAATCATATTCCGAAGATTGCATACGGACTACTGCAGAATTCTTGAAGTGCAAGCCTCCGTCCGAGAAAGAGTCTGGCGTGATGTTGAAGATTGCCATGACATGAGTCTTGCGATTACTTTGCAAAGCACGTATGGGTGCAATGTGCTGAGCGAGTGGAGTGAGCGTTGATAGAGGTGTATTGGAAGGTGGTAGAGCGTTGAGGTAATCCACTGTCCCTTTCCAAGGTGAAGCTGAATTTAATGTCTGTGCTGGTATCAATCTGGAGAACAGTTAGCACGTGATTAAATCTCCGAACGTTGGATTCACTCTGCTAGGGGTCGAAGAACGAATTCGCGTTCCAGCATAGCGGCGTGAGGGACCGTCAGACGTTCATGACTTATAACTTGGTCCTCATAAAGCAAGATATCGAGATCGATATTTCGAGGACCCTTGTCAATGATTTTATGCCGACCAAGATCATTCTCAATACCTTGAAGTGCGTCAAGAAGAGCAAGAGGCTCAAGTGTTGTCTCTACCTGTCAAACTTAGTAATCTTCCCATGATGATTTATGTTACTTCAAAAAGCTCCCCGCTATACATCATACATTATATATCATGTTCCATCCTTCAAGAAAAGCTGGAAGAAAAGTCGCCATGGCTCACCTCACAAGCCCCATTGATGAAGCTGCCCTGCTCAGTGACGTACATGGGCTCAGTCTCCCATAAAGAGCTCGTTCGCTTCACTCTGATGCCTCTTCTCGTCATCTCATTGCAAGCTTTCTCGATCCAATCAACCCGGTCTCCGAGGTTGCTTCCAAGCGCAATATACGCCGTACGTTTCTTTGCTCCATCCTCATTTGACTTCGAGGTGACGAGAGGATGGCGGTCAGAGACAGAATTTGGTCTCAGAGTATGCTGGGTCCATTGGCTTGGGCTTACGCCCTCTTTCGAAGTCGATCGATGTCTCTGTCCTGGAAAAGGAGAGAAAAGCTTGCTCGCACCGAATATCCGGATGGAAAAGCCACTGCTTCTGCTATGACTGGCGTTCACCGCACTACCTCTGATCCGTAATGTCTTCATCGACGTCAACATGGGTCTTCCAAGGTCATGGCAAGCATTTGTGGGCAGCTATACGATGAATTGACATTTTTGGAGATATGAACAGATTATGCAAGTTTGACTCTAGCCATAAGCGGAAAGCATAAGATTGTACATTTTATGCACGCTAAGCTAAAAACGATATCTGACTTCTTCTTGTCCAACATACAGGCACAAAACAAACATCAACTTCTGTGCCCTTTTCGGCGCACCCAAGAACTTATATCCTCGTGATTCTCCACCCGATTGCTCTCATCCTTCGTGTTTGCAAATGTTTATCCAAGCCAGCATATTCCTCAGCTGATCAGAAATCAGCGTGCCGAGGCAGTTCCCCAGATTACAGGGTAGTTCAGCGCTAGTGGGAGTCGGAGACCCGAGGAGGTTCTCCTCCACTGTTGTCTCCTCATAAATCCCCTCCGCATTCTTTCTTACCTTTCCATTTTCTCTCTATCTCTTACTTTGATCAAACATTTGTCTGCCTGTTGACCATTGATTGTATCTCTGCCAGAACAACTCTTCCGCGACAAACAACAGATCAATACGATGGCTTCACCTCGTAAGTATCACATGCCAGTACAATCATCTCTTCCCAGACTGACAATCATCGCAGAGCAACTTCGTACTACGGTCACCGATCTTCTCAAGATCAATCATCCAGTTCTGCTTGCTGGCATGAACGTCGCGGCTGGCCCCAAGCTTGCAGCAGCAGTGACCAATGCAGGAGGTCTCGGCGTCATCGGAGGAGTTGGCTACACACCAGACATGCTCCGCGAGCAGATCGCAGAACTCAAGTCCTTCCTCAAGGACAAGAATGCACCATTTGGCGTCGATCTCCTTCTGCCACAAGTCGGAGGAAGCGCACGGAAAACAAAGTAAGCATTCACATGCCGAGGCCCTTTTTTCTTTGATTACCGTTCAGCTGACATCGAATCCGCCCTCAGCTACGATTACACGAAAGGAAAGCTTAACGAATTAGTCGACATCATTATCGATTCGGGTGCCAAACTTTTCGTTTCCGCCGTCGGTGTTCCTCCTCAACATGTCGTCGATCGACTCCACAAAGCGGGCATTCTATATATGAACATGATCGGACACCCAAAGCACGTTAAGAAGTGCCTTGAACTCGGTGTCGATATCATTTGCGCACAAGGTGGTGAAGGCGGTGGACACACTGGCGATGTTCCCACAACTGTTTTGATCCCAGCTGTGGTGGATCTTGTTAAGGGAAAGACCAGCCCGATGACTGGCAAGCCCGTTCAGGTCATTGCGGCTGGTGGTATCTATAATGGACAAACAGTTGCTGCTGCTCTTATGCTTGGAGCTAGCGCTGTTTGGGTTGGTACCCGATTCATCTTGACAGATGAGGCTGGAGCACCAAAGGCGCATCAAGAGGCCGTCAGAACTGCCGGCCATGATGACAACGTCCGAACAATTATTTTCACTGGCAGACCTCTGCGAGTACGAAATAATGCCTATATCTCCAACTGGGAGGAGAACAGAGCTGCTGAGATTAAGGAGCTCACAAGCAAGGGTGTTATTCCAGTGGAGCATGATTTTGAAACATTGGGCGATGACATTGATGATGATGTATGACTTCTTTTCCCATCGATGCGATTGCTGGCTAACAAATAATTAGACTATGGATAACGCAAGACCATTCTTGATGGGCAAGGCCGCCGCCGTTGTGAACGAGAAGAAGAGCGCCAAAGCTGTTGTTGATGAGCTGGTCAGCGACGCTGTTGCATGGATCCACAAGGGTGAGAAGATGACCGCAAAGCTGTAGATGCTCTTGAGTCAAAAATTGGGAATGGCACTTGGTTATCATAATTCATGAGGGCTTGGGACATTGTATGAATTAGAATATTGCATGCTCTCGTCGCAACTTTTTGGAATGTCCTTCAATCCCTTGTCTGTTGGTTCCATAGTAGAGACTTGGCACATCCAATATGCAAGGGGAAATTCAGATCATTCAAATTGTGCTACATGGAGAACAATAGATAGTCCGTCTGTAGACGGGACAATTGAACGCGTGTATTGTGCGGAAACTTTACAGAAACTCCCCCCCATTAACGTATCTGGGTACAGTGCTCAAATGGAAGCAAGAAACGAACAGTCCGGTTTTGCAAAAGGCAGCCAATCTGAAGAACATAGGAGGCAGACTGTGCCTAGTAAAACGCCTTTGTGAGGCACAATTCAGCACGCTAGCTTTCTCGGAATCTTCAAACGCTGATTGGATGCCGAGCCTCAACATCCTTCTTACATGCAACTCTTAACGCAATCATTCTTCTATCTTCATGTACAATGCGTGCTCGATCTACAGGCCCAATGCAATATGCCATATGACTCACGCCGATTCAAAGGCACAGCCCTGGTGGCTAGAGCTGATGAGGAGCCATGTAAAATCTATAAAAACCCGACCTGCCCACGACTAAAGGCCACAGATCATCATCTTCTTCATCACTCAATTATCGAAAAGAAAGAACAGTCTCCATATTTCAACATCATTTCTCAATTATCATTTGACTATCTGTCAGTATGAATCCGGTCAACACCAAACCATACAACCTGCCCTCAGATGCGACTTGGTTGAGTAAGTTTCTCCTCGCCGGATCACTTGAAGTCAAGCAAATAACTAATATTTTCGAACAGTAACCGGATGCTCGTCAGGAATCGGCCGCGAGCTCGCCACGTTGATCGCAAACAAGCCGACCCAACGCTTGATAGCCACAGCACGCAAGCCTTGTGACCTCTCCTACCTCCCTGACGGAAATCCCAACATCTTGAAGCTCGCCTTGGACGTCACTTCCGTCGGCTCAGTCAACGAAGCTTTCACCGCTGCTTCCAAGCACTTTGGTGAAGACTTCCATCTCGATGTCGTGGTCAACAATGCCGGGTACTCACTGTCAGGTGACACTGAGGGTGCCACCGAGGAAGAGATGCATCAAGAGATGGAAACGCTGTTCTTTGGTACTGTGAGAGTTACCATGCCAGCTGTTGAAGTCATGCGTCAGCACAAAGAACATCGAGGCGGAGTCATCTTCAACATCTCATCGCTTGCTGGATTGGCTGGGTTCCCTGGTCACGCATTCTATCATGCTGGGAAGTTCGCCGTGGAAGGGTGGTCCGAGTCTGTGGCTAGAGAAATGCACCCGAATTGGAATAGTAAGTCCTTGCTTTTGCAATATTCATCTTCATTGCTTACCTTCCGTAGTCAATTTCTGCATCATCGAGCCAAGTGGTGTCAAGACGAACTTTGACGGCCACAGCAAAGCAAATATCAAACCTCATCCAGCTTACGCAGAACCCGATATGCCATCTCGCATACTCGAGAAGTACGTGAATATGGGCCTCAAGTCTGGAGTCGGTATGATTGAACCTTCTGCTATCGCCGAGGCTATTTTCACTATTGCTAGCCGTGGTGAGAAAGTCCCGCTCCGACTTCCCTTAGGTGCCACGGCTTGGAAGATGGCGAAAGCTAAGTTTGAGGGTTTTCTGAGCGAGTTGGATGCAGTCAAGGAGATAAGTGTCATAGGGAAAGATGTTTGAGAGTGCGTTTGATGTTTTTCTGGACGTTTACTTCTGGGTGTTCACCGAGACATCCAAGATGTCGAAGACCATCTAAAGTCAATTCATGACGTCAATAGTCTGAAAGAGGCTCTTGTCGCGCTCGTGCCTCGGAGAAGCAGTTTGAGGCTCACTCAATTCTACCATTTCCTTTTGCTGCTGCTTTTTACATCCCGTCTTCGGCTAGTCAGCCGCATGCGTATTGGTGGCGTATCGGCGTTCGCTCCTGTGCATGCTTTTTCCTCAACATTATCTGCCACAAACTTGAATATTAGTCTCTTAACCATCGATTCGTACCTAGAAAAATCTGTTTGAAAAGCAATGTATCTAAACTGCGAATGAATTCTTTTAACTCGCCCTATGGTAACCTTTGCCAAATTTCATGTAATTCTTCACGCTTCAGCCTCCATATCTGGGAGTCTAAGCTTTGTCTCAGTTAGTCCCAAAAGAGTAGCGCTAGTTAGCCATTCTCTGACATGACTGGCCCGTTTACAGCCACCAAGCCCCTGAACATCTCTGCAGGAAGAATGCAAATACAGCGACTTACCGAGGTGATAGCTATCTGTTATTGAAGTTTCCCATCTGTCTGTGGTCTTTTCTTCGAGTACAAAATGTTGTTCGTCTTTTCGCTCCTTGTGCTTCCAGCATTGGCCCAACGACCTAGTGATGCCTCACTTTGTGATTACTACGCAATCCAACAATTTGGAGTCAATACGACGACTACACAATTCAACTTAGTTCAAAGTATCCTCGCCCTCGCGTTTGCTGGCCCATCGGGACTTTCCAAAGTCTCATCTGATATTACGGGCATCTTCAATCCAGGAACATATCAATCCACCAATGTGGATCTCGGACCATGGTTCAATGGAAGTATCGACTCTACCAATGTGAACGGCCAAGCTTCTTCCGTGAATTGGATTGATGGAGGCTGGAAAGCTCCATTGACGGCATTCCTTGCTGGCAAGACGTCCAGTATCGTACTAGCAAACACAACGAACGAATAGTATGTATAAGAACTATCTCTTGTTGTGGCAGTCGCTAATTCATAGTAGTGAATTCTTCACCCATCAGTTCTCAGCCTTCAACAACCTCATCGGTTGCAGCGAGCCTGCCCCGGTGCCTCCTCAAATAACTCGAAACCTTGCATACGTTCACAAGTTCATGGACCTCAACCACACTGAGATTGGCCACTTCATCAATCAGATCACGCTCTCAGCCGCATACTTTGGGTTTGCAGAAGAAGACAGCGATGAGCTAAACACGCAAATGAACGCAGTATTCAACGTTCGCTGCTCACCGGCTGTTGGGACTCAACTGTACAGCCTGTGCCAAGACGAAACTTGTCCGCTTGCTCCAAATCCCAATTGCGCTGTCTATGCGGATCTGGGACCAAGTGGAATTATTTCTGCAGCGCCGACTGCGACAGCCGCACAGTTTACACCAACCATTGTCGTTACTACCGTTACGCCTTCCAGCACCTCAAAACCTACAGTCTCCACAACTCCTAGCTCTACTCCTGTACCATCTTCGGCACTTCCTGGAGGTGATATTGCCGGGATTGCAATTGGCGGCGCAGCTTTGACGTTCGCGTTCGTTCTAGCGCTGGTGTTCCTGCTGAAGAGGAGAAACAACAATATCCATGATTCCTTCTATAATCCTAGTCCTTCGAGGCCGAGCTATCTGACTGCAGCTCGCAGCGATCCACATACGAGCTATCATTCGAATCAGATAGTGCAGGCTTGGAATGGACCACCAATTGCGGAGATGGAAAGTACTGTCGGAAGCCCAGTTAATCCGCATTTCACATCGGCGTCACCGCCACCCCTAAGCCCGAGCGAAATATAATTGATGTTGGTTTAGAAGCTGTATACGGGAGATTTCAGAGGCAGAGAGTGGTCTCATTTAATAAGTTTTTGGTCTCAGTTTGTATATCTCAAATGCAGAAGTCTAGGAACCCAGCATCCGAACAATTTCCACGTGGCGCTAAGACAGAAGGAAACATACTTCATCCATCGCTTCTCCGACCGCTAGAACTGTATTTAGTCCAGATAGTCTTAGATCGAGAAAGGCCGTCCACTGTTGGTTCTGCCCATCTGCGTCTCCTCCGTCCTTGTAGTAGAATCATTCGTGACTACTTGTACCACCTCGTTTATCTTCTTAGTCGTGGAAGAGTGTTGTTTCTCCATACTACTAGTACTCTTTTGCCCTACAACGGGTGAAAGCATCTCGTCCCAATTCCTTAGCGCGCTAAATGTCTTCTTCTCTGTTGTTACTGGCACTCTATTCCACTCATCCAACTCCCACTTTCCAATTCCCATTCCTTCGAAAGCACGTCTTTGAAGCTGCAGTGTTCCATCCGCCCACCATGCACGCTGTCTCCAGAGTCGGCCTCCTTTCCATCTCACACGGAACGAGCCCACCGCAGTCTCAAGGGTCTGGTTCACCACAAATATGATGATTCCAAAAGCAAAAATCAGAAAGATGGATAGAGTACGAAAGTTGATGTAGTCGCTTCGCCGCATAATTTGGTTTCCACACATCCAATTCAGGTCCGTGTCGTTCTTCGCCTGGTCGAGAGGGATATACTGCCAATATTGAGGGGGTGGGCCCGTGATATAATCTGCCATGAGACGCTGAAGGTTGGAGAGGCCGACACGGAACCAGTTCTCTGCCTCGAGGATCCATTGATTTGGAGCCAGTGGCAGTGATATTCCACTCTGAACCAAGCTTTGAGCTAGAAGTGGTACAAAGTTCATGGCGTAATCGAGATTAGACCCCGTGACTTGATCCAGAATCGCTGTTGCCATCGTGAACTGACGACCATTGCTCAAAACTGCCATAAGTTCCTCATCCTCAAATATATGAGAAATGGGCCGAAAACGGGTACAGTTTGATTCGTTGTCTGGAGAAGGTGTGGGGTTGCAGATTTGTTGCTGCTCAAGACAAGCGAGAACTGATACCACTTTGTCTTGAACATATACCTCCATTGTTTCGTTGGAGCCCAAGCGAGAAACCGTGGTGTTAAGATGGGCACCAAGCCAGAGGTCATCACTTGGCTCGGTGTAGCATGAGAAATATGTAGCAAACGCTAAGTCGAGAGTGGCATTTGGCACAGACAAGGCAGGCATAGGTATAAATGACGACTGAGTTTCGTCTACAATCTGAGTTCTAAGACATGAGTCAACTTATTGAGCAGAGTAGATTACTGACGGAAAACATACTCCACTTGATATGGTGCTACCGAAGAACTGAATGAATGGATTTTGATGTCATAGAAGTTTGTATAAATGTAGGTGGCATTTTGCAAAGCGGGATCATCCATTCCCCATTCACTGGGAGATCCATACATTGGTCCGTAGAATAGGGCTGTGTAGTTGAAGTTATTACGACCGTAGTAGTGTGGATCTTTGTAGTTAACAACGCTCGTGCCGTTTGTACTGAAGCCATCGGTTTTGATAGGAACGCAGGTCGCGTTCCGCCTCCATTGAATGCGGTCTTCGTCTTTTCCGTTGATTCCCAGGTCATCACGAGAGTCGACATAGCCGGTGTCCATGTATAAAGAACCATTCGCTGGACCAAGACACATATCGCCAAAAGGGCACGGTTGGTTTGTGGTCGAGGTCCAATTCAATTCCAGGCGTTTGAACATATCGCATTCCGGGAGAGAAGCCGACTCCGCTAAACAGTTTTCCACGTACTTCCCGCTTGATTGCATGGTAAGAAAGCCATAGCTGTCTGCGATCATCGATACAGGGGAAAGTGGATTGTTGACTTCTGCTTCCCATGGCCCGCAATGAGGACTTTGAGCAACAAGGACTTGGCTGTCAGTTGTTGTAATGTGCGAGGCTAAGATACTGGTAGCTCCGAAAGCAAGAAGATGAAGGATCCCTATTGAGACCAAGGCAATGGAATTTTGGAAACTCTTCGGAGATTGCGATCGCCAAGCATATGCGGTCCTGGTGAGCTCCCAGACAGTGCTGGTATCAGAGTTGTCGTTTCTCAATATTGCTTGTTGCTGGTGATATAGTCCACTTCTAGCTTGTGTAGTTGCACGTAGCTGGTGAGTGATAAATCGAACGATGCCCCAGCTCTGGACACCAATGAGCTATTGATGAGTTTCGTCAGATGATATCCATCAAAAGTTTTCAGGGAAGGACGGGAACGGGAGAATGGGTCGAGGGAAACTTATTTACTTGAATGAAGATTGCAAGTACGGCAATCAGAATCCCTCCATTGCGGGTGGTAAGTGTAAGAGTCAATCCACCGACTTCCCCCTTTGAGTAATTCGTCCAGAAACCTCGATATATTGTTTCATTTGACGAAGACATGTCTTCGGAGTGGCTGCTATCTCATCGAAATCGCTATATGAAGCTGTTGAATAGCGCTGTACGGTACGAGTAAAATGATGAAATATTGAAAGCCCAATAGAATTTGTTGCAGACAAGTGGCAGTTAAGTACGAGAGAATAAGTTCATTTTGACTGCAGTTATATAGTCCAGCACGATCGGCAACACCAACTCACCCCATGATTCCACAAAGTAGTTTTCGATATGGTCATGATCATTCGCATATGGACCCCACGCAGTCACAACAGAAGTTTCGACCTGTCAATATATTACGGGCAGTTCGAGTAGTATGAGGCGTCACACCCGCAGGGGAATCTCTGCTTACAAATTTCACGAATTGGTTGCCTACCAAAATTGATAGTATTCAGCTTTCCCAGGTGTGTATGCGAGAAGTTCAAGCCTGTCGATCAATGACCATAGAAGTATTCCTATTTGCTCTCAATGCAGCCAGCTGAATATGCACTTTGAATCATTGGGGGCGGTTCGTCCAAACACTGCAGCACACTTTTCGTCGGGTAAAACGTGGCAATATAAATAGCTTCTGCGCAACAGTGGCTCAGCCCCGGCGATCGCAGGAATTCATGCTTCTAGTTGCCTTCGGTAGTACAAGACGACGGGTTAACAAACGACAGATCAGATTGATAACCCTTTAAAGCTTACTCGCATGCAGAAGTTTCCCGATGCCTCGCATGTGGCTGCAAGGGTTTCGAAAAATTGTTCACCTCTTTGAGTTTTTCTTTGAGCAATCTGACACGTATCGCGAAAAGTTGCCATTATCTCTGAAGGTCCCATGTAGAATCTGTGCCTATCCGTATCTCTCAAGATAGCCCAGAAATTGTTCTACTTTCATGGCAGTTCCACCCTGAGCGATGATTTGAGTGGGGTCAGCATCGAACTCTGAATCATGTTTCTGCATTGCTTTGACGCGCCTCTTCGTCTACCGGGTATTAGCACAACTTCCCTGAATAGAATCAACATAGTCTGAAGATACCTGTGATGCCTTGTTTCAATATGATATTAGCATTCTGAAGCAAGAAGAACATAGCTTCCCGATGAGGAAAGAACTCGTTGGGGGTTTCTTCGCTGCAAAGACGACGCCACATCAAATCCAAGATTGTCATCAATTCCTCAACTGGCAACGAAAATATTGCATCAGCAATGAGCTTCATGGTGAGCCCTTGACTTGAGATGGTCGATGCATATGTGTTGTCGTAAACTTTCGAGGTGTCAATTCTAGAGGCTCTGCTCCAGTCCTCAGCTTCGGATTGGCTGTGCACGCTTTCTCCTAGTTCGTCTTCGTCTTCTTCGTTCTCACTTGGACTCGTAAACTCCAGCTCTGGCTCTTCCCATGCTGTATCATCGTCAAAATACTCGTTGAAGCTCTTTTTGAATCCTCCTCGTATAGTTGTCTGCCCTTCATCGATATCGGTATTTACTGCTGCAAAATTTGCGTCCAAAATGGCCATTTGACGGTTCTGAGTTTGAGATACAACAGCTTGCCCAAAAATCAGATCTACAAAATATGTCAGAGGTTTTGTCCTTTCTATCCCCACGGGTGCAAGACGATGGGGAATTCAAATACGAGGTAGCAAGAACTCGCCTTCGGGGTAAAGATCAAGCAAGACCATGACCGCGAGTTCAATAGTCTCTTTGGTGGACTTAAGTGAAGCCGGAAACTCAGAAGATTGAGAGAACTCGTGTCCTTGCCGAATCAAATGGTTCAGTTCGCCTTCCTTCAAAGACCATGCATACATCTGAATCAGGTGTTGGAAATGTTGTGTTGCCTTCATCTTCTGGTTGTAAGTACATGCTTAAAGTGTTGCAACGTAGAAGCAAGCTTATCATGGAACTCTGCAGCTCGGCCATCCTTGCCTGGATGATGGGCATCCCAAATACTGAGTATGATCTGACATTTATAAGGGAGAGAAGCTACATGTACCTCAAGTAAAAGAGACAGAAAGAGAGACAAGAACGTGTCAAAGAACCTTCAAGAAACAGCTGTAGATTTTCAAACTCCACTCAGAGAATTTCAAGATACTTTTTGCCAGGCCAAATTTTCTTTGGTCACTCATAATTTGTTGCGAAAAATTCTTCACAAAGAGCCTTTGGGGGTTCCGGGGGCTGTGGGCTCATGTAAGAAAGTGTACACACATGAAAGAATAATTTAATACATAATGCAATGAAGTTCAGTGGCGAAAGGGTAAGCCGGCTGGGGCCGGAATATCGGCTCGGTACTTTGGAGCTACTGTAGCTCATTGGGCATCGTCATTTGCAATTTTTTCTTAGTGTTCATTGTAAATCATGAACCAACGTTGTTGTCCGAGACCATTGTCAAACTATTATTATACTCGTTCTGTAGCCTCATATGTGCATTGGACAAGAACGCCATGCCGCCACTGAACACATGAAGACTCGGTTCGATTGGTGCTCAGAGCCTAGCCAGCCCTCGAACTCAGTAGTCAATGGTCCGTCATAATCCGGTCTTTTTGAGATGAGCTTAAAGGCTTGAACCGAACCGCGGTAGATGAGTTAAACGTCATAACATTTATCAAAGCAGATCCTCTAGGTATCGTGTCTTTGATTTCCTTCTCTTCGATGCTTTTGCTTTTCGTCTCTTCCTGTCTAAACCACTGCTTGTTCAATCTTTTGTCGGAATTCACAATGCACCTGCATATCTCACTCTTTCTCAGTACCCTTCACTTGGGTCTCGCAGCGAGTGCTTCTTTTTTCCCAGGCGCAGGAAACTCTTTCGGCAGACCCAATCAAAATGCCACCTACGATTACGTTATTGTGGGAGGAGGCACAGCTGGACTTGCAGTCGCCATGAGACTTGCAGAAGATAGCTCTTACACGGTCGCTGTAGTTGAAGCTGGTGGTTTCTATCAGATCGAGAATGACAATCAAAGCGTCGTCCCAGCATACAACCCGGAGTTTGCATCACTTTACGATCCTACAGCAAATCCAACCGTGGACTGGGGATTTGTGACCACTCCCCAACCCGGCGCAAACAATCGATCGCTGCATTACGCTCGTGGAAAAACACTTGGTGGAAGCTCGGCTCTGAACGCAAATATCTACAATCGCGGGACGCGAGGTTCTTATCATCAATGGGCTGAGATTGTTGGAGATGACTCGTATCTGCTTGAAAATTGGCTGCCATACTACGCCAAAGGAACAAATTACACCCCTCCCAACACCGATCTCAGAGCGGCAAATGCCAGCGTACCAACTCCTGTCAATGTATCTTCTCTGTACAGCGGCGGCCCAGTCCATATTTCTTACAGCAATTATGCATTACCATTCACCAGCTGGGTAAAGCTAGCTTTCGAATCTTTTGGATTCCAGAATGTTTCCAGCTTCAGCGACGGCTGGCTTCTAGGAGCTCAGTATGCCCCTTCTGTGTTGAGGCCGGACTCGAATCAGAGAGAGACATCTGAAACATCCTATCTGGAAGCGGCTTTCGCGAGTGGTCGATCGAACTTACAAGTGTACACTCACACGCTTGGATTGCAAATCCTGTTCTCAGAAAACAAGACGGCTGCGGGTGTAAAAGTCAGAACTGGGACCACAGATTATGTTCTGTCGGCAAGAAAAGAGGTCATATCAAGCGCAGGGGCTTTCCAGTCTCCGCAGCTCTTAATGGTGTCTGGAATCGGACCAGCGGACATACTTGCTCAGCACAACATTACCGTCCTTGCGGATCGTCCTGGTGTAGGCCAGAATATGTGGGATCACATCGATATCGAAGTGACCTACAAAGTCGGTGTTGATGGTTTCAATACTCTTGCCAACTTGACTTACGCCGCGCAACAAGCAGACTTGTTCCACAGTGAGCCGGCAAGCTCCATCTATGGTAACTACGGTGCGGATTTCATAGGATGGGAGAAGTTACCGGGGCCGTACAGATCCAATCTTTCTAGCTCCGCTGTGAACGAGCTCGCAGAATTTCCTGCAGACTGGCCTGAGATCGAATACGAGATTGCCTCTGTTGTCATGTCCGGCATTGAAGGAGATTACAATGGCTACGGGACCTTTGTGGTGGTCCCTGTCACGCCCATTTCTCGTGGCAACATAACGCTCCAAACGAGTTCAATGCTCGATCCGCCAATCATTAACCCTAACTGGCTCACTTCTGAAACGGACCAAGAACTCGCTCTTCAAGCTGTGAAGAGGGGAAGAGAAATAATATCTTCTTCTACTATGCAGCCTGTCTTGATTGGTGCCGAATACGCCCCGGGACAGACAGTCCAAACGGATGACGAGATCAATGAATACATCCGCAACAACTTTTTCATGAACTGGCATGCGGCCTGTACATGCAGAATGGGGCAGGAGAATGATACAATGGCAGTGGTAGATTCGAAGGGTAGAGTGATTGGGGTTAATTCATTGAGGGTTATTGATGCATCTGCATTTGCACTTCTGCCTCCTGGACATCCAGTTTCGACAACCTATGGACTGGCGGAGAAACTAAGTGCAGATATTATTGCGGATCGAAGATCTGAGATCTAGAATGAAGAGGATAAATTTAGAAACATAGACTATGATGCCTGTCCAGGCTTCTCCCGTTTTGCACAATTGAGCAGTTTCATTTTAGCCTCCAACTGAGTCTGAACGCTTTAACCAGCCCTACACATGCGCCGACAAAGCTTCTTGAATGATGTTTGTACGTGATACCAAACCGGCAATACCATTTTGAAGCTGTAAAACGGTCATATCGCTGCGGTCAACGCCAAATTCATCAACAAGGCTCCCGAGTAACTCGTCCAAGCATTCTGCAAGCTCTTTACGAGTTTCTGCAAACCCACACATCTCCAGCTCTCGGGACAAATCTTTTAGTCTGTTCTGGACACGAGAATAGACGCCTCTTACGGCAAATAGCTCAGTTCTCACGGTGCGAAAGCTGAACCCGAGATCAACAACACGATTGTTGGCTTCCAAGGCTGAGTTCATCAATGAATTTCCGTTGTCCAATGCCCCTAACGCATCCCGCTTCTCTGCTTCTAGGCGCTTGAGCTTTGTTTGCTGAGTCCCCGCCTTCTGAAGGAATTGATTTTTCCTTGCTCGTTGAGTATCAACATCGTCATCATGCTTACTGTGAACACGATTAAACCCTCTCATATAAGTGGAGGTCAACCGTATACTTACGATGCAACTACACCTGCGACCGTACTGACTCCTATTGCAGTAGTAGCGCTTGCGCCGGCTGCAAAAGCTGCTGCGATCCCAGCCGGAGGAAAGACAATGGTCAATCCTATGGCACCAAGGGCAGCGACGCCTCCTACAACGCTTGTCTTCCTAAGTGTCAATTCAATTCTCTGCGCAGGATTTTCAGGACTTACAGCGATTCCAGCATTGCGAGCTGTTTCGTGGTGAGATTCTTGACGCGTAGCGTTGCTAATGCTTACGTTCAGGTCAGATATCTTGCCTTGCGTTTGCTCATAGCCGATGTTGGCTAAGTGAATCTCATTAGACTTCTTGTTGATTTCAGTCTTGATGCTTTGAATCAGTTCCTCTATGGCGGTTTTACACCGAGCGACCTCAGAAACGGAGAAGCGAGTAATGTCTGCATCTAAGGTTTTGACCTTGTCCAGCTGTTGAGAAAATGAGTTTGCTGTCACTTTCATACGCTCCGCCAACCGATCTGTTTGGCGAATAAGCTCCTCTGTCGAGTCGTCAATAAGTTGTCTTGGGTCAAATGCTTCATCGTGAACCAGGTTGAGAAGATTGGTATCGGATTCGGAGATAGAGTTCACTAAGCCAAGGAAATGCTCCAGGGCGCCATTTAATGACACGGAACAGAGTTGGTCTTGATCGGATTTAATGACTTGGAGTTTATTTTGGAACGAACTTAGCGAGGCTTGGAGTGCATGGGCACCTAAAAGTCTCTGAAGGTCGCTTTTCCCCGAGAACTTAAGTTTCTCGAGGTTGAGAACTTGAGCTGCCATCGTTGCGTGTAGTTTGTTTGAATCTATGCATTCTGTGGGATCCCATGAAAGATATTGCTACCATCCTGTATGGGGTGCGAAGGATTAAGGAGGCGCAACTCTGAGTTTCGCCTAGTCTCGATTGATCACAACTTACAAGGCCCTAGACTTGGCAGCTGAGAACAACAGACATCTTGGCTGCCAACTTTTCTAATGTGGGATAGCTTAATTGGCAGACCGTTCCCAGCCTCTTCGTGTCGCATTGCTTGCAACGGATGCCATCTTCAATCAGTTAATTAGCAAAACTGTTACTCTTTTCCTCACAGAGTTTGGACATCAGTATTGACATATTTCTAAGTCTAAGTTCTGTATGGAGGCTCAGAGAATTCTTGAATCTAGTGATTTCCTTTGGGCATAAACAGCCCAATAGTATTGTTCGTAGCTCTTACTTGAAAAGATATCCCAACTTCCAGCCGAACACCATATTTCTCGTAAGGCGTTTCGCGCGTACTGTACCAAGCCCCGTCGCGTCCAGCCGTGCCAAGTCCTCGAGTATTCCTTATCTGATCTCCCCGCCCGATCAGAGTGGACATCCCGTCTGTGGCGTTTCAGAGGCTTGAGACATCCAGAAACCAAAATCTGTGAGCTTCAATGAGTGGACAGCAGTAGGTGAAAATAGCAAGCCTCAATATACCAAGATATGCATTATAAAAGGGCACTGCGAATGAGAAATGATGATCTATGTGACTCCAACTCACAATGCAGAATCCTTCACCTGCACTAACAGGGCATTTTTGTTAATTCGGGCTCCTCCAATCCACCCCGCTCATCAGGCTTCCAACACACATACGAAGTACGCCCAACATATCTACGTCCGTTCAGCTTCAGGGCGAGGCTGAACCGCTGTCAGGTCTCTGGACACGAACATAAAGGCTTCCGCTGTTCAGTGTCTTCAAAAAGTGCGTATTTGAAAACTTCCGCGCGGTGTTCTTTGATCTGCCAAATTTCTTCATCCTATCGCCGAAAGAATGACTCAAGGTCAACTGGTCTCGGCCTCTCACTCCGCTGAGGAGCTTGTACCATGGCTTCTCAAGTCTCCCAGCATTGTCCAGCAGCTTGGAATCTGCGTCACGATAGCATGCACGCGGGATGTGGCTCAAATCCGCCTAAACACTGATGGTCTGCCGTCATTGTAAGTAAAACATCAAGTATCTACTAGCTCCGAATTATCTGACCACAGACAGGAGAGACGATCTTGCTTCAAATCTCATCCGAATCGCGGACGCAGGTGGAGAAGCATTCGAGGCTGCGTACTCATCCTTGAGCGACATCTCAAGTGTTACCAAGCAGATGAGCAAAGAGAATGGACTGGTAAGTGAAATTCGAGCTGCGACCCAATTTACTGTCTCGCGATCTGATGGGATCTTGCAGCTGGACAAGTTGGAAGATCGCGTCCTGAATCGAAGATCTCAAAGAGACGCTACAGCATGCCAAAATATCATCAACAGAATCGATACATATATTCAGAGAAGCACTGACCATGGGCTTACTACCCAAGAAGACTTTGATAAGTTTGCCAAGTTTGTCAAGCAGGTAAAAGAGGCTCTTTTGAATGCTCAATGTATGTAAGATCTTCCAACTTTTCCTAGGTTCATGAATACATACTAATTGCTAGGAAATAGCACGCGAAAATACGAAGCTGGTCAATACCCAACGCCACATTGAAAACATGGATATGGAGAAGACTCAACAAGAAAAAGTGTTTAGGCAGTCGGAATGGGAAGCAAAAGAAGCAGCAGTGCAGTACAACACAATCTTAGAGAGATACAATGGGCGCGCGAGCTGGCTTGGAAACAGCATGGCTTGTAAGACACAGCCTCATCATCGTCCATGCATCATCTTTCATTACTACACAGTGCACTAATCCGTGTAGGGACCGTCGGAGCCTCCACGGCTGGTGCTGCTGCCCTTGGAGTAGCAGCCACTGTTGCTACCGCTGGGGTGGCCGGAGTTGCAATTCTAGGAGGCCTGATAGCTGGTGCCATCTCCGCAGGCAAACTTGAAGAAGCCTCGAGGGGGTTGAACGTTGTTGAGGATAGGTTGAGCGAGAAGCGCCGCGCGCGAGATGCACTGGAGTTACAGATCGCATCATTTGAAGGAGAACTAAAACTCCTCGAATCTTCGAAAGACAAACTGGTGAATGACCCCTGACAACAAGTTTTGTGAGAGACTTTCACTCCAAATAGACTAACCTACGGGATAGGAACGAGCTACTACAGTAATTGCAAAGGCTTTGAGCCTGCTCACTGATTTAGCGAAAGATATCAGTCAGTTGATGATTCGATTTCGCGATCTGAATCAGGCGATCAGAGAGTTGGTCGACCAATATAGTGAAGGTAAAGAGTTGGCAGGCTACATTCAAGAATCCATTGAAGAAGGAGAGCATCCAGACCTGCGGGATATGAGTGATTTCAGGGAGAAGATTTCAGACATGAGAAAAGTCTCCGTCATCATCAGATGTCTCTCGGATCTCTATGCTACGGTCATCCGAGACGTGGTAATTCCTGGGTTTGGACAAGCCATAGAAATGTCGAATGGCAACATTCTGGACCAAAGTATTGAGCAGGTCATCCGCGACAAGGAGTTGCTAATGAGATCTTACGTCGAAGACTCGGACCTTAAGTGTCGTGCGATGGCACAGAAGTCGTCTGCGATGTTGTCCGAGGAATTGTCCCGAGCTAGACGATTGGAGTCTCGTTCGAATGGAGGCCTTCCAGTTGCACAGTAGATCATACTAGATGGTGTTTGGAGGCCGTTCGCGAGCTTGCACGCTTTGATTTACGTCTGTTGTTACGGTTGTGTTTCATCTCCAATATTTGTTATAGCAATGCACCTGTCTCCAACATTTATAAATTACTCTCGTAACCTAGCAGCGTCTCGCTATACATATGATATTTTATGTCTCTGTTGTCATCGCCAATGGCCACATACTTTCTCCAAACGATTTAGCGTTAAATGTCAATATTTATCCCTTGCTCATGACAGTCTGCAAGAATCCAGGCTTTGTCCATTCGACTTTCTTCGAATAGTTCTGACTCTCCCGTCATTGCAAGTAATTCAAGACGAGTCTCTTGTGACCTAACCAATGCCCCTGCCACAACCGAGAGTGCACAACGGAGAAGTCGATCTCGTACCTCCATCTTAAGTATCTGGTGCTTCGCGCGGTCCCAGGTCGTTTCACGGATAGCAAGTCGCCATGTTGGCGCCCACTGAGCATTTAGTCGACCGAGAGGATGCTCAAACTTGACATCCGCTCGTAGTAGAGCTTTCCTCAAAAGATCTTGTTCATCCTCAGGTACAAACTGGTCGACAAGGTCGAAAAGGGTTTCGTCAGTGTGGTCCCATCGGGTCCAGTTCACCCCAACAATTGTGCGACAGTAAGCACTGTCTGCCAGAAAACGCTTGGCAAACCACATGTGTTCTCCTCCCGGCTTCCAACTGCGGAGGAGGATCTCCAGGGCTTGTGGCGCTTGTTCAGGACAGTTGGCCAGAAGGCGAAGGCTCACACTAGGTGGTCTTGTTGAGAAAAGCATGAGTGACGAATTGATGAGCGGGGGCGTTTCCAGATAGCTGTTTCCTAACGTCGATATCGAAGTGTAGTGTGAACATTGGTGAACAGTGTCCCCAATTGAGTTTCTCCATAGCGTATTGTATACCGGGTTTGATGGGGAAGTTTGAAATGATGTCTCCGGAATTGCAGCTGGATCGTCTGCTGTCCAATTATACAACACGTCTGTCGGTAGTTGAGGAATGGATAAGTCTTTGGATGGAGATTTTTCTTGGCTTGGAGGAATTGAAGCTGGGGAGCCTTTCAGCTGTTCACGGCGCTGGCGTGGATATCCTTTTCGAAGAATGCTTCTTGACTTGTTCTTTCGGAGTTTCCACTCCTCGAGTTTCGTTTTCCAGGCCCGGGTTCTGAAAAGTTATCAGCCTTACGCCTTTTGTCAAGAACATCGACTTTGCCTACGATGCAGTAAAGTCGTGCTTCATACTCATTGCTTCTTGCAACTTCTGGAGCGTAAAGCCTCGCTGCATGTAGAGTTTCTCGATCTCATCTCTATGCAAATCCCAGTTTTGACTCTTCTGCGGCATATCTTCTTGTTTGGGTCATCAAGAGACTGGAATTGAGGAGAATTTCGGAAGACAATATAGAAGCGGTACGATACGCCCTCTGCAACACTGGGCGCAGATCCCACTTGCACTTTTCTGTGGCGTAAGCATCATGTTTGAGACCCCCACAGTGGCTCATGAAATCATTGGGCTAGCAATCCAAAATCCCACGCCCTTACCCCACGCTTCTATGAAAGTGCAATTCCCTACTTGATTCTGAACGACTTCGTCAATGCTGATAAAGTGGGCGTTTCCATGACACCATGATTGAGATTGTTTTTAACCTTGTGAACGCCCAAGCGCAACTCTTGTGACAGCCTCATTTGAAGTGAGGCTGTAACCCTTTTTGGATGGAATTGAGCAACGAAGGGAAGACGACATTATCCGCGTTTCTGTGCGCTAATTTAACAACTTCACATTACATCCACACTATCGTGATGATAGATTAATGCTCTTGTTTTCCCCTACACTTTGCTTGTGTTCGGAAGTTCAGCAGTCGAACTATAAGAGGACGAATCTATTGTATATTTGGCGAAGTCTTCGAGTTTGTGAACCTTTCTCGGCATAATAAATGAGGGTAGACTTTAAACTATGACTATGTTAACAAAGAAAAACACTACCCTATACCTTGAGATCTTCGAGGTCGCCCAGGATTTCAGTCTTCGAAGGCGAATCAACGTCAGCCTCCAGACACTTCCTTACAATGCGAACATACCTTGATCCAACAAATGGAGAGATATTTGCACTTAAATTTAGCAACACCTGTTTGATTTCTGTGGGTGTTTTGTCTTGAAAATGATCTGGGCTTGCCTCAAGCCTCTTCCAACGTCCCAACTCTAGCAGCACGACGCCGAAGCTATAAATATCATGATACCTTTGGTAGTAACGGTCTTCCAGAAGCTCTCCTGGTATACTTTGCCTCTCTGGATGGCGGTAGAGCTCGTTCGTCCAATCATCATATCTTTCCCCAGTGCTAATAGCTGTCTTATGGCGAGCATATTCAAAGCCGACAAGGAAAGCAGATCCTAGTCCTTCGGGGAACTTTTGATGATTTTCTAACCATGAAACAAGCACATTATCACTTCTAATGCTTTTATGAACCCATCCCAGGGAATGAACATATTCTATTGCAGTTGCGACGTCATGTGCTAATCGGAACCGTTCTTCCAAAGGCTGAGAGAGTGTTAGTATGTGTAGAGGACGTTAACTGTGACGACTGACATGAAGTGCTGGTAATCTTTGTCCTACTCGGTTTGTATTCTTTAGGAGATCCAGCAGTGGAATAGTTCCAGAATATGTAGATGGAATGCTGTACGCCAGTCCCCATGGCTTCAGAGCAATACCCGTTTCTAGAAAACCTTGAAGATATGGAATGTGCATAACCTGAGGTTTCGTTTCGCGAAGAACCAAGACCAACTTTCCAACTTCTTGCCTCACCCACGCTGGGGAGTAATTACTTCTGCCATCAGGACTTCGAAGCAGGTCGATGATAACACTTGTCGAATTATCCAATTCGTACCAAATCTTAAAAGACCGGGTTCGGTCGGTAGCGTTATTCTTTCGGAAAGATCCACAACATTCACATCAAGACTTGCTGCACTCAAGTGGGCAACTCTTTGCATTTCCACTTGCCGATTTAGGTTGTCCGTGAGGTCCGTTACTGTCCCGGCTGGCCGCCTGATAGCGAGGTCACTGATTATTGTAGCTTTCGATTTAGAGGAGAGCATAATAAGCCTCGTTCCAAGTCGTTGAGTCCAGTGATGCATGTCGAGTTCTGCCTGCTCCAAGGAGCTCCGAAACAGTGTCCAATTGATCTTTCCCTGAAAGTTTTGCCGCTGAATCTTCTGAAGTTTGGTACCGACCGTCCGCAGCCGTTGATCAATGTGCCCAAAAACTCTGCCCAAGTGGTCGTTGTCGTCTTCAGAGAGGATGAAATTGTCAGATTCGAATGCCCGCGCCAAATCGATCAGCAGATTTGCATCATCTTCAAATTTGATTGCTAGTTCGTTGAAATCGGACTTGAAATTTGCGATCTTAATAATGATGCCGACAATATCCTGGGCCAGAGAGGAACACGACGAAACAGCACCAAGAACTTCGAGGCCGCTGACCATGGCTTCTTTAATTCGTGTTCTTCAAGAGGTCCAGTCTGTAGCTCTCTTTGAAGGGGTTGAGTAGAGCAGAATGGAAGTAAGCTTCACTCGCTTATGAGTGATTCAAAGCTCGAGATAAAAATAGTTCGACTGGATCAGATCTAAAGCGCAACGGATGTCAATGGCCACGTCGCTAACATTGCGCATGATCAGAATACCAGTGGAGAAAAATAATAGACAGCATCAATAGCGTCGCTAGAGAATGCGAAAAGCAAAGCAAAGTTTTCCAGATAGAAGTTATAGTAAGACTGGAGTTGCGAAGGGGCTTGACTTGATTTACAAGGGCATTCGGCATAACTCACCTCCGGCTGCTGCCTTGCGGCCCCTACAGTGTCCCAAAATTCATCGTCCCCATTGGTTTGGCTTGGCGGCTCCCGTCTCTCAATCAATGCTCAGCTGAAACGCCCTTGTTATCTCCACTCCTTCAATTCATTCTCTTCACAACTGAAGTGCACTCTAGTCTTAATGCAATCTTTTATAGTCTTTTGAGCTCAGATAGCCCCACATGTCTGAGGCACTATCATCAAGCGGCTTCGTTCTCGATCACTTCCTCGACTATGGGCATGACGTGGAAAACCTGAGCAACACCACTGGTACCGATGCGACAGAGGCCAGAGCGCATTGAACAACCGCGATGGGTCTCCGCGAGCTATGTTGACCTCATGCTTGAGGTTGGAGGGTCACTTGTGCCAAAAATCAGGTTTGATGATATTCATATGCAAGGCATTTTGGGACGAGGCTATACATGGACCGTTCATCGTGGAATCTGGTGTGATAACGGGAAGAAACGGATTGTTGCTCTAAAGTAGGTCTGATAGAGCACACTAAGAAAGTTCATTCGCTGAGAATCCACTCTGCCAGATTCCTGAACGTCGATATCGACACCGATGACACAAGACATTCGACATGGGCAAGACGCACGAAAGATGCATTTGCAGCTGCAGAGTCCGAGGTTCGCATTCTCTCACACAAGACCATCCGAGCAAATCAGAACATAGTCACTCTTCTTGGGATAAGTTTTCAAGTTCATTCGATAGGCTCTGTTGGTGAACTACTTGCATTGCCTGTTCTGGTGGAAGAGATTGCTTTCCTAACTACGGAAGGTAACCCAGCTACTTTAAATGAAGACCTTACGACGAACCCAATCGGTGCGAACCCTCCTTTGAAGGTCCTATTCCTTCTTGATATCGCCAGAGGTCTACTCGACCTTCATCAACTAAACATCGTCCATGCAGACCTCAAGCCTTCCAATATTCTGCTTTTCCCCCACACTGATGGCAGAGCAGTGGCAAAGATCTCAGACTTTGGTTTCTGTCAATCAGTCGACGAAGAAGACCCAGCTCAGGGAAGCACACCATACTGGGCTGCTCCAGAATGTCTCCCAGAAGCGGGTGAAGATATGAAGCAATGGAGATCCTCCACTTATCGAGACTTGTTCTCATTTGGGCTCCTGATATGGTTTGTCTTGTTCGAGGAAGGGCCGTTCGGGGATGAGGAGCGCTTCGACTATGCGACAATGGTACAAGAGAAGTTCAAAGACTCAATGAAAGATAAGATTGACAGGCAGCTACCGCTAAGCTACAGGTTTTTCTCCCAGGATCCTGACCTACCAGAGGGGAGCTGGTTGCCTAAACGAAATTTTAAGATTATGACAGAGGGTTCTCAGCAGGAAGTTGAGCTGGAATTGAAGTCACTAAATGACCACATCCTGAATGGTTCAATAGAGGAGCAATTCCGGAGCTCAAGGAAGAACTGGAATGGAGTCGTGAGTTTTGCAGACGGACTTGCTAGCTTCCAGCTTATGTATTTCTTCTTGTCTTTCTTCCTTGTCAAGGACCCGCCATTGAGAGTAGGCTTGAACTTTTTTGTCGAAATGGCGTATTCGAAGTAAGCAGTTCTTTTCCATCGAGTCAAATACCGTGACTAACAATAACTTTCCATGGCCTCAGACTATTCCACAAAATTGCCATGGCCAACTTCATTGGCTTGCCCACATACGATCACCTCTGGCAAACTTTATTCAACCCCACAAAGCGTAGGCTTGTGATCGATATAAACGACAGTGTATTCCTTGAGGGCAACTATCTTCATTTGATAACCAAACTTTGCGTGGTCAGGCTCAATCGAGATCACAATATCAATAAGTATGAAAAGTTCCGGCACGGATTGACAAAAGACTGACAGATCAATAGGCTATCACAAGAGCACAAATTGTCAATGAGCACTCATTTTCCCAGGCCGGTTCTGTTCGTGAGTTAATAGCATGATAATTTCATATGCAAAAACAGTACTAATATATTTCAGAGTGTCGAAAATTTCCAAAACGTACCTCCGTGCGTGCCTAGCAAGATTTTTGAGTCCTTAATTGCGAAGGCATATTCAAGTCCCGAGAAAGAACTAGGAAACGTTTTCTTGCAAGTTGGAGCATGCTACTGGTTCGGCTTTGGCACAGCAAAATCCAAGTCCGACGCACTCCACTGGTTACCCAAGTCAGCCAACGCAGGAAAAATTCACGCCCAGCGAATGATCTTGACATTCTTCGCTCCAAACCAGCTTCCGCAAGACGTACAATACGTCAAACTCGTGGAATGGATTTGGCGAAATGTCTCACCTGCAGAAATTGTCTCAGAAGAAAGTTTCGAGGATCAGACTATAGACCTGAAGAAGGGTTTAGAAGACGTCAGGACCTATATTCTAGAAGTTGCAGATTTATCAGTGTTCAATGCTTTGCACGTGGAATATAAGAGCTTAATTGAGCAAGACCAGCACTTCGCATGGAGAGAACCTGAATATGAAGCCACCCTCAAAAGCAGCTTGGCACTCGTTGCAATCTCCAGTGGTGGTGCGAGTCTATGGGAACAGGTGGATGCTGCCATCCGCAGCGAAGATCTCTCATCACTTCGAGACTTGATTTCTCGCTTCCCTCAACTCCTTACACAAGAAAGCAAGAGGGGCTCGATTTTACACTATGCTGTGTTACTTTCTCGTCAGACGGTAGCACGAATGCTAGTCTTAGAACACCATATGGACCCCAGCCATTGCGACGCCTTAGGGTTGTCTGCAGTAGCTCTCGCAATTTGTTGTCAGCAAGATAGCACTTCAAATTTGGGTGATTTTGTTATATAAGCAAGGGCAAGACTATCCGATCTCAATTTTCCGATTCTTCTTCTCCTAAGTATCTACACCAGAGCTGGCAGGGAAATTATGAGCTGGATTGGAATGATGGCATCCATACTCCCAGTCCGGGAAGCCATACAACGCGGTAGTATAGGGGAACCCCAGGAAGCGGACGCGCAATTCCTGCCCATCAAAGAGGCAATTGGTTCACGCTTTCTCGATGCGGCAATGGTTTGGGCAATTTGGGCGAATAACCAACATGCGCTTTACTGGCTCGTTGGAAATGGGGCCAACATCAATAAGCGATTCAAAGACATTCACTTCCTGGCACCCCTACACTGCGCTGCTGAGCGGATGAAGCCTGTCTTGGTATCAATTCTGCTCGCAGGTGGAGCATTCCCCAATATTACTGCAAGTATTGCACGTACCCCACTTCATCTTGCATGTTCATCATATCAAGCACCAAGAGCAGAATATGGAATATGTTCAGCAGATACCGTGGGGGGTCTTTGCACACTTCACGATCCTCCTCATTTTGACTCAACGTGGGGATTGCAGGTTCTTGGCGATGATAATACTCCACAAGAACGGACGTCTTGTCAAAGTCTCGTCGTACAGCTGCTCCTCCATTACGGGGCCACTATCGATGCCCGCGATTCAAACGGAAGAACACGACTAGCTTACAGCATTGGTACACGAGCATATCATATCTCAGAGGCGCTGCTCACCAGGAAACCACCTGCAGATATCAACAGCAGGAATGACCTCGGCCTAACGCCACTCGGCGAAGCGTGCGAGCTGTGGGAGTGCCCAGAGAGGGCTCAATTTTGCCTGAAATGGGGAGCTGATGTCCATCTCAAGGATAAACTTGGACGAACACCCCTCTTCATTGCTGCTGAGTCGGGGAACATTGAGCTTTGCCGCATTCTCATCGCCGCCGGAGCAGATATTGGCGCCGTCAACGTTCAAAATGATCATTGCCTTCAAGCCAGTCTCCTTTCGCAGAAATGGGATTGCGCTTCACACTTACTAAGCGTTGTAGAACACTACCTGCCCGATGGAGTCGCAGACCTTCTCAGCTCTTGTAGTTATGAGGGACTGAACTGTCTGGGCTGTTGCATTTTTCTTCGATCCGTGATCCCTCGAGATCTGTCGGTGAGATTTCTGGAATTCTATGCTGCGGTTAATTTACTCGATGCAGCTAATGCATCGGGATACACACCTCTTCATCTTGCAGTTTCATTTCAATCCGCTGAGTGGGTGAGGGTGTTGCTCGAGCTTGGCGCAGATCCCAGGATCTCAGATACAATATACGGCTGGACATCCACATTTCTGGCAACATTTCAGCCTTTGAGATCAAGTTTGAAAACGCTAAAACTGATCATGGAGAGCGGGAAGTATACTGAAGACCCCGAAGACCTCATGGGTTGGAGCGCCGGCTCGATGACCTTTTGGCTTCAATCAACGTTGTATCTCGAAGGGATGGATCCGATATATTACGAGACTGCTGATCGAATGAGATCGCACACCATCCCTCGAGCAGTCGCGGCATGGCGGAGGGAATCCGAAAGAAGGAAAGTTCATTACCGGAAAGAAAGCTTTCCGGACTTGGTTGAAAGACTACTTGAGCAAAAGGGGTTTCTGCGTTGGAAGATCGGTACTCCCGCAATTCAACATCCCCCCTTCGACATTTTTACCGACCCTGATAATAATTACCTACGAGATAGTGTCAGTGTTGATGATGAGAATATCAGCGATCGCTCAAGACATGACGCCCGAGTTGTCCTGTGGGGATGGAAGGCGTAATCAGATAACCCGCCTGGAAAGATTGTTTGGATATATGATGCAAATGGTCGCTTTAGGAAGACAACTTTTGTCCACCTTTTGCCCAGACGGCATTGGAGGGTGTGGGTTACGAATGATGCAGGAGAATTTCAGATAGAATCCTCCCAGTAGCAAGGATTGGTTTGGATAGCACGATAGACATGGGTTCAGAACACGACCAGGACAGGCCCACTTTCAATGGAATGTCTGTGATGTTGTACGCTGTAATCCTCAGGCGCAAGACTCATTTGGCTTTCGGATCCACCTTGGCCAGTTGCTATCTGAAATTCTCCGAAATGCTCCCAGAGAAATAGAAGCGTTGTTGAAATCCAGAGTTGTGGGCGAATGCTGTAGAATAAGGGGCAGGTTCGTCAAGCTCCAGCCTCGTCAAGCCTCGAGCCTTGTGGGGTTTGTTTCTTCTCAATCGCTCGCGTTGTTGGGATATTTTCGGTGCATGATACAGATAATCGGACGAAACGCAGGCGAGATGGAATATTCATTGGCGGAACAAGAACAGTTTCTTCCACGGGGAGTAGACATGACTGCATTTGAGAGTCAGTAGCGTTGCAAAGCAATTGCAAGGAGAAAGTCATCTGCAAATCGACGCGGCTAACATGGCGGTGCAAAGATCACCCCAGCCTATTACGTTCCTCGGCAGCATGATTTTCTTAGTCTGCGACAGGCGGAAACTGGGCAGTGGCTTCTTGACTCGGCGGAATTCTAGACGTGGCTGGATACCAACAAACACATTCTGTTTCGTCCAGGAGTTCCTGGAGCGGGGAAGGTAATCCTTACATGCATTGTAGTAGACTATCTTTGCAAGATATTCCAATCTAATACGACAATTTGAATTGCTTCCCTCTAATGTAACTTCCGGCAACAAGAGGAGTAGAAGGTAGACGACCTGTGAGATACGGTCTGGAACTCTAGCTGAAGTGAGCCATAATCTTCATGACTTTCAAGTTTCAAACTAAGCAAAACTTCCAAGGACATCCTGCAAATTCAATACACCTCCTTTGACATATGCTTTGCGTATTTGTGAGCCTTCATCTGGGATGAAGTCGACCATAATCGTGCAGTAAAGGGGCGAGAAAATCAATTGCATTTACATGCCACCGTTTCCGTGGTAAGCCATCCAAGCAGTACACCAAAGTATACTCGCAAGACGAGCGCTAACAGCGCGATCTCAACAGCAAGCTGACCAGCCCTGGTCTGAATCATCTTCCTCTTCCTCATCCTTATCCTTATCCTTATCCTTATCCTTATCCTTATCCTCATCCGAACTAGATCGTGCTTGCAATTGATCCCACTGCTCATCCGTAAGTTCTCCTGGCCTTTCTGCTTCATGATGACGCCTCTTCGCCCAGCACATCAGGTACTCGGGAGCACAGCCGCTGTAGCCACAATCAACATCAATCTTCAGGAATGCATACTCATTCTCATCCAACGTGTGAACGAGTTTGAGCGAGACAGCATCGTTGTCCAAGGAAGATTCTTTGTACATCTCATCCTTCATCCAGTGGTATTCGAAACTTGAGAGCGTCTTCTGGTCATGGCCAACGTTGCAACCTAAAAGTATGAAATGATTAGTCACTTCTTTTTCAATTTAGAAGAGAATATACTGTATTTTCCTCTCCAGTCTCCATAACTGAAATACACCTTGTACTCGGTTTCGCTGCCTCCATCTGGTACGGAAGCCGATTCCTCGGCTGGGTGTGGTCCTGAAATCCACTTGAACTTCACATAATCACCTTCGTATTGTCGACGTGCATGGGCAACTGAAGCGGAGTAAACGATATCATAAGTTATGACATCCTCATCGTTCGTATCCATGCTGGACTGGGAGAAAGTCTCGTCAGGATCGCGAGAGTCGTCTGTCCCAGCACTTCCATCGGATCCATTTGGGGACATGACGGCTTCGAAAGAGTGTAAATCGTGATATGGGGTCACTGTGGTCAGTAAGAGGGCTTATATAAGATTGGAGCCATAGAATACGATGTACACTTTTCTATGAATGACTCAAAAGCGTTTGGAAACGTGCAAGAGTTAGTAGGCATTTTGATTGTCAGGCGCTTCCGGTTGAAAGAAGCCTTAGAAAGGACTTCCTGCAGCTGGGAGGCCGTATGCAAGAATAGAGTCTCCCTTGTTTACATCATTCGAATTTAGTTCTTCGTTGTTGAGCTCATGAAGCAACAAAAGCTTTCTGATAGCCAGAAGGCTCTTATCTTATGCCTTCAAGATTGAAAAGGTCATGTTAAAGAATAAATTGCGCTTCGCCATTGTACAAGAAGTATCAAAGTGGAACTGACTTAGCGTGAATAGATGCAATAAACAATATGTCTTGAGATAAAAAGCCATCTTGTTTTTGACAAAGCAGCCAATCATCCGCTTGCTTAGAAGGGCTTTAGTTTACTGCGGCTTTTGATGAAGAAGAAGTCTTTGTCACCAGGGTTTAGGAATTTTTTGCAAGGAATGATTGCTTTAGAAACAACAATAAATTAATTAGAAAGTATAGTGCCAAGTCCGGTACAGTATACTGTCTCTTAGCCTTTCCTCCATCTACAGCGAAGACATTAATCATGAACCTTTTACGCATTCAAAACGAGCACTTCGCCAGATTACTCTCGAAAGTAGAGTCGATAAAGGGAACAATTGCACTTCCAAAATCCGTATCAGCCAATGCCGTCTGAGCCACTGTTGGTAGACTCTCCCACGCAATCAATGGCTGCTGACCTCCCACAGTAGTTGTCAGGCCACAAGAGTGGTCCAAAGGCCAATAGCTCTGGTACTTGATCAAAGGTCCAGTTCCAGAGAGCGAAAATTCGTCAGTTGTGCAGTCCCAGCCACCATGTGCTGAGGGGCAGACGGCAACGATATTGTCGGCTGTGGTAGAAGATTCACTAGTCAGCCATACAATGACTCCTTCCCAGTCGTGGCGGTGGCCGATGCCATCTGATGGTTCGTCTTTTGGCATGTACCCTGAGCTCTTGTCAGTGGCTACTTGGCGGAAAAAAAGTGGGGGACAAACAAGAATACAAGATGGCGAAGTAATCACCGTATGCCTCCCCGCGGCTGTATATCTGACCCGTACTGCTACTGCAATCTCCATCAGAAGCACCGGTCGGTTTTAAACCACCACTGGGCAATATTAGTGTGTAAAAAAAGGAGGAGAATTAAGAGCTTACCTAGTATTTCCTTCAGCATTAACAGCAGGGAAAGGCACGCATCCGTTAACGATATAAAGGTATGGTTGGTAAGCTTCATAGGCCGTGCCGAGAGTATCGTCTGGAACAGTCTCCGCAAATCCAACAACGGCATCCGAGTCGATGACAGAGCGGCGCGCGATTTCTGGTCGTGTTTCTGTGTTGCGTTCGACAAGAGTCATCGAACTAGGGAGAGCATTGCATACTACAGCAGCAGCCAAAGCACCAGCAATTATTCTTGAAATGACAGCCATGATGATGAAGATTCGCAACGACGAACATCGGCAGCAATAATGGCTTCCAACATGTTTATACCCATCTTTCGGTAAGAACTCCCCTGATCAAACATGGATCTAGCTTATCGCATTTAATCACGGAGATGAAAATCGATGATTTGCATGCCCCGCAATTCCTATTCAGGAATAACTCCGTCATGACAATTTTTATGATGGCAAGTGATGGCAATTGCCAAAGTCTGTGACGACTCGGGTACCTGCATGAATAGATGCAAGAGAAGCATACTTGCTTTCTAGAAGCCTTTGATGGCCATTCGCATGATCACGTTTTCATATGGAAGCATCACCTTTGGGTTTCAGATCGGAGGACCAGGAATGGTCAGGGCTCCGAGTCTATTCTTCGAGCGAACGCTGGCCAAGGCTTTCCCAGCTTTAAAGCATTAAAACGTGATGCTGTGGTGATCTTTGAATCGTGTTGACATGCATGCTGTGGGGAAGGGCGATGCGTATGACCTAACCTATACCAAGCGTGATATAATGCAGGGGGTCCGAATCGGGAACTAATGCCGGGCAGCTCTGCGGTTCGGCTCGATGTCTCGAGAACTAATAGCCCTTCATTTCTTCTTCTTGTCATTGCTTGATTCTTCAATGACTATGTTGGTTTTTTTTTATTGAAGAGCTTTTGGGTTGAATGCAATGTCCAGGGTAGCTGTTTTTGCTATTACTGAGAAGTGAGTTTGAATTTAAAGGCGATGTAGACACTACCGGAACGAGGTCTTCCCATGCAATCAATCTCGTCCCTTACTCTCAAAGGTTCGCCGAATGCATCTATACTCAGCCCGATGCGACTTGAGACTGATGTTCAACGCTGACCGTGATCTCATTTGAATCAAGTCGCACGCCAGTCTCTGCTTTTGAGGTACACTGTGCCCCAATCTGTCCAATTTGCTCATCCAATTTATTGACAGAATACTCGAAATCAGAGCGATGTCTTTCATGCGACAGGATGCCCCCCTCACCACCGCCCGTTGTAGCTACCTCCTCCATTCTCGAAATAGACTGTGAGAATGGAGTTCGCTTCCGTACAGACACAATCAAAGGGCGAAGTGAGGGGAGACAAGCAGCAATGAGGTAGGCGCCTGTTTCCACAACAGCCCAGACCATTAGTGGAGCTGCGTCCCAAGAGAAGTCATTTGCTTCATTTTGGTTGAAGAATCCAACAAAGCGAAGAATTGCACCAATAAGGCCGCTAAAAGCGCAATCAGTAATGTTTGAGGTGAGGGATATCTGGGTGCGCTTACACACTGGCTGTAGCAAATGTTATAGCTATTCCAACTTGCAAGGTCCTAGAACCGTGGAGTGACCACACTACCGGTAATGGGAGCAGGAGCATGGCGACGTCTGTGAGGATGCCAGCGATTGTCCAGGTCGCCATACGTTGAAGGTCGTCAAGGAAGATCCGGAGGTAGAGCGCTATGATTGCAAGTTTGGGAAACAAGACGGCGGCAAAGTATACTGGAGGAAGAATGAGTTGGAACTTGGTAAGCAGCAGAATTTGTTGAGGATCGAGAGCGGCCATATGGTGTCCAACACCAGTATGCTTGAGCGATACTAGAGAAAGTTAATCTTGTTTCTGAGTAGGAGACACTCTGTGGCAGTCAAGATTGCTTACCAATAACAACGGCACAAATCGAAAGGCAAAGTATACAAGCTGGAATCATGAGATAATCATCCGCACCCCATTTAATGTGGCCTTGATAACGAGTCCAGTATCGTAGAGCAGTAAACAAGATCTCCAATGTTATGAACGTAACTGCTATCACCATTGGCGCTGTGCCTCGATACTCCGTCAAGTACTCTGGACTGAATTCTTCGGCCGAAAGATCCACCATGGCTATACAATTGTTGGAGCCACTCCCCGGGTAAAGAGCTAGTTAAAGGTTGAGGTTGGCAGAATTGTTCAATAAGAGGGTTTGTAGGATACAATAGATTTGATTTCAAGGCGAGGCTCATAGCAATGCGACGTGATAAGGACGTACACAAAGAGGCATAAAATGATGATACCGCATCTACCAATAGAAATGGTGCCGACATGCATCAACAGTGTCACTGCATCATTTTTGGGGCCAAAATTTTGTTGTTCCCCGAGTTTAGGCAGGTGCATCGAACAGTTGTTTTATGATTGAGCAGATATTTAGGATAAATTGTGCACATCAGCAGCTTACTGCAGAAGGCTGTGGTGTCAATGGCACTCTACCATTCTTGTCAAGAGCGCTCTCTCTGGCTCCGCCAATAGCGGTTTAGCCGTGGTCCCTTGCACATCTTTTGATGTTGCTGCCGGGGACACCTGCAGTGTCGCACTGCATTTGCTGACAGACGGCCACCAAAACCTCCCACAGCGTGTATGCTTGACGTTTTGAAATCGTTGGAGCCTCCAGTGAATTAATATTCTACCCACGAAATTCGTCTGTATCAATGACATCCGAGTCTCCACTCAGATGCCACGTGATGATTTTAGAAAGCACGTGTTTGCCAACGAGTCCCATCCTCCAGAATACATTTCAAAAGAATCGCACCGAGAAGTAACATCAAAATTTTGTTCGCTAGTCCATACTTCTGTTCGGAGGGTCGTCGCTGACACAGGGTTACTATTCTTGGAAACACACAACAGTTGAGAAAGGGGCTCGCTTAGGACATTTGACTCCTTTTAGCACAGTTTGGGGACAGGAAATCCCATGTCATCAACCGAGATCAAATCATTACTTCTACAACGACCCGAGTATCAAAGAACATATGGCCTTCTGTGAGCGGATTTCATTACCAAAACCAGATCCGATTACTTCCAAGATCAAATACCGCAACTCTTAGGATTTTCTCGAAGCTAGGAGTCCGCAATGTGGAGTTGAGACTCAAACTCCACTCCACTCCACTCAACATAATCTGGAAACCAATCGAATCCCAAACAGTAAAGGTATACAGAATTCTTCGCGCAGAGTATATAGACCGTTGTATACAAGACCTCTGGTTCCATGTCTTTAGGGATATTCAACATCTTGTGGACTTACTTTCTATTTTCTTCGTTCAACAGGAAGAGAACATCATCCCTGCCAGATCCATGTGTTGTCGTACTCAACCGTAAACTGCGAATGGCCAAGAGGGTGAAGTATGAGGGGTTGGGATAGTTGATGAGTAAGACATGGGTTAGTTTTGTGAATACTTATGATCCTAATAACCATGGTGGTAAGTGAGTATTGAACTTTGTCATGGAAAGACGACGCCAATATTTGTTGGTAGTTGCGGACTGCACAACCCACTGGGCCTGCTTACACTATTGACGAGCCAACATATACGGTGTTTGACGGTAATACAACGTCGTTTGTGGAGACGGATAATTGGCGTGTTGATGCTATGCAAATCTTTATTGATTATGCTTTGGACTTCTGGAGATGATGGGTGGAAGTGTGAAACGCTGGATTGGTGACAGGAGATCTGCCCACTGACTTGACTTCTTGATGCTGTCTTTTGTGAATGGATAAAGAATATACATATAATGTTTAAGTGTGTAAACAAGATTCAAGACACTGTCTTGAAGTTGTGATTTATCAGTACCACCTCTATCTGCACTTAGAAGTGAATGCTCGAACAATAATATACACGGTTCTCGAACAAAAAGATGTTGTTGACAACAGTGCAACCCAAGACAGCAACAACTTTTTGCCGTAAGTATAATAATTTACAGCAATAATCTTACTATAAGTATCTCCGGTCAACCATATCGCTACAGCTTGAAACCGGTGTAGAAATGACAACATCCTCCGCTGCAGCCTCCTAGGGCTAGCCTGAGACATTTTCGAGAGAGAGCTCATAAACTGTTTAGTGGGGAAAACAGAACGGAGGCGCTGAGGTCTTTATATAGCCCACTCAACACTACAGATTCTATTGTGTTGAGAATGTTAAAAAAAATGAACCAAGAAACAAGGAGTTTCGCCATTGAATTAAATAGTGAAGTGACTTGAGAAGAACAAAGGGCGATTTGAAGTCGTACGTGTGACTCAGCGCAACCAGATACAGCTCAGAGTGATGGGTATATAAACACTATCTCGCTCTACCGTTCGAAATCTTCATTCAACTTATCTTCTGCATAAGAAGGTACCATAAGAGTCCGAAGGCCGTCCGTACAGTATAGGAAGGAACCTCAGTACAAGCGACAAAGAAAGGTTTCTGTTGGATTTTTGAAAAGTCAAATCTTTCCCATGTTCTGGAAGAACTCGAAAGTTAGAATTCAAGATGACCAAAGAAAGCAGAGGTTTCAATAATCAAATTCTTGACAACAGCATTACCCCCCTGTACAATTCCTCAAAGTGGTCATGAAAACAAAACTGAAGAAAATCAAGAACCTACTGACCCAAGCGTAAGAATTCTCTTTAGTGAGCCGGATGCCCAACTAGACAGCTGGTACAGCACAGCGACGATGAAGATGCAGGTCTCTTGGGTTAACTACAGAGTCCGTGGTATTGAAGAGAAAGCTTTCTTATATAGATCTCTAGATCAGCAAATCCCTACCTGGCGGGTTTGAAAAGTGGATGAGACCATCGAAAAGTCCTTTGTGAGGCTGAGCAGTGAATTGAACTGAAACACGCCACAAGAAAGCTCGAAACCTAAAGAACTCTATGAGCTATTAGGTAAGAAAGGTATATAACGCCCATCTCCCCTCTTCTTTCTGTTCTCCTTCTATCACGGTCAACTACATAGACGAGATAAACCCGGCTACGACGGTGTGTAAGCCATCTTCTTCGAAGCTGGGTCGACGTCCAACCCGGAAGTCCGTCATTTCCCACGCAAAACTCCTGTGATTTGCTTAGAACTTTCCACTGTGAATCCCCAACTTCTTATTAGACGAAAACAAATGACCTTTCATTGTCAATACTCTGCTGGGTTATTAACAGCAGAAATCCAATCACCAACAACAAATGAACCCACCACCGCTACCCCACACACCAAAACTGCATCTGAATAATCCACACTCTCCGGGAAACATCACCCGGTCCCCTCAAAGACTGTGCACCCGGTCAGACAGTTCTCCTCTGAGCTATGGGCGATGGTCTAGCATACAGAACACAGAACAAAATTTCGCAGCAAAAAGGCGGCGCTTTATACCTGATTCGGTTAAACTCCGGGTGTTTAGCTGGATAATTGCGGGGCTAAGGCTTGACTGTATGGTTCGAGGAGGAGGGGTGAATGTGTTTTGCGTGGAAAAGAGGGGGTTCGAGGGTTGTTAGAAGCGGTGAATCTGGGAAATCGGGAAATGGCAGAGAGTTTGGGAGGAGGATGGGGTATATAAACTCCTACATCCTCTATTCGTTTTAATTTTGGTCAACAAAAATACGGAACTCCATGATTACAATTCATCATTGGGAAGTGTGGATCTAGCCCGGCGTTAGACTTGACTATTAGAAGTAGAACGAATTGATTGGCAGAAAACGCGTCAGCGCTGCAAGACTGTAAGAATAGCAAGTAACAAATTAACTTGACTCCAGATCTGTAATCGTAAATTGACAAAAAGATTACACTTGACAGTGAACACTTTGTCAGAAGAAGAAGTGGCTTTCCTCTGAAGTTTGATATTCCGCTTGGGGATCCAATTCCTTGTAGCTTCACTAGAGGAAAGCTTCGCAATTATTCATGGCATCCAAAAGTACTCACGTTGATCCATACATTAGCTCCTAGACCAATGTTCATCTACTTGAAAGATATTCTGGTGGCTAAGGATCAAGGATAACTTGCTGAGCACTTTTAAAGTTTAGAAATATCTGTGTCGAGTCCTACATTCACTTTCTGATCTGGCGTGAAAGAGTGAACTTAGAAGCATATACTGGGAACTTGACAGCAGGAGTGATCTTGATAACAAAATTATTACGCAAAGAAATTCCTAACTCTGAGATTTCTCTAGTCAAGAATGCTCCGCTCGGGGACCAACATTCTCGCTTCTAGTCTCGAGATTGCCTGTTCCATATGCTCTAAGGCTCAAAAGCTCCCACGTCGACTTCGATATTCTCGTGGCCAATTACCGGGTCATCTTTCCAGTAAGCTCTGCCCTCTAAAAGCCCCAACATCAACTTCGACATCCACACCTTGATCCAGCACAACAAAATGACAGACCTTGACGGCATCCAAAGCTCTATAATATTTATACAAATCTACACCACTCTAAGTACTCGGCTCCAACATCCCCGGCCTCGCCAACCCAATCTCCGGACACCACCTCTCAATCTCCCTCAACCCCTCCTTCCCAATATTCTTATGCACCTTATGATACCCCAGCGGCTCCTTCTCCACACTCGTATGCCAATCATGCTGGCACGCAAACGCCACCGCCTCCCTAAAACTAGGCAACTTCGCCCCCCTCAAATCCATCTTCCGACTAAACCACACATCTTCACCTCCCATCGTCCATTTCCCGCTCCTCGTCTCCTCCTCCCAGTTATTCTCCGGGTTGGACAAGATATCAAGTATCATGGATCGATTACGCAGCGACAGACCGCCGTTGTAGAGATGCTCTGACCCATGCAGAGGAGCAGCGATCCAATCCCATCCTTCGTCGACGTATTGGTCGACAGTTTTATGTGCGTTTCCGCACAGCACGGCGTCGGCTTGGAAGATCAGCACATGTGTCGCGGGCGCTAATTGTTCCCACAGCCACGACCGCGAGAGGTAGAGGTTCACGCCATTGCGGGAGGTGAGGTTGAATTCGTCTGGTATGTAGCGGATTTGGATTCGTTTCTCCGCGATGGCGAGGGCGAAGGGCGCGGAGAGGGAGGAGGGCAGCGTCGTGGGCGTGGTGTAGAAGATGATGGGCCAGCTGGGACCGAGGATCGAGTGGTAGTGCAGGATGAGGGGGATGAGGTTCGTGGTGTATTTCGTGTCGGATATTACTGCTACTTTGTTTCTTATCAGGCCGTATGTGTTGGCAGAGGATGTGGTGTCGGGAAGGATGTTGGTTTTCTGTTGGAGAGGTATTTAGCCTCTATCGTCGTGTCCATGGAACTGGGAATCGAGGACTGGGATGCTTACCTCCTCCGCTAGAACATTTCTAGGGTTTAAGGATATTAGGAACCAGGTCGCGATGCAAAATGCGAGAGTGAGGGTTCCGATGCGCCATATTGGTCGTGATTTTATCGATGCCAAGAGGCGCTCCATTGCTGGAGTTGAAGCATTGAAGCAGAAACGAATGCCAAGGCGACGCCAGACATTCCGCTGGGAAATGCCGCGGCCCCGTTTCCTAGGGCCGGGCGGGATCGTTTTAGAGGCGAGATTCAGGGGCTCGGCTGCCCGAGTTTAGTGGTGCAGGTTCCCGAAAAGCTAGCCTGGACAGTAACACAAAGACTATCACATATCGCAAAGGAGAAAGAAATAATGGCTTTACCAAAACATCGATACGATAGATCGTGCTCCTTCAGCTCTTCATATGATTGCTTGGGATCAGGTTGAGAAACTTACTAGCTGTGTAGTGATACAGAAATAGAGGTAATTATTTGGTTGTTCTTGGGCCAGGACTGTAATGGAGTCTTACAAATAATAGCATCTGCCATATACTTGGGAGACTTGTAATTGGAAGCTGTCTAGAATCCACGTTTTTGTCAAGCAGACCTAGTCGTGATAAATCCTTTGATGGGTACATGCATTGCGCGTTTGCTGTGTGTGCTTTTCACTCTCCTTCTTCAATTTTCCTCTTCTTACTTTGCTTTGTCTCCCATAAAAAATCCTATCTCTTATGTTGTGAAATCCTCAAATTTATGTTCGTCAAAATTATCCGTTACATCCTCGGGTCTCGCATCCCACTGCAGTATGTCGACTGAACCTCGTTTATACAGCTTTCACAACCACATCAACTCCCACACCACAGCAACTCCTCAAATTTTACCTCTCTGTCAACCCCATCTATACGACTCGCAAAGGGATCTCAATATCCCACTTTCACGATTATCTTCAAATGCACCTCGGAGAAATTTACCATCAGCAAAGCCACAACCTCCCGGCCCTCCTCCACCCACATACCCCGAACTTCAGACTCTCCCACCAACTTCAACACCAGTCGCCATTAGAATATCCCACATGCCAATCATCCGGCCACTTCAATTGCGAAAGACCGAATTCTAAAAGGTCTAGGAAAGGGCAAATCGAATCTAGAATCCGCTCTCGGTCAAGCCCGAGGAAATCCTCCAGCTTCCAGTCCCTGCTACCGCTGCGCGAGAGCATTCAAATCCAAAGGCCCATTCACGACATGTATCGTTGTCTCTGGGGAGTTTGCTGGTGCGTGTTGTAATTGTAGATATAATGGCGATGGGTCGGGGTGTGAACTTCACCGTACGTATGCTGAAGCTTCTTGGCACTTGGGAAGACCTGACGCGAAATTGGACAGGCATGTACTCTGACCCTACTGCTCCGAAGAAACCGAGGAATTCTTCGGTGATGCCGAGGCCTCCTCCACCCTTGAAATGTACTGTTCGCAGCAAGATGGTGCTTCGGCAGCTGGATAGGGCTAGGAAGATGGTGGGGAGACGTGGAAGTGAGACGTCGGTGGAAAGTAGGTGTGATTGAGTTGGATGTATCGGAGTTTGTCCACAAAGTTGATGTCCTTGCAATAGTCACCAAACAAGATGTATTTCCTCTGAACAAGTTTCAAAAAATGTCATTGTTCTTACTTCTATTCATCCGAGTCCGAAGCATGACCAGGGATACAATGAAATGTACCAGGAGCTCTACCATCGCTGTCCAAAACCGTGGCAATGAAATCCCCATCATCCTCGCTAAGACCAGAACTCTCGCTATCACTATCTCCAGGAGCGCGGAAGAAACGTCCAGAATTAGCAGTCGGCTGCTCAAACTTACGACCAGCAAAATCGTAGTACCACCGTCTCGTCGCCAACTCGTTGTCTTGTCCATTCGTCAAGAGCCCGAGATTGATCTGAGGAAGACTTGAATCCGGCTGTTGGTTTCTCGAATCCTCTACCACTAACTCAATAGCTCCGAGAGCATCGACCATCTTGATGTGGAGGAACCAATCCCCATGCTGTGGCGAGGGATCGACGATCTCGTCTTTGCCGACAAATTGATCATCACGGCCATCAATGACTATCCATAACTTCCTGAGAGCAGGGAAATGCATACACACCGTGTGAAGATTGCGAAGTGGACCCTGTCGAGCACTTGGAAGACTGAAAGTGTCCAGCGAAGGGCAAACAATTGTTTGTCCGCTGGCATCTCGCCCTTTGAAGACGGTAAGATGAAGGGCTAGATTTGTGACATTGGATGTCCAGCTTGAAGCGTTGCTCACAACGGTATCGTGTGTGAGGTCGAATTGAAAGAGGGGATCACATTGATAGCAAGCTCGGTACACCGTATCTCTTTCAAAATCGATGTAGAGAATTGCGCCGTTCTGCTGGCAGATATTGGTAGGTTTATATGATTGTAGCATCAAGCGTCGCGCTTCGTGGTTGACTTGTAGTAAAGGTAGAGAGAATGAAGATGTGCTGGCCCAATGCCAAGGACCGTCGATTGTTCGATTCTTTTGGTTGAGTGATTCTCCTTTGGAGTTGATGAGTTTGAGATCAATTATTCGGGGTTCTGGGAAAGAGCGATTCCTGTGCGTCGGGTTTAGCCGCAGCTCCAGTACTTCTGCGCGAAGGTGGAGTAATTATAAAAGAAGTTTACGTACCATATGTTCAATCGAATCTCTACTGGAAAGAGTGGAAACAGAGCAAAATGATCTAGACAAGAGTCCATAATAGTGAGTCTCGCAGATATACCAGTATATCTTTTGGATTGCGTTTTTTTTGGGGCGCTGACAACGAGAATGCGACGTCCCTCTCGGACTTTATAAAACACTTTCCCACAACAACGGTGAGTCAGGCGAATCAACGTTGGATCGTGCAGTGCAGGGGTCAAGTTGGATGTGGGGGATGTTAGCGAGGAGGATGCGATTGTTGGCATGAGAAATCAGATTATCACCCATCATTCAGGTAACGAACGGTAGTACGAAATAATAAGTAAAGGAGGCCCTCAAGGTTTTCCCCACATGGCTACTGGAGAAGAAATTCCAACTCCACATCGCCGAACGACCTATCCCATCTCGTACTCCGAAACACATCCAGCATCATCCAGGTAAGTAAGCTCTCTTCTCAAGTTTGTGCTCCAAATGCTTCAACAGCTCCACCCCTCTCCCACTGATCATCTCAAAAACGTCTTTCGCCCACTCCATCTCTTTCATACAGCCACTCTCACATAGCGCCTCAATCGCAACTTTCAACGGGAAGACAGCCGCCGCGGCCGCAACTGTGCCTTGTTTCGACGACATACAATATTCTAGCGACTGGCAAATGTTCTTTGCTGGCTGCGTAAGATCTGCTCGATGTTCGAGAGGCGGTAGACGAGCGAAAAGCGAGAGGTCGAGGTCGATTGCAGAGAGGGCGGGACTTGCGGGATCGGGCGAGGCGTGGCCGGAGTGGTCAGAGTCGGGAGAGGCAATTGGCATGAAGGAGGAGATTGTAGTTGAGCCTTGAAGCTGGGCTTCAGTTTGCATGGCCGTGAGGAGCTCGTAGATCTTCGCCATGCCGGACCACAGGATGGATGTTAGTGCCCAGTAGAGCATGCAAGTGTGCGCCGTGGTTAAATTCGGGAATTGGAAGGCGACTGGAAAAATCGAAATTTGGGTTTGTTCTTTGGGGCTATTGTTGCCGAAGCCTTTAGAGAGAGTTGACCAGTATAGTGGTCCGTCGGCTTGGGCTTCGAAGCGTGCGTGGAAGGCACTGAGTCGAGCATCGAGGACCCAAGACTTTTCTAGGGTTTCTAGTAACACCATAACGAACTTCTCTGGAGACTCGCTTGGAGGATTTGCATATACATTTGCAATTCCTGCTGCTACTTCACTTTCGACGTCTAGCAGTTGTTGTGTGATCGGTTTAGGTCGTGATTTCCAAGGCTTCTCCCTCCACTCGGCAGATGCGAGGAAAGTATCCCGTTTCATGACGATCGCTTGTTGGATCTGGTAAAAGATATCAGCTCATTTCTTTTGTGTAATTAAAGGAAGCTCGCCGAGCTCACCTCAAGCTGTCTGAAAGTCATGAAAAGTTTGTGCCCAAATTCTTCATTGAATGAATCAGGTCCTCGCGTCTCAAAGAGCTTCGAGCAACCCGCCATATGTCCCTGCCATGCTCCAATTGTCTTATCCGGACACTCAGTGACCTCGTACATAATGAGAAGCATGCAAGCTGCTAAGGTCTCATCTCTGTACATGAGGTCATCGCTCCAGAGTGCTTTCTGGAGCTCCCATAGTGCTTGGACATAAAACTTCAAGCTTTCTTGAGTCAAAGTTGGAGATGAGTTGATGTGCCCAAGATGAGCAGTGCAGACGGCGAGAGAAGATGCTTCGAGTGCAGCAGTGAAATGGGGATGCGAAGGTAGCATATAGAGCCAATTTGCGGTGGACCCATTTGGAAGATAGGAGTATAGGAATTCGGAAATAATTTGCTCGCGGTAAAGGGCTCTAGCCGTAGGACTTTGGAGGGTCCAGAGGGATATATATGCGTTCTTGAGAGATATCGTGCCTTGGAGATCTGGTGGCTTTCGTTCTGCTTGTTTATTGGGTATAGGCACGTGCTTCTGGGGCGGTGTTGGGGCGCAGACTTTTGGAGGGGTAGCTTGAGCATCCTTCTGCGTTCTGGCATCCAAGATAAATATTCTTTCACGTTGATATCCTCCGCACTCTCGGTTCGATTTGGTGCAGACTTTGCAGATTGGTCTCTCGAGGCTACACTTTCCATCAAAGAATTAGGAAGAAGCAGGAAATCTTGAGATTTGAGAACAACTTACAGCGACTTTGCGTTGCTTGCATGTCTTGCACGCTTTGGACCGTCCTGGTACACCAACCATGGTTCCAGCTCAGGAACATGCTTCGCCTTCAGATGCAAGATGGTCACTCGTCCAGAATATCTGGCCCAAGGGATAACTCGAAGTTCTCCGATTATTCATGTAGACATGAAAAATCGGTTGAAAAATCGTCAATTGGCGAAATGCGATGAAATTATTTTGAAGCTCGAAGTGGGATGGGAAGGGCCGCGATTTAAATCTTGTCGATCAGGCTGCACGAGCTTGAAATCCCTGTCTCTCGGGAGCGCCACAAATTCTAGCGAGCGTCCAGGGAAGCAGCATCCCAGTCAGCTCTGAGAAGGCTCGACATGTGCGCTAAGGTACGAAAGCTCCAAAGGGTTGTGATATCGTGGGTTGAAGTCAGTCACTGTCTGCCTTATAATCGCAGAGATTAGTGAAGTGACCCATTTTGGACAGAGGGCCAGAGATTGCACTCAACGTGGCCACAGTGTCACCGACCTGATGATGAAATTTCTGCTTCTCTGGAACTGTCGTAGATGTGGCCAGCATCGAGACTACAAGCTCTTAATTGACCCTGGTATATCGACCTCCGCTCGCTATAACTCCTTGGGTACCATCCGATTCTCGTTGCGGTGATACTAGATGCTTTCTCCAAAGAGCAAATGCAACGGAAGAGATGAGCCAAATAATTTTCTCAAGCCTAGCACCACATGCTGTGATCCTCGTACCATACTTTTGTATTTATCAACAGGAACCATGATGAGGATTTGAAGAGGTAGACGAGGCGAAGGAGTGAGAATCCCAGAAGCGGGTTTGATCGAGTAGAATTGAGCATGATTGCAAAGACAATACTTGTCGAGGGTTGATGAGTTAGAAATAGCAGACTTAAACGTAATCCGCGACTATGCGGTTCAACCCTCTTATGGCAACCTGAAGTACCAGGTGAAGCTCTCCTTTCACAGCCGGCCATTCGGACACGGAGCAATAAGAAAAGTCTTCGAAATACATTTCTCCTTTGGGTACTGAAGTGACGAGGATGTAACGTGAAACACCAGAATCACACACAGACATGAAATTCGCATTCGATAAGAAATGACCGTCGAAATGCTTGTTGTGGCGTCCACAGAATAGAGGGGCTGAATGCAGGTCTTGGCACTAAGCCTAATCTGGCTCCATTCTGCGAGAATTCCCACAGCTTTCCTCCGGCTGACAACATCAAACAACAACGATATCGCGGGAGGAAAACAGGAAAACGATGGAGGATTAAAGTCAAAAACTCGAGTAAACTAATGCTCGTGCCGTGGAACCCCCGATAAGAGCTCTCAATGCATCCACATACTAGAAGTGCATGCTATGTGAAGGCTTGTTGGCAATCAGCGGTAGGATGAAGTAATCGGAGATACAATCAGAGAAAGAGTTTAGTGGATTACGTCTCGATCTAGAAGTATGAGAAGATGCTGGATTTGAGATAATAAATAACATTGGTGGCGGTGGTGGTTGGAAAGAATACAAAGCTGGAGAAGGATACTTCGTAGAAAGCTATCTGTTATATACACACACCTAGCTTTTACGCTAATGGGACACTCTCCCACCTCACCACCGACATCAATCGCGACTTCGATATCTGTGAGAATGACAGACAATGGGCATGTTCAATGCTGCTTCCCAGCTCTCGAAGATCAATGTCCGGACTCAATTACCTAGGGAAAAAACGTCGAATCTCGAAAACTCCTCCAATCGCTCTCGCATTCAATCGTACCATCACTTCGAAAAAGAACTTATTTGCAATACCTGCACAGTCATAAGTATCTGCCATCGCTGATCCAAAGCTATCCGAAGCAGCAAACTCGTCTGCGATCAGTTTCAGACAGCAGCCCTTCTCGCAGCCTACGATGGAGTACACGTAGCTACCCGACGACATATAAAAATACTGACGTGGTTAAGGACGAGGAGCGCGATGTTACTGAGACCACAACTGAGATCGACAAGAACATTGAAGCCACCTCTGAATCTGCACATGCGAGAGAGAATACCAGCTACATTTCCAAGGCTAGAATCGAGAACGACCAGAACGCCAATGCCACCACCGAGGCTGCAGATGTGGGAGAGAATACCAGGAACACTCGGGGTGTGATCGAGGACAGCCAGGACATTGATGTCACCACAAAGTCCGCAAATGACGGAGAAGATACTGCGGACGCTTCCAATGCTACAAATGAGGCAGATTCAATTATCAGAGTCCTTAATCGGAATGATATTCAACCAGCTAGAGAGCATCATATAATACAATCAAGGGACAAGAGAACACGATTTATGTTCCAGGTCAGGAAACGCGTTCTTTGCTCTCCGAAGCAGGACTGATAATTAACAGGAGGCCCTCCATTACGGTCTCCTCCTGAACTCCCCTTCGATATTTCTGAGGAAGAGCATCCACTGAAGCCGTCTGCGACCCACAAACATATTACGATGTCTCACTTGTTCGGGTCTTTGCTCGTCATGCAACCTGGATATTCTCTTGAACCGATTGCACTTGTAACGACTGTACTGGCGCTACTTAAGATTGAAGCTTATTTGCGAACTGGACGAAGAATGAATCGTCCAATATTTGCTACCATCGAAAGAGGAACCCTGTTTCTTAGACTGACTCGAAATGCTTCTGACTTCACCGCAAAAGAACCCTCAAAGACTTCCCACAACCTCCTGAGATCATTTGCAAGCAACACAACCAAAAGTCGCCTTCCTTTGCAAGACGCTGGGAGCTATCGTCGCATTTCTGAATATGAGCTTGGAGGTATGAAATGTCTCATCAGCGATCCTGGAGCTATTTGTCGGCCAAACACCAGCAGGCAATCAGACAATACACCTGAAATGATGACCTCCGTCGACGCGGCCCAAGATATCCTTGGGGCAGATGGTTGCAAAGTGATTCGAGGAGGATTTGTCGTTCCCCGAGAATCCATTATAAACGTTGCATTGACAAGCGGAAAGTTCTACTCAAGCATCCGATCATGGAAAGGACAGTTCTTCTTTGCCCAAAGCGGCCCAATAATCGTGGGTCGGCATCAGAATACGACCATTCTCAACCTACGTGAATTCAACAGCACCGATAAGAGAACGAACATGGATCAGCACTGGCTCAGACAAATGATGACCTTGCTGGACGAGATAAGGGAAGCTGCAAAAAGTTCAGGAAATAAGAAATGCAAGATCTTCTTTGGAGCAAAAGGCGATCGAGATCACATCTGCATTGCTCATGACACCAAGGAAGATGTGTTCCTCACCGAAGAAATCAAAGCAAGATTTTGGCCGGTGGACACGACTGCCGAGTCGATTTCAGGCTCAGGCGGCGAGCAAATAGTAAATTTGACAGAGACTTCATGATTACCAGGCAATACAGTACAGCACCCACTCTTTCATTTGATGAGGCTGATTTTACAGCACAGGAGGCTCCAGCCTTTCAGCCCAGTGTGCGTTTCTCTTCAATCTCTACGTCGCATGTTTAGCACGCAATATCACTACTCGGTCTTCTGTCAGTAGAATATTCTTATCCCCGGGACAAAAACTCAAATTGCGTCAATATTGAATTCTAATTCGAGTATATTGGACTTTTCCTACGTGAACTTGATTCTATCTGATTTGCCTTGCATGGTATCACGATGAGACCCCAAGTACTTACTCGCGAATCGAGAAAAAGAGCTCACCTCTCACGATTCGCTTCTCGGGCATGGCTCTTTGCTTGATATATGGTTAGTATGAGCCCTGTATTTGTGCGCTAGGACTTCATATATTCTAGCACGTACGTGTGGAATTGGCTGACATTATTGAGAGTATTGAAATTCACCTCTGTCCATTCGTGTTCAGAGTTATGCCTCAAATCACTTTGACATCTTCAGTCGCGTAGAGATTATTACTTACCGAATTTAAAGCTGGTATGCGTGTTCATGTTGCATGTATAACAAGCATTCTCATCCTTCCTCTCTTCGTGGCTAAGTCACTCATTGGGCTCGATTACTTTCCCATTGTCTTCATTTTAACTTTTCTTACTGCGAACTGCTCAGATTTTCTCAATGCTCAACGCCTTAACTCCAGCTCCCTAGGCAAACTCAAACCTACAAGGTGTCTTCCTTCCTTCACATGCCAAACACTTCCTTCAGCCTTAGCTCGGACACCTAGAACGTGGCAAGGTCCAAGTGTGCCCCCACACAACTATCCGAGTCACGTTACTTTGTTTCAATGACCGTTTCAATGGATTATGCCCCCACTTGCTCATTCGGAATTGTCAGATATTGTTTGCCGTAAAGTCAAAACGTATTTTTACTGATGCACACTCGTCTGAAGAGATTCTCTCGAGATATCTAAAATTTTCAGAAACTGAAGCATTGTGACTAAATAGTCAATCCCCCCAAGTTGCTCCCAGCTCAAGAGGAACCTCAAAGGCTTCACGAGTCCTCATCAGGCAGCTTCTGCTCTTATACGTAAAGTGTTGATATGAGTGCGCACGGAAATCCTTCAACTACGTGGAACAGATATATAGTTGAGCGGAGGCTCCCGCTCCCGCCCCGCAGGCGAGTTTAAGCTGACACCACCCATTTACCGAGACCTAAACAACTGCTTCTTCCATATCTTATTCGGATTTCATATGCCTATCTTTCGTGTAATCAAGTGCTAAGTAATGCAGTGTTGGTACTGTTTTCCTTTGTACGCGTCACCAAAATAAATCCAGATCTTGCCCCGGAAGCGGAAAAAGGAAAGCATTTTGTTGCTTCATTTCATCCGATCTTTGGCTGCCGAAGAATTCTTTAGTCTGGAAGCTTATTCTCAGCCGCTTTGAGCATGCTGCATGAACGCCTCCTCGGAACGACCGCTTTACCACTTCCGGTCAGACCGTGGATAAGCAGATCTCCAATTACATTGGCTGGCGATCGTTTTGTTTCTCGGAGGTTCAACGAACCATTGCATTACGGACCTCGCACGGACAAAGGCTTGCTCATCATCTAGATCCACTGATCTGTGCAAGATGTGGATCTTCTACATGCTTGTTCACCTATCCCAGAATCTTTGTTTCCTGTTTGGGCACTTGAAAATGGTTCATGTTTCGTGGCTTCAACGTTATCTCGTATAAGCTTTGTACCATGGCATCGATCTTCTTGGCAGTATTCTTAGTATACTCTTCAGACCTGTCAGCCAAGAAAGAGACTGGATTCTTCGTATATTATTATCAGATCTCTCAAGATGTCATCGAAAATGGTGAATAACCGTGAAGAAAGACCTGGAGGCGGGCCTGTGGTCAACAAGATGTACGTCTCATATAACCACATTCTTCACACCAACTAACACTCACTAGGCACTCAGCATCCTCGTCAGTGACGAGCTTCAAATCCTTACTGAAAAAGGAGAAGCACAAATCCACTTCCTCAAGACAAGATATCGAGTCCCAGCCCAAACTCAAACTCTTCGAAAGTCCCCTCGCCCACGAACGACGAGTCTCCCCATCCCCGTCCCCCAAACGACCAGTCTTCATCGACATCTCCGGCCCAACCGACCTCGCCGTCCGCTCCGCAACCAAAGAACGCAGCGAATCCATGCCCAACATCTACGATGAACGCTTCATATCCGAAAAAGGCCGTCTAGACGATACTCACATGCGCGAAACCCCCGAGTTCAAACGCTACGAGGAAGCTACCAACATCGAACTCTTTTAGACCTTTTCTTCGTCGCAAACCTCACCACTTTTACTGATGTGCACGACATCAACGAAGTTGCTGCCTTGAAAGCATACGCGGGCTTCTTCTGCATCCTCTGGTTCTTGTGGGCCCAAGTGGCGCTCTTCGACGTGCGTTTCGTTCAAGACTCGATCCTCGAGAGAGTCGGGAAAGCATGTCAATTCGGAGTGATGGTCGGGTTAGCGATCGTGGGGCCAGATTTCAATCCAGAGAAACAGGAACAAGATGTTTTTCGAAGCTTGGCAATTATCTTGATGCTTTCGAGAGTGGTGCTTAGATTTCAGTACTCTGTTGTGCTGCATCAGGTTTGGTATTATAAGGATACCAAGACGCCGCTGTTCTTGCTTGTGGCGGCGAATTTTGTGGCTGCTTTTGTTTATCTCGGGACTTTCTTGTGAGTTTGTAGCCTGTATTTGAAGGCCGATGTGCTGATCAAAGTAGTGGATTCAAACCAGACACTCCACACAGTAATGTATTTGTTGTGTGGTATGTTACAGCGGTGCTGGAGACGATAGTCAATATTGCTGTGTCGTCGAGATGGGAGGTTCTTACATTCGCTGGGACACATTTGATCAAGAGAATGAGTTTGCTTACGTTGATTATCTGTGAGTCGTGTCACCTTTGTGTCGTGGAAAGACGCTGACATCTAGCAGTGGGAGAAGGAATCATTGCTCTGTCAAAGAGCATTGCAACGGTAAGCTCAATCTTCTTGGGACATTGGACATCCCGCTGACCCCACCAGATCACGGAGCAAGAAGATGGCCTATCCTCAACACTTCTGCTCACAATCATCAGCGCAGTTACAATTATTGTATTTCTTCCCTCCCACTGCCCGCCACTTTCCATTAACATATCCAGTACTTTATCTACATGATTTACTTTGACTGGCTGAACAGCAGCCACTTTGGTTCCTTCCGTGAAGATCTCTGGGCATTCCTTCACTTCCCATTTCATCTCGCTCTCGTTCTCTTGATGGAAGGAGCTGCGCAATTCATTCTTTGGAGGAAAGTCGTTGAGGTTGTGGCGTATGTTTTCTCCTCCCTCTCGGTGTAGTATTTGACGTGATGAATGCTGATGTACGCCGAACAGACAAGTCAACAACCTCTTCCTAGCCTCAGAATCAACGTTCCCGTCGACCTCTACCTCCTCGCCGCTTCTATCTTCTCGTAAGTCTTCCTCTCCCTCGCCCTTAAACCCACCAACTAACGCAATGTGCAGTACTCTCAAACACAACAACACAAGTCTTCACCACCTTCGCACCTTCCTCCCCTTCAACCTTCACACAAGCCCAATCTGCCCTCTCCTTAATTGCCAACTCAACCTTCAACTCCAGTGCCCAACTGGACGCCATCGGCACCCTCTTCGCCGTCATCTCCGACTCGCTATTTGATAATTTCAGCATTGATCCCCCAGAAAGTGGCATGATGAGCGGAACCGAAGATCCAAATGAAGTTTGGAGCAAAAATATGGGAGCCTTTAGGCTCGTTGTACGTCCCTTCTTTTTTCTCCCAGGGAACTGGCTAATAAAGAGGAACAGTTCATCTATTTCTTCCTATCCTCAGGCCTAACACTCCTACTTCTCAACGCACTTCAGACCATTTCCCGTCCTCAACCTGCCGAACCTGCTGTCAAACCAACAGGCATGCAAACCATCAGAAGATTCGCAACACCAACAACCATCTTGACGTTCTTGATTGCTATTGGTCAGCTCGCGGTTGCGAGTATCGTTAATACGGCGAATGGAATCGAGTTCGCGCAGAGCGTGTGGATATTGCCTAGTGTGGGGATCGCGTTTGTGGGGTTGGGGGCTTTGGGGTATGTTGGGTTTTAGGGTTTGTTGCTGTGTTGTTGAGTGAGGTGAGGGGCGGGTTGGATAAGATAGAATAATGGGAGAGGAGATGGAGCGGAGGAACGAAATCATGAATGATGAAAATCACGATCTTTACATAATGTCTTAGATAGACTACTACAGGGTAGAATAGAGTACATATACTTAATGAAGTCGCTCTTTACTTCTCATCCTAGTAAGTGTGTGACACAAGAATCGTCCCAAGCAGCCCCCAACTCAATGTACCAAACATCCAGCACGCACCATGTTCGTTCCTATTTCCCCACATTCCTTCTGTGCGATTTTCAACGGCAAAGGTCGTCTGAATTATTACTCCTCTAGTTTTCTTTATTGTGCAGACTTTGGACGTGCATGGAATCCAAGTGAAGAATCCAAGTGAGTGAGTGAATGAATCCATATCCCCCTTCGCTTGAAGCAATGACTGCACTTCCTCCACTAATTTCACCACTTTCCCTCCGCCGTGACTCTCGCCCTGCTCCGCAGCAAATTCTCCGCCTATAAATGCCTCCGTGCGGACATCGGGACCGAAGCAGCCCGAACAAGAACGATTCAAGAAGATTCAGACGCCGTGTGTGGTGCCAGGTGAGACGATCTGGATAATCTTGCAAACAGGCATTGGGATCTTTGGTTCGGGCTCCATGGTATGGCCTTTGTTTGGTTGTGGCAGGGTATTCGTTGGCAGTAAAAGAATATAAGTTGACAGTGAGAATCTCGCTCAAATAGAAGAATCAGATTCACATTGGATGAATACAGCAGAGTGTGCGAAGTACATCCATCACATTGATCTACTGATCTATGTAGCTTACTAGAATGCGAGCAAGCAATGCATGATGCTATCCGCCAGATCTCGATCCTTGCAACCTTTCCTTTCCCACCAGGAACCATCATGAAACACCTTCTCACAATAAAATCATGAGTCAACTACGCAATCCCACATCGTTCCACCTAACATACAGACCTGTCATCATAGAGTAGTGCCCTCAGACTGTGTACAGGAACGTAACCGACTTGTCGCCCAGCTCCTCTTCTTGAGCCTTCAGCATCTCTGGTGTGAAGTTGCCAAGCATCATCAGTCTAGAACGTCGGCAATTCTCGCGACGAAACCACCAGGTCATGAACAAAGTCATGACCAAGGATGTTGAGATGAGAGCGATGAGGATTGAGTGTCCGCGGATGAAACTGTCGTTGATTGTTAGCATCTGGGTGCTTTTGATGGGAGGAAAGTCAAGATATAAGACGTACCGTGGCTCGTCCTTTGAGAGGTATATGAATCCAGAGATTGCTCCTCCAAGATTGCCAAAGGCAACTTGCATTCCAATGCCCACAGCGCGCTTTGTACTTCCGGCAAGGTTGTTGGAGTTCCATGCACCGATCAAAGGAACATTTGGGTATATGCCTGGGATGGATTAGTGGTCCGTCTACAGTGATATGAATAGGGGAACATACCTGCTGCCGCAAAGAAAGTCCCAGCGTACTGAACATTAGGCTTGCTACTGGCTGCTAGCATAATAAAACCCACGATTGCGCATACCTCAAAGCCCAACAGGAATACTCCTCGCTGGCGAGATTTATCCGCGACATAACTTCCGATGATTGTGCAGACGAAAGCAACCATATAGACGGGAACTGTCATCAGTTGTGATTTATTGGATGAATAGCCGAGATTCTTCAGGATGGTAGGAAGAAAGAGGGAGATGGAGTAGACCGCAGTGAACAATCCAATCGTAAGGACCATGTTCGCGTAGATCTTCCAGTCAGTCAGGGCTTGCTTAACGTATCTCCAGTCGAAATCATCAGAGAAGGACGTGTCAGCTGTAAGTCTGCGTTTGACCTCAACTCTCTCCTCTTCGGTGAGGAACTTGGCTCTGCGCGGGTTAGTCAAGCCAAAGAAGAATTAGGGAGGAAACTTACTTGTCAGGGTAATCGCTAATAGCAAGTGGGCAGAAGAGAGCCACCAAGAACGTAAGCAGACCTTCAATGATGAAGATCCAAGACCAAGCACCTAGTCCTCCCTTACCATCCAGTAAAGCAATGGCGCGAGCTAGGAATCCGCCAAAGGCACCAGCAACAGTGGCGGCGGAGAAGAAGATTGCCATTCGCAGTCCAGTCTCATGTCGAGGATACCACATGGTGATGTAGAAAGTTACGCCTGGAAACAAACCACCCTCAGACAAGCCTAAGAAGACACGACAAGCCAGAAGACCAGCGTAGTTCTTGACAAGCCCTTGACAGGTCATGATGATACCCCACGTAACCATGATGAGCAAGAACCAGTAGCGCGGGGAAGCTCTCTTGAGCATTAGATTGCTTGGGATCTCGGACATAACATAGAACGGGAAGAATATCGACAGGGCAACATTGTAGTCGAGCCCACCCATGTGAAGATCGACTTCCATATTGTCCAGACGCGCATTGCCAATATTGGTCCGGTCTAAGAAGCATAGCCTATAGTAATCAAATCAGTCACCTAATGTAGACTGAATCGTCGGGTAGGTTGAATCGTCGGGTAGATTAAATTGTTGGTAGAAAGAATGGTTGGGATGGTTGGGTAGAATGAATCGTCGGGTAACTTACATGTAAATGAGGCAGAGGAAAGGAAGGAGGCGCCAGTCGAGCTTGCGTAGAAGGCGATGAGTGGCTTCTTGACCATAATGAGAGACTGCAGGACCAACGCTTCCTTCGGATGAAGCAGCAACAGTCTCCTTGCTGGCCTCAATGTCTTTCAGGTTAATGTTAGCCATGCCAGGAGATCGGGTCAAGCCTCGGGTAGGTGGGATGCCAAGAGAAGTTGCCTCTGACTTATTGTCGGATCTGGCTTTGCTAGATGAGTTCGATAAAGTCGGCGAGATCTCGTCGTCGTCCCAGTGCCGCATGATGGAGGAAGTAAACGAAACGTGAGAATTTATAGGTTGTGTTCTGTGATAGCGCCGAGTCGATGAACACGCTGTGTGAAGCGTGAGTCAAGACGAAGTGAGGGTAGACAGAAGACAAGTGATTGGTAATTTGTGCTGTGAGTGTGTGGACACGAAAGAGGAGGGTGAAGAAAAGAGCTTGGTAGCTCGTCGAGCTAGTGTTGTTTTGGACGTGGGTGTGAACCAAGGCCAAGACTTTCTTACTCTCGGGGAACGAATACAAAAACTTGGTACAATAATTGAAGCATGAACGACGCAAGCAAACATTTAACATCTCAACACTCACTCGCACTTCTTTACTCCGTTCTTTTATCATCACCTCAGTTTGCTCTCAACACCATAGAGATGCCGGTACGCGATATAGTCACACCAAAACGGATCTTACTTCATCTCTACCATATTGATCATCCGTCCTGCAGCAGCACAACGCTCATGTCGTGACCTCAGACCCGCACGTGATATGCAGGTCCTCAACGTCCTCCGAACACGCTGATCTGCTTACTGACAGGCCAGGATAGATCTGCCAGGAACGGTCTGCCAGGTACTATGGAAGACCGCCACTCAGCCTTCGAAGCCGCGGACACTGTACGGGTATGCCAGATTATCCAGATCGTGGAACCTGGTCAGCTACGATGCAGCGGGTACCCGACAGTGACACCTGAAGTAGAAGCTGGCAAACCTATTGCGGAAGATAGAAGCGCAAAGAGTCGCATGGCGAAGTATGGAGAGATGCAAAGTACTGTAAGCTATCCTATATGAGAAGCTATTTGCATCCTACTGGTGGCATAGCTGACGACAACTCCGAGACTTACAGATATTCTCCTTTTCTCCAACGATCGTGTACAATAGATGACAGCTCACAGGATCAGCTATCAATGTGCCTGTTTCAGCTTACAATAGTATGATGCTCTCCATGCATTCTCCCGCATCATGGTGCTCCTTGAGAGCTTCGACTCGTTCCCAACCATCAAACAAATTCGATGAAGAATACTCCGAACGTTGCATCAACGAGGACAATAGCATGAAGGAGTACACCGAAAGTCGTACTCATCTATACCCAACGGCGACGTGCGTATAGTATAACATCAAAGAGGATCAGATGGGTCTTTAGGAGGAATCGGTTGTCCAACATCGATTCAGCAGGTGAAGAAGTACTCCCGAGACATTTTGACTGCCTCGCGTGGGTGCCTTTTATTTGAGGCCGCGAGATCGCGTCGACGTCTCTCGAATCGCGTTCATGCTTCCATTTGGAAACACAAGAACACCCAAGTCATCATGGCGTTACCTCTGCAGCCAGGATTAACGCCCATGGAGGTCGCCTTTCTTTGTGAAATGGAAATGGTAACGGTCATACCACGGCAACGGTTAGAAAGCCTCAATCTCCTGGGGGTGAGTCTGGACCCCGCCGACCCCTCCTACAGCCCCTACGCATCATATCCATCGTCCCAATTCTGATCGCAAGACTGACATTGCCTCCCAGGGGCCGACTCCCGCCCTTCGCCCGCCTCATCGTGCTCCCATACCACTTTGGCTCGCACTCCTCCTCAAACGACAGCGTCGTGCAAATATTCTGCCCCCACCATGGCTTCTTCCCTCGTCACTTGATTCTATACTGAAATACGAGACCGATATCTCGCCACAGACTTTCTCGCCTCCGCCTCCACATCCATACCCAATATCCGCACAGCCTGCTGCAACAGACTATACCTCTCCACCATTCCTCCCTTCATCAACCGCAGACTCTCCTCCAGACTACCTGCCGTACCACTGGCTCGAGCTTGGCGAAATTCTCCTCGAGGCATGTCCAGATGATATACCAGACCCAGACCGGGTCCGTACATTACTTCGAGACCTCCGCGAAGTGCGGATGGCCAAGATGCGGGCCAGTATCAAAGACCTAGAGGGTGGAGGAGTGAGTAGCCTGCGTGGTGTTGGTGCCATGGAGGTCGCAGAGGGTAGACAGTTCATAGTTGGTGTTATGGATGAGTTGAGAAAGTTGGGATTGAGTAGGGAGATTGCGAGAAGAGAGAGGGAAGAAGATGAAGGTGGTGGTGCTGGCGGGGAAGATGAGGATGAGGATATGGGATTTGAATGATTGATGATTGCATGTATGCATGAAATGATGGCAGCTTTGGCGTTGGGAGGTGCATCGGGAAGATTATACCATGGCATTATGAGAGTTTGCACATATGGATCAAAGTGCAGAAGTGTATGTTCGATTTTCAGATTTACCAATGTTCTTTCATTCATGAATCTTCACACTCATTGCCTACCAAAGCGTTTCAGACACGGTCGAGTTCTTTGTGGACGTATGTGGCACCCTTGCTGTTCGGGGCATTGGCGCCATCAGGAATCTTGACGTGGTTCTCGATAGCTACTGCGCGGCTCTCAGCGTTAACGCAGAAAGCTGAGGGTTGTTGATGGCCACGTCTCAAGGTCTCGATTGATGGTCGTTTTCGTCTGATGCGGTCGGATCGGCCGACCGCATCAGACGAATTGGTGGTCACTGTTAAATTCACCAGCTTTCTCTCACGTCCTGCTAAAGTGCTTCAGTTACGGACGAAACGGCGGACATCATTCAATTCACCGTCCCATCTGCAGACTGAAGCACTGCAAATCTCGGCTCAAGCTGCCTATATAAACACTCTTCTCTCCTCTGAGTCCTCTCCAACTTTCTCATCATCTCCTGCAACTGGACTTGCCTGTTCGCAAGTCGCTTGTGACATTCTCGTCCGGTTCCAGAGTCCACGCTTAGTTTGGTGTACTTGCGATTGCGATTACATAGTATAATAGTTGAGCTTGCTGTCAATTTGCGTCTTGTTGTCAAGTCTTGTTACCGTTTCTGATATGTAGCAGTCGTCTCACATTGTTTGCACTTGTTTTCTGGTAAAAGGCTTTTAATCTATTGCCACTGATTATGAAGAGAACACTGCGTCTTACGTTGCCTGGCCGCACACCGTGTTTATTCGCACTTGAATTTCGGTCGTGAGGAACGAAATCCTAGGGGAAGTCAGCAGTTTATAGTTCTCAAGCTGTCGCTTGCAAGCTTATTCACCTCTATGTTATATCTAGTCCGGTGTGCAGACTAGGGTAGTCTTCTCTGCTCATTTTAAGTGAATCTCGCCATGAGCTTCACTGGAAGTACCTCTTCTTAGGTATAAATACCCCCAACCACAATCCTGTTCCATAATCCGATCGGGACCCGTCAATCTTCCTTGTGATTGTTTCTCACGGATCAAGGGATGCTGCAGGATATCATGTCTGTAGGTTGCAGCAAAAGAGCGATTAGTTTTCTTGAAGGTGAACTCGTAATTCATGTATTGAGCCTGGATTGGGTTTTAAGTCTACCTGTTGTCACGTGTCAGGTTGTTGTCATTCCGAGTTCTTCGATTACCATCGTCGAACCTGCTCTACATATATATGTCTTGGTTGCTGCTCAAGGCATTCAGCTCAACCTCTGATCATTTCAAAGGAGAGCCTAGGCATAAGTTCATACGCCCCTGTTGAAGACGAACTCATCGACCATAACTCTTGAATATCAAGAGAATATCAAGAGACAATTGGTTCACCCCGTTGTCACTGCTCAGCACAAGTGGGATGCGGTCTTAGAATGGTATGGGAATTAGCTACATGAGTCTATCATATCCCATGGTTTAAGCAAGTGTTGTGGTGTTGACGGAGATCGAGTGATGAACTGAAGATGAGTGTCTTTGATTTTCACATTTTGCAGTCTTTTATTTCTGATAATTGCAGGCTGCGACTTGACCTGTTGAGACTGCTGAGATCTTATCTATTGGGTCAATCTTTCTGAAGAGCAGAATATCCGTTGTCGGGAGGAACCTCCTCTTCAAAGCCAGGTAAGAGACGAGGCCAGTCATTCGGGAAGTCGTGAATAATTCTGCTTGAAACCGTTGTAGGATTCAAGGCTCAAGCTGTTCCGAAGACAGAGAATTGATGACTGCTACAAGATCGAGTTTCTTCAAAGAACTACATCACCACTCGAGACAGATCTTGTCAAGAATTGCTACCGTTCCAGACATGCTGGAGTACTGAGTCTCAACCGACGACTCTTACATCGGCAAGCTCCATACATGCAACCAAAGCTCAGAACATTGACAACACGCTTGAAGATACATGAGACAGAAGCAAGAATTACTTGAGAAGCTGTTTGGTTTTTAGATTGCCGTCAGATATTATCAAGCTGTCAAGTCAAGTCACACCACAAGTCAATGGAGAAGTCAATTGGAGGAGCGACAACAAGCAAGTTCCATTCATCTCTTCACTCCGAGTCTCTCTCGTCTCCCCAAGCTCCCGCCGTCCACTGGCTCTCCGAACAAAACTTCCCCATCCTCTTCTTGTCCCAAAAGCATCTCCGTCTCCTTCCCTCCCTCCAAGCTCGTCTCCTCTTCTCCGTCCCGACCACCCCTCGTCTCCTCTCGGCCCGCAGACGCGCTGCTCGTCTCTCCTTCTTCTTCTCCTTCTCCTCCCTCTCCGCCGCCTCTGCCATCGTCTGGGCCAGTTGTGCCTCCAGCTGCATGTCAACCGACTCTGGTGTCGTTGGTGGTGGTGGAGCGAACATTGTGTCGGAAGATGTGAGGAGGTGGTGGTTGTTGCTGTGTTTTTCTTGATGTCGGTGTGGTGGTGGTGGTTTGGAGACCGGCTCCCAATTGAAGATTGATGGTAGATTGGTAGATTGTAGTGGGACACTTTGAAGACAGTGTAGAAGCTGGAGAAAAAAAGTTTTTTGGGAGGAAGGAGCTCCTGCTTATATCTTGATTCAGGAGTTACTAGCTGGAGCGTCCCGAGAGGAAAGCCATTGTGAGATGGGATGATATTGTTTCCTGACTTCGGCCATTGAGTGTGCTATTGTGCTCGGTTGGGACAATAGGGGCTAAGCGAGTTTTCGGTTGTGACAATGGTAACGAATTTTTTTGGGTACCAGAGATTCACCTCCACCAAAGTAATGTTGTCCTTTCGAAATTCCATGGTATTCTACTATAGTGCTTCAGTACGATATTCTACGTGGTTCTAAAGTTGCTTTTTGCTCTTCTTCCGATTCCGGACTCGATGAGTGGTTGGGCGAGAAATCCGAGTTTTCGAATTATGGTGATGACAATGACTGGCACTTTGAAGGAAAGCTACGGAGTTGGCAACTACGTCTGCTTTATTCATACATAAGGTTTCTTAAATCTCTCAATTGGTTGTGATAACTCTGCACGAGGACCAGGTTGTGTCCCCATTAATTGTTATCCGCAAAGAAAGGCTTCCATGTTGTAACTCGTGAGGAGCTCAAGAACCAATGTCAGAGTATAACCCTTCGATACATGCAAGAAGGCCGCGTGAAATTGAATGTCTGTCATGACATCATCTCGTATGGTCTCAGCATGTCATTCGCAGTCCGCGCCCTCAATCTAAACGATTCAGATGCTGTCATACCATTCTTGGTTAAGTGCCTGTGTCTTGGAGAGATGTTTTCAATCATCTTAACCCGTAGTAATCTTACTGTATCACACAGCTTTCGAAACTCCCGTGTCTCCTAGCATGCTTCTCCACGACAATCATCCCCAGCCTTGCCCCGTTATCGTTTAGGAGAACGTAAGCCTTTGCACTATAGAGTTGAGAAGTAAAACAGCGATATTCAAATAGATGATTTGATTATATGTCAACTTGAAATATGCTTTGACACGATTCAGCAGGCAAAGTGCGGCGGATCCCAACTGAATGTCTGTCCTTGAAATAACCCCTGTGACCTTAGAATGTCATCTATCATACAGAAATACAGTTCCATAATCCAATCAGCTTTCCAATGCCTCTGATTAACCACGTTTTGACCTCCAAGAAAGTGTGTAGTTTCTGGGAGAGTTTTCGTGGGAGAAATTCTAGCCCCTCTCGCTTAGCTATCAACACCCCTATCTGTGACCAAATCCCCTCTCACCCTAAGGACCACAATAGGAACAAAACTCCAACAATGATATCGAGTCCTCCCATTGTGATCCTGGGAACGTTCCGAGCTGGGACCCCTCTGATAAGTATATAATATCCCCTCTCCTCCCAGATTCAACCTCCTTTCCTCTCCAGCTTCCACAAACTTCAGCCTTCAATCACAACTGGGTTCAATCCCCACACTACAATGTCTCCAACTCCTTCCAACACTCGCAGCTGGACTGCAAACATCATCGACGCTCATATCGACGCTGGCCTCCAGTCCGAGATCCCCGACGACCTCATTGTCGGCCCTCTGTCCGTTCCTTCTCGCCGCCGCCGCCGCCAACCACAACAACTTCCCACCACAGCACCAGCTGGTCTGGTTGCTTACTTCAGCAAAACCGCCGGGGAATGGCTGGCCATTCCACCAACACTCAGAGACCAATTGAAGAAGGACGAGAAGAAGAAGAAGATGGAGAAGAAGAGGAGGGGAGAGGGTTTGGGGAGAGCCGGGAGGGTCAGGGAGTGGAGATTCGGGGGACGGAAGGGGAAGGGGGTGGACAACGGGGACGGGGGATGATATCGAGTGGAGAGTGGGATGGTGGTGGCGGGCAAGAAGGCCGGACAATTCTGCTCGAAGGCAGAGTACGAGGGAGCCAAGGAGTGGTGAGGGGGAAGAGAGAGATAGGATGAATGAAGTGCGCTTGCTGTCATTCTCCCATTGATTTGACCATTGACTTGTGATGTGACATGAAATTTCTTCGTGAGGCCAAACTATCGCTTCACTTTTAGCTCCAACTCCAACACTGTCCCAGCATCAAAGCACTTGCATAGAAAGGACTTTAGCAATTGGAACATGTGTTGCTCAATCGCTCATTGATATTGTCGCTTCAACTGGATTAAGATTCTAAAGATCTGAGCGACGCCAAAGTTAGATTCAACGAGCCACGACAGTTGAAGATGCAATATGCTCTCCAGAGAACAGGGCATCTTGCAAAGAGCAACAAAAATTCAATTACCAAAGCGTCTCATCCAGACCAGGACACTGTCGCTACCACATTTCAGATGCGTGTATAATCAGAATTTAAAGGAGATTCACTTTGAAGCATGATAGACAATGGGAGAACTGTACCATACGAAGAGCTCGACTTGTCTATGGAGTCGAGTAACTTCCAACTTGGACTTAAAGAATCAAGGTACTTCCCTCCCTGGAGGCACGATGGTACTTCACGGCCCCATTGCTCTAGCCCTAGTCCCAGTTGACTTCCAATCCTTGACCTCTTATTTGGACACGAAGGCTTGATCATGAACTGACGAGGGGAGAGTGAATGGTCTGCTGCAAGTTCAAATAGGAGTAACTTTGGAGAAGGGGAACTTGCGAAGCTTGGTGCAATTGTCAATGGGTAGGTGAGACTGCGATAGCAAAACAGAGGTGAAGAAGAGATTGGGCGGTGAATAGTCGGACACCGTGGATACACTTGTCATCAATGGAGTCTGTCTTGGTTGTGGTTTCACTTGATTTTCGAGTGATAACATGCGGATGAGGCGGAAAATGACACAAATACTGATCGACTTCAATGTTACACTCTGATTCCAAATGTTCTCTCCCGATCGTCCTCACTTCCCCGTGTCTGGAACCGATCATCATCCAGCTTTGCCAGACGTTCATCAAGTGCAGATTTTGTGAACTCCTCGCTGCTTCCATTTCAGCTTTTGCTCATATCATGGTGACAACTGCACTGTGCACAAGTGAATCGCCGAGGTTCTGAAGCGGAATACATTCCCATTGTCGAACAGGTCCAGTCAATCTATGGCTTGGTGAGTGGTTTGATGAAGGTAAACTGGACTCGCGATGTCCCAGGAATGGGGGGATAGAGATGACACAAGATGCGTTGAGGGATAACATGCTGCATTCCTTTTAGTTCCAGGATAGAGCCTAGCCAATGTGAATTATATCGCAGGTCTCTGACTCGACGCACGCTTCAAATTCCATCCCAGCACGACGTCCTTGCCTGGTGCTATCTTCTTTCGCAAAATCGAAAGCTTCGGAATAGTCACGTGAATTCCACTGAGCTCCTCCAACACAGCATCAGCTACAGCTGTAGGCCAATCAAGGTAATAGCTCATATGAGACGGAATCGAGTCGTTGATTCTGGCAACCCAATCAAGATTCATTCGACAAGGCGTTGTCTTTGTTCTGCCGCCCCATTCTCGATCCAGGATCGGGAGCATCATGAGTTGTATTGCGAAGAAATGTCCAACGAGTATCCTTGATATGGTGTTTGTGGGGTCGGAGAAATCGGTGAATTCTTGATTATCGAACAGGTTGATGGCTTGGTAAATGGTGATAAATTTGAAGTAGCCTGGGGGGAAGTCAGCATTGTCCGGAAACCGTGGATATCTGCTTCACCTTGTAATGACGATATCCTCAGAGCAGCGATACATTCGACAAGGAGATCATAAAACTTGAAATGTACTGGAAGTTCAAGTATTGGTGGTAGAACATCTAGGGATATGTTCGCGCCGTCCAATATTCCCGGGTTGATTACTGGCAGGTTCATCAATCTTCCTTCCATGAATTCGAAATGATCCTGGGCCGTAAGGAAGAACGCCATGGGAAGTTTCTCTTCCCGGAGCTGATTACTGACGAGAGTACAGCCGCGCACAAATTGGAAGAATTCGGGTATGCCATCCTTCATGTACGAAGATTGAAATGTGAGAAGATAGCAAGACGCAAGGAGTGCATCTCCATCACTTCCCGCTCGGTTCTTCTGTGTCAGAGCTTCACCAGAACCTTGGATGGCTCGCACGCGATGGTGCAATGCCACAGAGCTGAGGTCATCACCGGTGATGAGTTCTAAATGTGACGCTGCCACGCCGAGAATGGCGTGCATCAAATATTGGTTCTTGTGAATCCGTCAGCAAAGAAATTCATCGGTCCTGAAGCAGAGAACTTACATGGTGTGCAATAAGCGGAACTTGAGATAGCCAGGCAGTCTCATTACCAACCGGTAAATGAGGATATGCATCCAGAAGGTAATGATGAAACAGTCGCATATCAGTCAAAGTAAAGACAGTTGGCGTACTTTGTAGGTTCACCGAAGTCACAGGATTTGGCGAATACAAGAAAGATGATCTTAGCGCAGATAGAGTCTTCGGAGCCGGGTACTCGCACTTGAGCTTCTTCCGAGTACAATTGCGACATGCAGGCTGATTCTCCTGGCACTGTGGTTTGTTAGCTCTCTTCCATGTCACGTGTAAGCTGTCTTACCTTGATCTTCCGCTTCTTGCAGTTGAAGCAACCTCCTCGAGATTTCTTGTGGCCTTTTCGTGGTCTATGCTCGGGATATATCTCACTTGCTACGGGGTTAGCGAGATGAGAAGCCGCTTCCTCTTCACGTACAGATGGTCCCGAAGCAAACGCATTCGCGGCGATACCAGATCCTGCCCCTGTGAAGGATGGTAAGTCCTTTCCTGGAGAAGAGGTAGGGACTTCGTCAGAAGAATTGCCAGTCAAGCCGCTTGCGAATGCATCAGGAGAAGGATGCTGCTCGCTGCCTGGGGTTGGCCAGCTCGAGTCGAAGGAAGCCAGATTTAGTGCTTTGTCAACGTTGGCACACCCGCCTTCTTGTGCATTTCGAAACTCATCTCGAAGTCTCCGAAACTGGGTGACATAATCGGTGGCCATGTTGTCATGGCCATGCGAGGACATGAGAGAAGATGGAAGCCATTAATCAGGGGCGGAGCTAAATTTGGCCGATCCGCTATCTTAGGTAATGTCACGTGAGTGAAGCTTCTTCTGGACCTGTCTTTATTTTCAATGTATTATCTTCTCTGAGCTGGTTGAAGGGATGTATTTACTGATTAGACACCGATGCCCTGAACAGAATTTGGTCTGAACTTGGCTGTACTACAATCTTAGCGTCTTTCGCTTAGCTCGGGGTAACCCCTTTTCCTCTCCTTATAAACCGCTGTTTGCTACTTTTAAGCGATGGACTAAGCTATACATATTACTGAGTTATTAGCAAGAAAGCAGTTCAGAACCGAATAGTTTTGAGGAAATTCTTATCTTCTTACTTCGCTCAGACTTTGCGGTGGGGCTACGAGAAGTACTGTCTTCCTAACTTTAAAGCATGGAATACGCCAAGAAGCATTTATCTGCTGCTTTCCTGTTACCTAGATTTTCTGAATGCTAACATATTTTATCTCATCAAGCTGATGATTTGCGTATTGAACGAAATGAGAGACGTCGACTAAATTCGGACCAATAGCATTCCGGTTGACATGAGTGGGTCTGACATCGCGAACTTCAAAGTCCGACATCCCGATAGATAATACAATCTCACGACCCAACACTTATCTGCTCTCAATTCCCTCTTACGGGTTCTGCGCCTGTACTTCATAGAATTAGATACCCTCATCGGCTCATAGAAACTCATTGGATTTTATTCACACTTAAGATTCAGAATCATGGATGCTGTTCTCAGCTCCACTACAGCTCTCGTCAGCTTCAGCATTCTCACAACTCTTACTGCCATTACCGTTTCGCGCTTGATATTCCGAGGAGATGAGGTGAAGGTCATCAAGAGTCCTGCAGCTACTCTGCTGCCAAAGTTGAGTCTGACTGAGATAGCGGCCTTGCCGTATCCGCCAGATGCGCTCCCTGGCGGAAGAGATGTGGAAAGTCCAGTACGTCTCAAAGAATATCTCTTATGATATGCACTGACAATTACAGTACGGAACAGTGAGAGTATTTGAATGGGGTCCCGAACATGGCCGAAAAGTCTTGCTGGTCCATGGAATTACGACTCCCGGCCTTGCACTCGGTGCTGTTGCGCATGGACTGGTCGAGCGAGGCTGTCGCGTTATGATTTTTGTAAGCCTCCCACTTAATCTCGAGTTTCTACCTCTTCATGGCCTCATTATTGATGTGATTTTTCTAGGACGCATGGGGACGAGGCTACAGCGACGCACCTGCGGACCTTGTCTATGACGAAAGACTATACGCAACTCAAATCCTCCTAGCTGTTACCTCCTCACCACTGTCATGGACCGGTGGCCTAAATGGAGGCTTCAGTGTCATCGGCTACTCGCTTGGAGGTGGCATTTCAATCTGCTTCACTAGCTATTTCCAAAACATGGTTAAATCTCTAGTCCTGCTTACGCCAACGAGTTTGATTCGCGACAGCCGTCTGGGTGTGCAAAAATACTTCCCGATTCTTTTTAGCATCATCCCAGAGCCTATTCTGGAAGTTCTTCTCAAGAAGAGATTGCAGCGTCCGATGTTTCCGAAGGAGAATAGGGAGAGTGTCGCTACTGCAGAGGTCACCCCCAACGAAGCGTATGTTCTTAGCAATATCAAAATGATCATCTACTAACATTGCACTCATCAGCATCCTCAAAGAGCCTCCTCCCTCATTGAAGTATCCAGACGTCACAGTTTTCGCAGCAACCCAATGGAACATCCAAACGCATCCTGGATTCATCCGTTCATTCACCTCTGTCGCAAGATTCGGACCTGCAGCGGGCCAACACGCCGCGTGGAGACGTCTACTCCAAAAGAAGCGTAAGATCTTGATTATCGTAGCGAGTCACGACCCGATCATCGTCACCGAGGAGCTGAAGCCTGATGTCGAAGAGGTGGTGCGAGATTCGGGAACTGATATCGTATGGCGCGAGATTGATGGGGCTCATGATATACCGACGACAGACCCGGACAAGATTGTACGTGATATATGTGCGTTTTGGGAGATGTGAGGCTGGAATTATGATGCGGGGTTTGGGGAAGAACGATACTTTAATTAATGGCTTAGCTAGCGTTCCGAATCACTTGATGCGGTGGCTCTCGAGAATTGCGGGGAGGAGAACACTAATACACGCACTATACTTTGTTCTTTGTTCTTCGCATTGAGTATTCCCAGATTGGCCAATTCATCGTGCATCAATGGACTAGTCTTAAAAGTTGTTCATATGGATATATGACCCCGCTTGCCTAATTGGGCAAGTGGGGTCAGAAGTTCAGTACTACTGCTTTGCTAATACCATCATTCAGTTAGACTGCAGCTAGTACTGCCACATGCGGGCACTGTTTCAGTGTTGTATATGCCTTTATGCCGTATATGAGTCTACGACACAGCTTTTACGATTGCTGGTTGGCTCATCACGGTCTTTCGAGTCAAGAAGTTTCGTTTGTTCCCTTAGCTATGAAGACGTTGACGATCCGTATACTGAGGCAGCTTATCCATGATCGAGGATGACCAATGAGTGGTAAAGACAGCAAGAGTATAAAACTATCCGAGGTGCAACTGCAATGCGAGACTAGGTGAGTGGAATGCCGTGGGAACTGGCCAAATAAAATCCGATATGCAAGAACTTGGACATCGAGTACGTATCCAAAGTCAGGAGACAAAGCATTGTAAGCTTTGAATTGCCTAGTATGGAGGGGGAAAAGTGCTGGCGTGAACAACGGGATAGTAATAATCAAGTGGCCAGGCTCGAAGGCAGGTACTCACGTGGTGAAGACCACTCGAAGTGCTTTGAACAATGTTACTTCGATCCTTATTTTACTGTACCTTAACAATAGAAATAGAGCCATCGCCTTTATTATTGCTAAAAATGGATATGCATGAACAAACACCTTGTCCGGAACAACACTAGGTCACAGTGTATAATTTAATTCCGAACACCATCTTATCTTGAATCATCAAAACAAACACACTACTCAGTACACTACTTTCACTTTACACAACCCAACACCTCAAAAACTCAACTAAGACCAACATCATTATGTCTTACAACGACCCCGTCCCCCTCTTCGACACCACAGCCTCCGAACCCTCAGCATTCTCCCGCCGCCCCACTCCAAAATACAAACTCAAATCAGCCAAGCAACTCGACGCAGCCGACGAGCGCCGCGAAGCAGCAGCCGAGCTAAGAGCTCAGAAGAGGGAAGAGGAGAAAAATGGGTACGTGGGCCCGAAACACACTAAGAAGCAGAGAAAACAGGGAAAGAAGGCGGAGAAGAGCTTGGCTAAGAAGGCGGCTAAGAAAGAGAAGAAGAGTGCAGAGAAGAATAAAGAAGAAAGTGAGGCGGATGATGAGGAGTAAGGGCAGTCTTTGTCCGGGCTCCACAGCTGAGTATCCTCCCCTCGAAACAATGAACAATAGAATGAAAGAAATTCTGAAATCCACACACTTCCCCATAAACCAGTGACCAAAACGTGACTATCTAAACATTATATTATTTTACGGAAGACTTACTATGATGTGAAACCTCTCATATGCTCTACAGTGAATCTAACCTCTCCTCCTCTCCCATCGAAGAACTCCCCACCGTCCAGTCCAAACCCTAATCTTCTTCCCACAAACTAGAAATACCACTGCAAGCAGGGCAAAGAAACACTGTACCCCAACCAGTGTTCCGAACACCGTCTTCCCACCCATGACCTCAACCCATTCTTCTCCCCAAAGCACAATCACAAACCCCACGACTTCACTAATGAAACTAGCCAGGGCTCCAATCTCGCCGGCAAATGCTAAGTACGAATCAACAGCGTACACCAAGACCATATTCGAAATTCCCGTCAACGCGAAGCCGTGGATTCCCCACCCGATGATGGGCGCGATCCATTCCGAGCTCGAAGTTCCGTGCAAAGTGAAGCTCGTGATTACAATACTCGCCCCTCCAAGGAATATGAGGATGGGAATGAGGTAGAGTCTATACTCAGGTTCTCTTCCTCCTTCGTGCTTTCTCGTGATGCGAGCGGAAAGTGCATCGAGTCCTTTGCCAAAGAGAAGGATGGCGATCAGTGATCCAGTTAGTGGCGCGAGGGACGTGAGGCCTAGGAATTGCGTGCTGTGGCTTTCGGGCGGGGTTGAGAAGTTCTGGATGAGTGAGAGCCTGAGCATCATATTCCTGATTGTGTCAATAGACTATCAATTAACGGAACGAAGGAGGAAATACCATCCAGCAAAGACCCCAAGGGTCAGAGCGGCCCAAAACACGCCTGGATACGCAGCGATCGCTACCAGATTCCCAAGTGCTCGCCAGAGGTTCTGCCCCTCGACCCATCCTCTGGTGAGCTCCATACGCTGCCAGTGATTCTTCTTCGGTCCATATCCATGGATAGGCTTGAGGATGTCTCGGTCATAATAGGTCGTTTCCTCCACTGTATAAATGGCGAGCAGCCAAACAAATGCAGCTGCGATTGCTATCCAGTAAGAATTTATTCTCCAAGAGAAATACTGCACCACCAATCCATTGATGAGTGTTCCGAGGAACAGGCCGCTGGACAGTGACACCTGAAACCACATCATTGCCGTAGCTCGCTCGTGGACGAAGAAAAGATCGGCTACTACAGCAGGCACGACACTAGTCGCCGCCGCAGATCCGAAAGCGGAGAGAATGGAAGAGGCCAGAAGTTGGTCATAACGGTGGATTTGTGAAGACCATATGTTTGCGGCTACCAAAATGGGAAGCGCAAGGAGAAAAACCGGACGTTTTCCAATCACGCGACTCAGAGGCACCCAAAACAAAGCTCCCGCTCCCAAAGCCAAGAGGTTGAATGCTGTCAGAAATTTGATCTCCAAGACACTGATTCCGAACTCGTGACTCAATTGAGGGGATGCAATGGTGAACTTGATTGCATTTGCTGTAGCGAGGAATGCGAACAGGCATATGGTGAAATATGCTTTGTATTTTTGCCATTTGTTCCAATTCTGCAGTAGGTCAGCGATTGTAACCCAAGTCCAAAAAACACAGTTCACATACCAGAGGATCATTTGGATCCCAAGAAGGCTGCGGTCTTAGAACTCTTCTTCCGGCCTCATCGGGATGCACAACAATCGTTCCCACCTCCTCCTCATCGACCTCAATCTCGGTTTGGCTCTCCTCATATTTTGGAAAGAAAGGCCTTGCTGATGGAGGCGGCGTCTGCGCCGAAGATCGTCTTATACTCATGAAGTCAAGCGAAAGTGGTGAATACCATCGTGTATGAAGCTGCGGGATGGAAGGCTCACTAGCCAACTCCCGTACTCTGAGGAAATCCAGCGTGGAATCGTGACTCTCCACCAAAAATACAATGCGGATTACGAATTATCATTAAGCACGACCTCAAAATAGAAAGCTTCGAGTGTGTGGGAGGTGAGGAGTGTGATATGCCGCTGCTGCAGGGTGCAGCTTAAGGTACATAAGTACTGGGACTGACAGCGTATGACGAGCATCTTGCCTTCTTGGATGTATGTACGTACCCACGGGCCGTGTGCAGATTTTGCGGAAAGTTCCTGCAGATTGATCATATGGTAATTGCTCCGCTCAATGTGGCGGCAGATAACAAGCGTCAATCGGATGATAGAAAAGTCAAATAGATGATAAGGCTGGTACCTGAGAGTCCACCCGAAGAGGCTGAAGTCAGCCTATACTTGAATTGGCCGAAAGCATAAATGATAGGACAACATCCAACTGGTGATTGGTTGTCTGCATTATTATGCACGATTTCTTTACTTGATGTAGATGCAGAGGCTCAACTGTGAGCTCACTATGACACAGAATAGGACCTCGTCGGTGATGCGCAGACCTAAAGTGGTGAAATGTGGCAAGATTTCTCGCATAACAGGATCTGCATATGCATGATACAGTTCAAGTCACAAGTACTGGTACTTGAGCACATCATCGAAAGACTTTCAACACATACATCCCAATCGGCCACTGCCGAGGGAAACTCGATCGTCGCATGAAGGAGCTATGAGGAGGTTTCCGTACCGATGGGCACGCCATTGCAATATCGACACAGATATGACCTTAATGGAGGATAGGTATAAACACACGAAACTTTTCCTGCGCCTTACTGTGGTCATTCTGCAGTGCACTATACTACTCTGATGGAAAAAAGATCTGTCCAAATTCTGGAGTGGCAATGTCTTGATCCGTGCCAGGCATCGCGTGGACAGTGCATGGCATGGGCACAGACGGGAGATCTGCCCCCCTGAAACCCCAGAGTACAGCCCGCAAGATGCTGCTCGGGAGACGTGGCGTCATCGTGCTTTATGACAATGGTATGTCAAACGGGAGACTGGCCACTTCAACGTCATTGTAATCGCCAGATTCGCCACCCCTCGAAGGTATCTGAATGCGTTCTCCAGACGTGCAAAGTCCAGAAGTTATAGATTGGAGACTTCGAGATCGGGTCCTATGCAGAGTCAATATAGTGACTTCCTGGTGCAGCCAAATCTGATGGCTGTTAATGTATACTGTAGGTACCTTGCAGGCTCTAAATTTGCACAGCCAAAGATCTCTATCCCAGATTAATTCCCGTCGCATGAGCGGAATAGCACCTTCCGACGATTGAAGGAACATGTATAATAAATGTGTGCCGATAGCTCACCAAATCCCTTCTTGTCCGGTAAGCCAATGCCCAAGTCTTGCGCTACCTTTGCTTGGGAGGAATTACCTTTGTCCGTCAGAGCTTCGCTGGAAGATAGGTTCTAGAATGGAGCAGGTGACAATGATTAAGAGATTTGATAATGAACCTAATGAGAGGCGTCGGTCCTCTTTGGTGAGGGAGACTTTTGTTGCATGTCTTAAGCACATTTGGAGAAAAGTTTGGAAAAGAGGAAAGTAAATTAGGAAGCTTGGGCTCGCGAGAACGGAAGGACTTTGGCCATGCTCGTGACTACCCCTTCACGTACCTAAATTTTATACGTTGCAGACAGATGATTGTGTCAGTTCGCATTCATTCAGTATCGCAGTATCCATTCTTGTATATTCTGTACCTATAGGTATCGAGGGAATACACGTTGAGCGCAGAGTATTCACGTGACTCTCCACTACTGAGTCGTACGGCAAAGGTAATCCTTTTGCCCATTCAAATCAACGACTTCATATACGCTTTGATGACCGCCTGGATGGCGCATTCCGTCAAGCAAAGAAATCAAATACTTCGTACATTATCGTTCTTCAGATCATGATTTGGCCAAAGTCCGGCGTTAGTAAACGAAAATATTACCTTCAACGGCCCGGAGATTCCGGCGTCGTTCTCATCCAACAACATCAATATGGACGCGACCGGCCCTGCCACACCCATTGCGGCAGTGGCTTGCATGCATTGCCGCCGATTGAAGGTACTCTATATCTTCCTATCATCTTACAGAACTGACACTGAGTAGATGAAATGCATCGGCTCGGACAAGCCACCATGCGCTCGCTGTGCGAAGGCCGGTCGGGAGTGTATTGTCCAGAAACCGGACCGCACACAATCCTTGGGCAACATTTCAAATGGCTTCCATCAAGAAGTCCCTCGTCCGGCCCGTGGTGATTTTATGGACAGGAGGCCTTCACGAGGAGAAGGAGGTACGATCCCAGAGAATAGCGACACAAATAACCCTATAGTTTGGCGTAAAGATGGTTAGTCTTCTCTTCCTCAATTGCTATTTAAAAAATCTTGCTCCTCCGCCCAAGGCCGTTTGGCCCCCTACCTATTTACATTTTTGGCTGATCCATTCTTTGTAGATTCGTTTGCTGACATACATTGTCTTAGGATTTGGAGCTGCTATTGCTCGGAATTTCTTTCCAATCAATGAATTGACACGCGCAAACAAAGAGCCCGCTTTACCTTCAATATACAATACCACACCCTATGCCACTGTATTCAGCGCATCTGAGAATATCCAAGATGACGATAGTGGACAACCCAATTCGAAACGAAGGAGAATCGAGGCGACTTTGCAGACACCTAGGCACCAAAACACCCAGGACCTGCATATGTCCCCATATGATACATCAGTTCCAGAGAGAGATATGATGCAACTCATTCATATGTCTGCACAATGCTCCCAAACCCTCTTTAAATGACTGACATCGGCCACTAGATTCCGAAACCGAATGTTGGTTTTCATACCACTTCTCCAGGAAAGCGACTTGGAAGATATATCCCACGTGATTTCCCAGAAAAGGACACTGGCCTTGTGTATCTGCTATGTCACGACTAGATATGTCCCCGGGGGCGAGCGTACGAGAACACAACTTATCCCAGCAATTTCCGATATCCTGCAAGACCGTAATGTTCGACCCCAGACCGATGGAGAAAAGTGGACGATGTTGCAGGCTCTTTCGGTGCTCTATGCATATCGACCAACGATTCAAGAAAACACAACACGACATGATCAAGCAGATATCTCTCACCGGTCTATCAAGTCATTTACAGAGAGTTACGCCCTGCATTTATCTGTTCATCGATCAATAATAGGTCTGAAAGCTTCAATCCGATCCAATGAACCGAACATCAATTCGACTCAAAACTTTAAATATTACATCTATTGGTTGTGGCTTTTCAATATGTCCAATCAGTAAGCGTTGCACGTACCTGTCATGACTTGGTCTAACAAGCAAAAAGCTTTTCCGTTGTAACTGGAACTCCTCCGAGTATTAGAATAGACGCAACAATACGCGCCGCCCCACAAATACTCGATAATATTGATGTTGGCCATGGCCCACGACAAATTCTATCGGAGGCTGAATTGTGTATTCATTGGGACAAGGTAAACCCACCAAGAAATGTCCTGCTACATTCTGACTCAAGCTTGACAGATCAGTGCACACTCCCCAGCGCTTGCCGAATGGTGGTGTCCTCCAGACACCGCAGATGAAGCATCTGCCATTCATCCAGAAATCTTGACAAATGTCGCCAAAGCTTCCGACGAAGCTCTCACAAGCTGGAGCAGAAAATGGGGCCCTGCCATTCCGACAGGTGAGCACGTATGGTTTCCATGATCAACACTCCTAATATCCGTCCAGAACCTTTAGGTCAAGCTATGGATTTTCATTTCCGATTCACGAAATTCTGCCTCAGCACCTACATGATCCGAAATCTCAGCATTGGTCGCAACCTCACCACCGACCAGCAGGTCAGGATCAAAAACAGCGTCCAAGCAGCACATTATTTCTGCGAGCATCTCCTAGACCTGGGACCAGTATATCGTGATGCAGCTCGATACATGGGTGACTTCGGTTTTGTCATGGTCTCATTCTCCTGCCTCTTCATCATAGAGGCTTGCAAGAACTATCGCTCCCTTCTCCAAGATGAACACCGCATGCTTGGAACTGTTGAAGAAGTTGCTCTGCTCATGAAACAGCTTGCAATCAGTCCTAGCTCAACCCATGGCCCTGGCCTGCAAGCAAGCATCGTCTTATACCGACTACACGAGCTCGACAAGCACGATGAAACTGAAGCTGCTTTAGAGGAAGCCCCTGGTGCACAATACTCGTTCACGTCTGCTGATGCGGAAGGGTTCATGATGGATCCCATTTGGGATTTGTTGAATTTCTTCCCAGAGATCAAGGGAACATAGGAGAGAAGTAACAACTGCTCCCGGATCGACTCTTCCGTGACTACCTTTGTGTCATGCTAGAATATTTCTCCCAGTCCGCGAACATCTCCTCGCACAGAAAATGAACCTCAACCACAAGATGACTTCTATCGTTGTCAAGCTACATGGCATTGTTAGCGTGCGGACACCGGAAAGGGGCTCGCTCGCTTCCGACATGACCACCTTTTCGCGCCACCTGGCTATTTACGGATAGACGAATTACACGAACGACATATTCTACAGGCTCCACCGAGCTCCATCAAGCCACCATTCGACCGAGGAGACGTGCAGATATTGTCTCTCGTCAGTGGCTCAGCATTGCCCACTAGGAATTGTTTCTCTGTAGTTGAGTTTGGACCAAGAGTTTGGTTTTCGCCGAGATTGAGGGGTTTGCATATACTTCATAGGTAGCTACCCGTTATCTGATGGAGGGCAAGACATAATTGGCTTGAATTAGTGGTTTTGGAGAGCTAGTGATTGCTTTTTAGTGTAATGCGGGGAAGGTCTAATGCTGCGAGGTGAGATCAAGCGGGGTATACTGGTGGTACCTCTTATTTCCGCCATGTTCCCATCAAGTTTATGATATAACTCCAAATTTTTGGCTGATACTCACAAGATTCTTCAAATAATTAAAAGAAGTTCTGAAGTTATAACTCGATCATCTTACTGCAACATCATATCATCTCAACATGGGTTCTAAAGGAGTTCACGAGCGGAGCGATATCACAAGCCCACTCAAAGCCGCAGTTCCTAAACTCAACACCCTTCTTCAGAAAGATGCTCAATTCCAAGCTTTCGCCGACACACCCGAGATCTCCTCTCCTATCACATTTGGCATCAAAGCCGCGGGATCAGACAATGCCATTCTCGTCACTGTGAACAACAAATCCGGTGCCGCGACCACAGGAAACCACCAAAAAGCTCTGTTCACTCTCTCTGCTCTACCAGAACAATGGGAGCAGTTCTTCAAGCTTGTCCCAGCCATGCCGTATCAATCCTATTGGGGCATGTTCGGCATGAACATCAAACAAGAAGGTATCGAAATTCTCGGCGACCAGTTGGCTTTCAATAGATATACCCACTTCTGGCGACGAGCTCTTGAAGTCCTGCACGATGCGCACTGTGGTCCGACGCCAGCAGATGAGCAGCCCGAAGTAGATGTCGATCACATCGTCGGTCGATACGTGTACATCACCGCACCGATCTGGGGACGATGCAAAGTGTTCTACGAGCAGAGCGGGGAGGGGAAACAGGATATTGTGTTTTGTCACACTGCAGGGTCGGACAGTCGCCAGTATCACGGTGTGATGAATCATCCGGAGATGAGGAAGAGGTGTAACATGATTGCGTTTGATCTTCCAGGGCATGGACGAAGCTTTCCTTCGACGGAGTACTTTCCTGGTGCGCATACGAATACGGAAGATGCTTATGTTGGGGCTATTGCTGCGATGGTGAAGGTGTTGAAGTTGAATAAGCCTATTGTTTGTGGTGCCTCGATGGCAGGACAGGTTTGTCTTGCGGTGGCGATTAGGGCCGATGAGGTTGGTGCTGGTGGAACAATTCCCTTGCAAGGGTGAGTGATCAGCTGCAATTGAGAGCCAGAGGTTTGCTAATGCGGATGACAGATCCGACCATATCACTATGGAAAGACAATTCCACGACCGCTCGCCTCATGTCAATCAAGCTTTGTACAACCCAGAGTGGGTCTATGGTGTAGGTATCCTTCGTATCACACTCGGCAGTGGTCTAACAGGCAGCAGATGATGTGTCCCACAGCCCCTCTTGTCAACCGCCAACTCATCTGGCATCTGTACTCCGCTCAAGCATATGGCATATTCCACGGAGATCTAGACTTCTATTTCGGAGGCTGGGACGGCCGTTCGCGTGTTGGCAAGATTGACACTAAGAAATGTCCAGTCTTCATGTTGACTGGCGAGTATGACTGGTCGAATACACCTGAGATGGCCCAGAAGACTTGTGATAAGATTCCTGGAGCCAAGCATAAGGGTATGCCAGAGTTAGGACATTTTCCTGCGACGGAGAATCCAGCGAAGTTTGTGCCCCATTTGTTGGAGGCTATTGAGCATATCCAAAAGACAAGGGAGCGAAACCCTGCAGACATTCTGTAAGGTTTGATGTCTGGTTCTAGGTCGATGGAATTTCCTGTACTTTTGCGGTGTACTATCGCCGGTCATCGAACTCCATCATCTCGATTTCGTGATCCTCCAACAACTTCCATGCCAGCCTCTGATTTGTGATGTGCCCCTTCAATCCCTTGTTGAAGTTTGCCATGCACTTGATTGCGACGCCAATAGTAACAACGCTCAGCATGATTGTAAGGAACCCAAAAGAACTGACGTTTTTTCTTACGGGTAAATAAGATTCGGCGTGGGATGGTTGGTATATTCGTACGAGCTTGAACACGTAGAAAGCAAGGAGAGCAGTGTGAAGTACCTCCAAGATCTATTAGTTTGAGTTATTTCGAGATCGGATTGGGTATACGTTACCAAAACAACAAGCATGCCTGTTATGTTCTCCCGTCTCATGAACCAGGTCGAAACCATGAGTGTGAGGATGATGAATGGGATTGATGCGACAGTGAGTACGAACTCAAAGTTGGCAAGTCCAGTCACAACCACTAGCATTTGGATGACGAATCCTAGGAAATAGAATAGGTCGAATTTGAGAATACTCGTGAAAATCTGAGGACGGAAAATTGATCAAAAACATTTCTTCAGTGTGAATGATGGGTAATGTACCTTGAAGGTGAAATAACGTTTTTGCATAGCCAGGTCTGCGTTCAGCTGGCGATATATTGTCCATTGAAACTCTCCATACAACTTGAAGCTAACGCAAATGATAATGGCTGTATACAAACCAGTCAACGAAGCATTGGCATAAGTGAGATGCTTCATGTTGATGAGAGTTGCAGGACCGGCTGCGGTCTCTAGGACGATAACTACTTTTTCGACTTGCTGAATTTGTAGTATCGTATAAACACAGAGAGAAGCAGAGTAAGCACAGAGGCCACCTAGTTGGATCATGTTTCGTTGCGATAGAGTGTCGTAAAGTAGCAATGCTTGATATATGAAACCAAAGATGAGCAAAGAAAGGAATGTCGGGACGGCTTTCACTTCAGCAGTGATTGTCCGATCAGGAACCAGACTACCTTTGAGTATGGAAGACATGACCCTATACTGGATTAATGACCAATTCAAGTGAGGTGCAGAGGTACTCACGACTCGAGAGTCAGGACAGTAAGAGCTGAGGCCACCGGGAATGGCCCACTTAAGCGAGACGCGGTAACGCGTAAAAATTCTACACCCCATTTTAAAACCCTTACTACACAACAACCCTCTTAGGAATCAGTCCATAATTCAAGATGGAGACACCTCTTATCCTAAGTGATCCTATCGAGAAAGAGAATAATGAATGGCCTACCCCTGCACGTGCAGTCATTCGATCCCTA